TGTATAGGAGGACTTCAGAAAGTTGATCGCAAATGAAGGGAGAGAGGAGGTTCATAAGAAAACTAGAGAGCTTTAGGGGAATCAGGTCTATTTTATTGTGACACATCATACCCTTTAGCTCCTGAGAGTAACTAGCATCAAATGTCTCCTCACAATTTTGCTGGTGAATCAAATATTAACGTCATAGAAATAAAGGCAATGATCAATATCTAAAGGTGCCCGGTTTACTGTTACTGTTTTACTGTTTTTTTCCAATTTCATGCTTTTTGCCTCCAAAAAAAGAACTTTACTTAATTAACTCATTAAATGTCATAATTTATCACTAATGACAAGAAAATTCTTCAACGTGCGTAGGAGCCAATTTTCGCACCGTGAAGGATCACGAAAAAAAAAACTGAGATCATTAGTGATCAGAAGTCTGCATTAGCTGGCCGTAGCCGATTTCGTTCCCCATTTGTAGTCTAAGATGTTAACATGGAACGAAAGTCGCGTTTCTTGCGTGCCTAAAGTGCATTAGTTGAGTGTTTCTTGTATTTATAGATTTGCAACTTGATACATTCAACCGCAACAGTGAAGGCGACATATTTGATTAACATTTTCTTTATAAGAGATCATTAGACAACAGGAGGCAGGTGTGGTAGGTTTCCATGATAATGGAAAATACTTAGCAAGCCAAATCTCTTAAGCATGAAACTAAGAAGCAATGCATAGCATTGCAAACAGTCAGGACACGTGTCAGTTACCGACTTTAAATCATGATCAGAAACGGTCAAAATTTTTCTAGAAAGCGCAGAACAAGACGTATTTCTTTAGAGGTAAAAACGATAAAGGAAAGATTTCGGATTAGACAAACATCATCGAATGACAATAAACCTTCTGCTTGCTAATGCGTAGTTAATCATAAGCATAAGCGTTTATTTGGATTCATGTATAGGATTTAGATGTATTATTGATATCAAAAGGTGACTCTTACGGTTTTCTCAAAAAATTTTACGTAAAAATAAACAAATTGGTATGCTTTTTCGTATGAATAAAAGCGGCTTTGTATCTGTGGCATTGCATTTCGAAACAAGCACGTTACTTCGAGAAAACATGGTCATACCAACTGTCAAGTGGTAATATCTTGATCTTTAAAGTGAAAGCGGTATCAGCTAGCCTGGTGGAGCACAACGTAACTTGGAAAACATTGAAAACTGACTTGGTTTTGAGGCCGTAGTTCGAGAAATGAAATTCAACGCACTTTTGAATATTTGTAACGGCCTTTAATTAAAACCAAATTGTTTTAAACACGTGGGTATCCGAAAGTCATCAGAAAGATAAAGTTACGCATCACCTGATCAATTTCATTTTTAAAATGACGAAAGGTTAATTATCTTTAGAACGGTTACGATTCGCTAAAACCAGATCAAATAAAAGTGTTAAACTAGATACCTTTAAGTTTTCTTTTTTTCACGACATAGTATCAATTACAAGTCGACGATTTTCATTTTTAAATAGAACATAACATGAAAGAAGTACTTTTAAAAATTTCCTAAGTAAACTTCTTTAACTTTTGAAACTAGACTAAGGTTTTCTTTTCCTTTTGGTACGGAGATGCTCCCTGAACTACAAAAAGGAATTTACCTTACATTTCAGACGCTACTTACTAGAAATGTATGTTTCACGTCCATTATACTCCACTCTATGGAATCTGGGAGAGATGTTACTCGTAAATTCCAAAACTTGGCAATGGAAATTGTTAAGTGCAGCATCATTTTATACGATTCCAGGGAAAGATGCCTGGTTCACGAAGTTCCTCTAGTTTGTTGTCATTGCTAAAATATGTTAAAAATTAATGGCTTTTTCCTCATAGGTGCGCAGAATTTTGAAAAGAAAAAGGAAGGGAGTAATTAGAAACACTTGATCAGATCTCATGCTGCCCAAACCCTCTTTCTACCTGTGGCCACTTCCGGTATACCTTACAGCAGATACAGACTATAACTGATTAATTCATTTGTTTAATATTTTCATAATATTACTTACATTACGTAATACAAAAAATACCGCCACGAAACAAAAATATTAAGAAAACACATGCTCACAAAGAATGGCTAATAACATTTTGAATAACAAACTGACTGCCTTATTAAATTAACTGAGCATGTTTTTGAAGTTAATAGTACTAGTTAAACAAAGTCATAGCTAATAGAGATAGCGAAAAACAACAACCATGGGATTCGTGAGAGACTAGCCAGCATTAAAGACGCCCCTTTCATCTATTTCAGTTATGATTGGATTTCAAGTATTGGCTTAATTGAATAATTGCTTTATAGTTTATATTCGAAAAATATGTAAAACGCACTTGAAAAGTTATCTTACCAATAATTATTGAAAACTTAAATGTCTACGGTCACCTCAAAAATGCAAGTTTCAATACAAATCTTCACCTACGCAACACCCCTGTAAATACAGTGGAAGGTGAAAAACTGACTCTGTTATCAAACTGTAACAAATGAAAACACTGTTTTAATTGTCAATCCATGATGGCACACGACGTTTAGGATAATTCACATATTATGGTAGTGAAAAAAAGAAAAGCCGAGACCATGACCGGGAGAAAAATTTTAGCCGATCTGCATAAATCAGAAATTCCACGAACGGGCAGCCTGATTTAAGAACCCAAGTATTTAGTTGAACCGCACTGGTTTTGCTCACGAAAGATAGACGGCGAAGAGGAAAGAGAGAGACAAAGAAAGATTTGATAGGAAGAGTAAGTATGCAATGGAAATCTATGAATATATAATTATAAATATGTTCAAAATTTTGAAGCGACTATCAGGGAAAAGTATTTTTAATTGAACTAAGTAAGTACGAAGCGAGTATTAGTGAACATTAGTGGCAAGTGGAGATGAAGTTATGACTTAAGACGGCATAAAAATACTTAGCCGTTAAAAATTGACACATTTTAACCGTTGCTTGTAAAAAAGGTTTATTTAAACCATATCGGAAAGAAATCAACCGTTAGCCGTGAAAAGGCCAAAATTTTATCCGTTAGTCGTAAAAATTATGACCCCTTTGACAGCAAATTGTTGTATTTCACTTAAATCAATCGGGTATAACCCGCGGGCTCCAACTATCACGGCATCTTCAACCTTACTTTACCCAGAGATGACATGTTGAAGTCTAGATTTTTGAATCAACAAGAACAAATTTTACCTAACTCTTTGTGGGTAAAATCAAGTTCACTTACAAAAATTTATTGTTTTAATTGAATTCTAGTTTCATTCAACAAGTGAAACTATGAGAAGGAGAACATTTTTTTTTTCGTCTCGTCACGACCGTGGGATGAAGTGAAAAGAAAAAATATGTGTAATTTCAATTTGTTAACATTTCAACTAACTTAAAGTAGCAAAATGTTTTATGAATACTAAAAATCTTAATCGCAAACAAAAAAATGTCCTAACACGTTAAGTGAGATATGTAACGACTGAGTGGGAGTACAGGAAGAAGAAGTATCATGATCTGGGTCCGGCTCATCACGTATGGACTTAAGCACAGCGAGATCCGAGCATCATGCCCGAAAGTCAAAAGTGAGGATTTGAAAAATCATAAAAAAGAAACAAAAGTTAAAGAATTTACCATGTTGCAATGTTTTATCCATGTCATGCATATGAATATCTTTCCTTGGCGTTGCTTCATAATTATGGTTTGAGCATAAATTTAATTCGATTATTAAAATTTTCGAGTGCATGCTTCCTTCTTCCTATGCTCTCTGCTTTTCTTTTTTTCCGTTTTAATTTTTTCTTTCGTTATCTCTTCCTATGCTCTCTTCGATTCTTTCTTTCCGTTTTACTTTCTTTCTTTCGTTATCATTGAGTTACTGGATATTCACAGACTTATAGCATCGTGATCCATAGTCACCGCCATAAAGCTGCCTCAGTTTTTATCCTTTTCATCTTCCAAGTCGTGCATGATTATATATACTGGCCGTTTTAAAACCGGCTCCATTCTGTGAAAATTGTCTTTAAACGTGGGAAACAAGTTTACTTACCAATAAGTGCCTTCTTGTGAATTCTTTAACCATTAAGTCAGGACTGCCCGTTTATTTAATTTCTGGTTACGGTCACGGTTTCGACTTACTTAATGTATTCCATTCATTTCACTGCCAAAAAAGCCAATCTATTTTGTGTTACATATCACATAAAATACAAAACATCTTTTTTTATGAAGTTTTTTTTTGACGAAAGATGTATTTCATAATGACAGCTATACTCCAGACGTACACATTATGAAACAAATTACGGTCCGGGACAGCAGGGGCCACTATATTGGACAATCTCTAATGTTTGAAGCTGATCAATTTACATGCTATTATTGAGTAAGAAAGAGGTGTTTATAAATTTTTGTTTCTGTTATTTTAATCTAACCTCGTAAATCACCAAAACCAGTATTTCGGGTGTCTTGTGCACATAAAAAAACTAAATGTGTTGTATTGCTTGAAGCAATCCTTTAAGATCACTTGAAGAGTGTCCCTGAGGTCTTTTTTTATGACTAACGTTGTCGTACATAATTTTGTTGGCCTGACTCTCAGAAATTAGGCTAAATTTATTTTCATGAACAAAGGGGTAAGTCTTTATCGAGTAAGAACAAAAGCGATTACCTTTCTGTATCAGGGGCACCTAAGGAGCACCTCAGGGACACCTTGAGATAAAGCGTAATCGATATTTGCACGTGACCCTGCCATCACTAGAAAAAATTATAAATAAGTAAATATACAAAGTAAAAATCCTATTTCACGCCTAAAAAAAAAGGGATATCTTTTTCACTTGCAGGCTGTTTATCGGTACCTTCACTGCCGCGCACACAATCTGCCTTTTAAGGGTATTTGTACGGGAAGGTATGATTGTTTGCAAATGCTATCGCTCTTTTTTTCTTTCAATCTCACACCTGTTGTTCTAAGATGTACTTTGTAGAGCTTTTTCGTGCAGCTCGCGCAGAACAAGTTCTTCTCTGTCGAAATTTTAACAGTTCTTTTCTGTGCTTAAGTTTAAGAGCGAGATATGCCTTCTGAAATCGATCGTAAAATTCATCAAAAGCTGGCTCATTTGTGCCCTGATCTCGTCTGGTTTGAGCTGAGGATCACTAGAAGGAGCTGTGGACCAAGACAAAATACAATGTTACTAAACAGAATGACGATTAAAGGAACAAAGGAGACGGACAACCATGCATTTAAAACTTCCATCCCTCAAGATGATCGTGAAAGAAAATTTGATATGTAACTAATTTAAAAAGTTAAGAGTATACAGCGTCAAGGGATATGTCAACCGGTCATTATTTACCACCTGAGGGGGAGGGGTTTGGAAGATTTTGACTCTGTCACAATAAATTTTACCTGATCCCCTCTAAGTCTCTTTAGTATTCATATGATCCACCCTCACTGGGAAGTCAATTTTCTATAGTGGCCCTTTAATGCTTTGCTAAGGACGACTGATCATCCATCCGTCCCCCCCCCCGAAATCCCCCAACAACCACCCCTCCCCCTCAAATAAAGTGGTAAACTGAAAGAACTGGGAATGATAATTGTATGATTCGGAGAATAGTTAAACAGCAACACCTTTATTCAAGATGGCAACCCGTGTAAGCACTTGGTTCCAGCATGCAACGCGCAAGGTTAACATGATTGACAAAGGTAGAGATTGGCCTAACCCTGCAATGATGACAGAAAATCCTGCTGAAAGCAACATGCTGCCGATACAGCAAATATTCTCCCTGAACCGTCTGAAACTTGACGATATTTGTGAAATTGGTTATATTGGTAATATAAGTAAAAGATACTCTTTAGTTGTTTTTCAGTTCTTTATACTGTAGCTCAAGGGTTAGGGCCTCTTTACCTTTCAGTTGACTATCTTTTTTATTATTAGCATGCTTTACGTTCCTTTTCAGCCATATCTGCATTACGTGGTAGGCGAGGCCACCTGTAGCCACTGTGATCAGACCAAAACTAACCACTTCTAAAGTTTTCTTGTAAAGAAAACTCCTTGGGTCAGAAAATTTTATTGCTTCCATGGTCGGTGTGGCTTCTGTAGAATGATCTAAAGGTCCCTTCAAGAAAAGAAAGCAAAACTTATTCAAAAGATTTCTACAGGGTAAAATCTTAGACGAAAGTACAATCTGTGGAACACCTCCATGGAGAACCATTTTCAATTCAATCAACTGCATTTCTACGTTATGGTATTCCCTACCAATGATATAATGAAGCTAATCTATTCCTTCCCTTGTTCTTTGAATCATTAACTACAAAAATGTTCTCCATTTACCAAACGTTAAATATCTTTAAGAAAACAACATGGTCAAAGTCTTAAACACTTTGATTAGTTTTAACTAGTTTCCAAGGCAGAAATTATCTCACCTGGTCTACTTTTGGCTTCCCTAGTCTATTCTCGATAGGCATCATTTTCAAATATTCCTTGAACGCTCCGAGATAGTGCCTTGCTTCTCCAATTAATTTTATTCCATAATAAAACCTGTTTGGAACAATTTTATAAACTCTAAAGTCAGGATCGTCCAAGTCCTTCATAAAAGAGTTCACGAACATGAAGTCCATTAAAGCACCATCCAACGCTTTTGATTTAAGATCAGGTACCAAAGTATTCCTTGTGTAGTAATGCGTGCCTGAAATTTAAACAGGTTTTACTATTGAAATTTGGTAGTAGTGTACTTTGATCGTTCGGGTGAGTGTAGTCCTGAGAAGGACTGTTGTCGGTAGTAGTGACTGATGTTTCGACAACCTGAGCGGAAGTCATCATCAGAGTCAAGTGAATAGTTGTTGTCGGTCGAATGTTCAAAGTCCGGTTTGTATAAACTGATGGGTAAGTTTTGCTGTGATGTTATTGGCTGTAAGACTCAAGCGGCGTAGGTCGGTCGTGATTGGTCGGTCTCGATCCATTACTTTCACTCGGACGATAAACCATTTACTGTATTGAAATTCAAAAAATTAAATTCATTTACCTTTGCTTCCATTGATTCGCAGAGCATAACGATGTTCAAGGGAACCATTGATCACGCCGATCTGAAAAATGAAATGGGTTAGAAGTGAATAGTCCGAGCATAATCACATGCATTATGATTCATCAAAATGTGTTCATTGTATGTCACTGAACTCCAGAAATCGCATATCCTGTATACACAAGTATCACGGACAGTCCAGTTCGAAGTTACTTTGGGATAGTCAATAGACACCATAACGCATGTGATTATGCTCGGACTATAAGCAGGATTTCGCTCTGCATGCCTCAAGCGATACTTCTTCTAAGAATTAAAAACCAAGCAAACACCAGCCTTTGTAACCTGTCTACCTAGGTGACCTGCCAGTCTTGGTAATCTGCCAGGCATGACAACCTGCCACTCTTAGTGACCTGCCAGCCCTGGCACCCTGCCCAATTTTTCCATAAATCGAACTGGCATTGAATCGCGGGTTTCAACTATTAATTGTACTTAATATTTCGGATACCAGTCTTCACGAGGTCGCGACTCTTGCGCACTGAGATAACTAATGATCAATTGTCTTTGTGCTTGATGACAAGATAAATGTAGTATCCAGCAGTGAAGTGCTTGTAAGTTCGTTAAGACAATCAATGAAGTAACAAACTGAATAAAATGAAGAAACGAACTAGATTTCCTCTTACCGCTTTTCCCTGCTCAGGATTGGTTAACGTATTAATTGTGAAAACCGTCAGCAGTGACGATAGAGCTGATACAAATAAAGCGCTGATGACGACACCCACAAGAAAAGTGACAATGCTTATGAGCCTTCCAAGCACTGATACTGGATGACGATCACCATACCTGTGTTATTGACAGAATTTAACACGCTTTTAATGAAGAATGATTGAGTGATTTCATAAGTTAATGGATAAATAGTTCAGTTGAAGACGAGCTAATAAATGAAGCAATGTAATAGCTAGATGCTCGGCCCATTATGTGCTTTTAGCATTTAACCAAATCTCTCAAAGCTTTTTAAAAATATTTCTACTCTATGAAATTTGCTCATCTATATAAATATTGACAGCGTGAATTTAATCCTGCAATGATTTTGTCTGTACCATTCATCCAACATGAGATTGAAAATGAACTTTGACAAAAAATACATTAGACATTGAATAAGGTATATTCAGTTTCTTGCAATTTATAAGTAAGGTACTTTTGATGTTGTGAACCCGTCAAATAATATTCATCCTCCCACCCTGTTTGGACGAGTTGCGACTTATATTCTTCCTAGGTCACCAACAGTTGCTATTGACGAATTTCCTTAAACTAGGAACATGGTAATCATGCTCGAGGGATCCTTCTTTTGAAAATAATGCTGGTTTGCACAAAGAGCAGTGAAAACTGTTCAGTGCACTTTTGTGCCTGTTTGATTTTAGGGTGACATGACAAATGAAGGGACAACAATAATCTTTAAAGGGAAAATGAATACCTCTTAATTATCAGCTATGATTTCCTCTCACCTACCCGACAGTTGTCATGGAAACAAAAGACCACCAAACTCCTTCCCTCCAGCCTCGCGAAAAACGCGGCGGAAAATGTTTAGGATTCGCGTGCATCTCCTACATAGAGAATAACGTCGATGGGATAAACGGGAGGAATTTCATCTTTAATATTGGAAGTTTCAAGCTAAAATTGACGCTAATTAGAACTTTGTATTTAAAAGGCATCGGCAGCACTTCTGGTAAAATAGGGTTTTTAAATAATAAAATTCGTATTTGAGAAGGCCAAATTTACCTAAATTATATTCCTCTGTATGGTTTACTGTAACGATGTGTGAATTTTTGATGTGCCTCTGTAAGCCGGTGATGCGTCACCATTCTGATAATTTAACTTTTAAATTCCGACTAAGTAAAGTTCTTGTCGTTCTGGGAAAGTGCCGATGGTAAGTATTATGTTTCCCCTGAGTCTAACTGCAAATAATGCTGATTAGCGAGTACTGCTCACCTCCGAACAGCCGAAAGGAAAATTTGTGCATCAAAAATTTAATTTACGACCATCTTTTGGTATTTCGACAAAAATAAACTAATTATTTTGGCTTCTTTGTGGTACATACTGAAACAATTATTCACCGCAGTGTCGGTGAATATCTACCACTATATACCTCCACATCTGTGATTAACTGTTAATTATGGCCATGATCATCAATCTCACGACGTACAAATTATGTATCTTACGTCACATAGTCAATGTCATTTAAAGTGAAATGGTGCCAGGAAACACATGACTCAGAGAACGTTAGCTGAGATATATAGGTGGTGTAGGTAAATCACTTGTTGACCTCAAGGAAACCAAGAAAGAATTTTCCTCAAAATATCAATACTATGCTGATCAAGCAAATTCTCAATACTAATTCTCTTTATTGACACCATGAGAAATTTATGTCAGACAGTAAGGAGAATTAGTTGTGAGATCTTGGGAGAGGAAGGGGTTAAGGCTTCACTCACCACAGTCCAGGTTGCCAACCCAAAAGTGAGATACATGGCAAACATCACGGCAAAAGCAGGCCAGCAACCTAGGACAGAAGACTTAAGAAAAACTGCATACGTGTCTGTACTGGGCTTCCTCATCACGAGTACAAACCCTGGTACCTCCACCAGAGGTAAAAGTCTCCACCCCTCCCCAGAGGTTGGTTCTTGGGGCAATATCTTGATAGGCATATTCAGATGCATAAGTTCATCGGGTGCACTGGTCATATCTTCAAAATTGCCGTTCACTTCATTAAAAATTATTTCTGTTCTTTCATATTGATGACATGTGCCGCAAACATGATGTATCATTTCATAAACCAATTCAGGAAAAACTCCACCGGGAACTTTCTTGTTTTGTGAGTGTTGCGTAACACAAAGCTGTGGAAGTTTAACCCAGTTCACATATATCTTTTTGGGACATCGGCACGTTTCTAAGAAAAAGAAATGGAAAAAGTTACACATTTTTCTCGTTTTTCATCGTGTTATCCTCAGATTCACTATCTAAAGCTGACGAGAGAAATCATTTGCATTTTTCACTGAGAAATTTACTTGCACATGGTGTATGTGTAAACTATTGTGTATTAAAACGTTTCACCACAAGGATATCATTTCTTCTTCGGTTACCATCCCAAATTTTTATCAGATAGCCCTGGGTGTTTATTGCACCGACCTAAACTCCTTTGCAAAGTACAGGGATATTAGTTTAAAATCATTGTAAGGTGCTTGAGCAAAGTATCGAAAAGAAACTAAATGCAGAATTTTGTAAAGGGCCAAAACATGAACAGAGCTACGCATGTAAACCATAAAGGGGGCATAAGTCAAATCGTATTTATTACTTGGGTGGGACATAGTTTTCCCTAAGTTTCTAAAGTTTCTGAAGTTTTCCTAAAGGAGAGGAGGATTCGATTAAAGCAATTCTATCTAGAATTACTTTCGACTCTCAATTGAGGAACAACATTGCTGAACATTAGGTTAAAATGTTTCTAACTAACCTATAAGAATTTCTTCGCTGTACGGGCCTGGGCCTATTTGGGTGACAGCTGCAATCTTTAGGCTGTAAGTTGCATATGTTTGAAGTCCTTTAAGTAATGCCTTTGTTGAATATGGCAGAACGAGGAATTCCCCAGTCCATGTTTCGTTTTCTTCATGGATAGTATGTTTTACTTGAAACCTTATAGAATACCCTGTTGGGATCCCCTGCCAATAAGCTGCAGGTAATGATTTCCATGTCGCGTAGAGTCTGGATGGACTGAAGAAATTGATTGCTGCAAGACCTGTTGGAGGGCTGCGGGGGACTGAGAAATTAATTGAAACATTTGGTCAAAGATTATGAAAGAACAGCCATCTGATCACAAACTAGGCACAAACTGGCGATAGACTGAACATAATAGTTTTTCCATTGTGGATGTTAATTTCAACTTTAAAAGCAAGGGTGGACAATCAGACATGGCATCAAAAAGCGGTCTTCTTTGGCAAAAAAGAAAATTCAGCTTTGTCAGAGCACACATGCCTAACTAACCATACAATCGGGTGGGGAAGTCTAAAATTATCACCACTTATCAACGTGCCACTAGCGTCTTTGTTTGGAAACGTGGCATATCAACTCCGCCAACGCTCCTTTAAATCGTAATGATGGCGGTTCACTACCTGACGTCTATTTACACCTCGTCAGAAAAAAGGTGGCTAATTAATGAGCATATAAAAGGCACTCTTATTGAAGCGATTAGATCAGCTCTCATTAAGGCACTAGACAGGAGTGTCGAAACGTTGGGTCTATGAATTGCAACTTCTCGATTACATTCATTAAATCTTTAAACCAGAGTAGCATCAAACCATGTCCAATGGTGAAATGTTTGCACAACAGTCTTACAGCAGTTTCAGTGGCGCCCAAGCTCACAGCTGAAACTTTAATAAGCGTGACAATACACGAACCTTTCTACCTACCACTCTGTTGCGTTTTCCCAAGAGCACAAGTTGATGGCTTTCCCGCCCCTTCGTGAGTTACAATTTGAACTCTGACGCAGTATTTCGTAAAAGGCAAAAGACCTCGTAGTTCCACAAATTTGGTCAATGGATTCACCGTGATATTTTGAGCTATTTCATTCTCTGAGGTGTTGTATATTATTTGAATCTTCCTTAGTTCGCGAGGCCAGAGCCTCTGCCATTTAGTAGTCCAATTGACAAGGAGAGATGAGGAACTGATGCCATTAACTTGGATCTTACTGCCAGGCACTATGAATAGAAATAAAGAAGTTTTTGAGAAACTATTTGAGACTGTACAATATCTAATTTTTCAATCAACTTCTGCACTATAGTTAAGGGCATCGTTCACCTGTCTTCTGATGAGGGTAAAATGGAAGAGGGTATTTCTGCATATAGTCAGTAGTCCAGGGGAGTTACTCCAATGACAACTTCGGTACATCGCGCGTCCGAACTTTTTGTCAGGAGACAGCCAGGGGAGCACCTCAAGTTATTATTTATTTCGCTCAAAACGTACCTGAACACGGTTTAAGAGGTTGGCACACCCTCATTTCAGCGCAGTTTTGGTACCTGCACTCACGTGTGCGTGTCTGAGTTCCTTCACCACAGGTCTTGCTACATTTCGACCAAGCACTCCAGATTGCTGAAAGAAAAGATGTCAGCGGTTGAAGAAATTTGGAACAGATGCAAGAATTGGACTAATGTAGCTTATTGTGAGGCATTTTTCTATTTTATTTTCAGATTTTAATCTTGTTAAATATCTCTAGTTACTTTATCCACTACACGCAATAAATATACTGACAGTCTCTATTTCCTTGCGTGGTTAGTTTCTCAAAATTACGGTTCCGGGACACAGGATTTTTTTGGTCTGTGCAAATGTTTCGTTGATCCAGTAGTGAGCTGGTTTGCAGAAAATTGCAAAAGTTGTTTTTAATTTCCCTGCTACTAGATTGGTTTCCTGTAAACAAGCAATTAATAGTTGTATTTTAGTAAAGCTTCCTCTCTGACTGGAAAAAAAAGATGCAATTTAAAGAAAAAAATGGTACGATTCGTGAATAAATCACCCCAAAATGGATGAATTACAAGTGGAAATCAAACGGCTGTTTCCTTTTTCTTAAACGTTGCAATTGAGTGGAAGTTCAAATAATCGGTGACTTATCATACATGATATATATTTGCTTGCGTCTCATTTTTCACGCTCTATTTATATGTAAAAATAGCGACACTGCCCCCTCCCCCCTAACAATTTTGCTTCATCCTATCACTCACACTCTATCGTCTTACAAGGAGAAGCTTTCACCAGCCTTACTTCTCCTTTACGAGATCCATCAACGAAATCCTGCCACTGAAACACTCTGTCATTTGAAGCTTCATCTATTATACACTTTTGCGACATCTTTCTCACGCGTTCAGAAGAAAGTGTTACATTCCATATGTTAAAGTTTGAAAGCATCCCTTGAAAAGACTGGGAGCGCGAGAACCCGCCCCCAAGTGAATCTTGTTCTTGACCCAGCATCAACAAGCCACCAGGTGTTATCACGCGGCCTTTCCCGAGATTTGTACCCTGATCCGTCATATTCCCATCGATGTAGAATTTCCATGATCCTGAATTTCCTTGCCAGGAAACACAGATGTGGTGCCAGAGGCCATCGTTGGCGGATACAGATATTCTTCTACAAATTTGGAAATAAGGGAGCAGTCATCATTTATCACGTGGGATAGGGCGGGGAGGATTGGAGGATTTTGGTTCTGTCACAATAAAGTTTCCCTGAGCCCTCATAAGGCTCTCTTACATTCTTGAGACCCCCCTCCCCCTGTTGTTAGTTAAATGGCAGTCAATTTTCCATAGTCCTTCCTTTGTACTCTATTAATGATGACTGATCCTCTCTCCGTTCTCCCTGAAAACGAAGTGACCCCCGCAAACTCCTCCACTCCCCGTGGACAAATAATGGCTTGTCTCTAACCGAAAAAAATGACTGTCAACAACAATATAAACAATGGTATTATTGCTAAAGGAAATTCTATGTAAGAAGAAAGCTGCACCTATTTTCCAGACCTATTTCATCGCGGTCACAAGGGTTATAGAACCCCTGCCTGAAGCTTACAGCTATCTTATAATGCGCCATGTGAATTAAACAAAGCCTAAGTCTTATATGTTATAACGTGAATCATCGTAAGACAGAAAGATATACAAGGGAAATAACCAGCAGTTTCAGGAAAAGCCATTTGCCAGTGGACTCCCACCACCTGGCTGTAAAACCTCTTACCGCCGTCTGTTCAGGCTCTCATACTTGGGATTAACGTTACGGCCCCTTTTCCGGGCACAGCCGCCTAAAAAACACCCTCGACAGCCGATTATGAAAAGAAGTTATTGAAACCCCTGAATAGATCCCAAAAGCTCTCCTGTTTCTTTTACAGAATTTCAAGAGCCTTTTCACAAGACGTCAAGGTGGATATCTTTATCTACACCTAAAAGATGAATGAGTCTAAAACAACGAATTAAAAAATCTTTAAAGCAAATGAATTTTGAACTGCTAACACATTCGTGAAAACGTCAGGTTAGTCAGTACAAAACCGTCCATCTATTTTGTCTGCAATTTCAACCAAGCGATGCCCTTACTCTTCAGAGGTTTTTCTTTCTAATTCATCTTAAAATTAATTATGAATACCTGAATATAGTTTAGAATTTCAAAAATGCATTTACAAGAGTATTACTGCGGCTGAAGAAGGAGAAGAAAGTTACAACTTGTATTAAAATTAATGATTTAGTTTCACATCTTTCACGTAAGAATTGCCACCATAATTTTGCGAGTATCCACTCGAGTAGTTAAAATAGGGACAGTTTTTCTTCGACGAGCGGTTGGCTAAACAAAGGCCCGAAACAGTATGGCTTTAACTCTTCAAAAAGAAGACGATAAAGCTTAAAACCATTTTGCAATTTGTGACAAGGAGCGTTTCCGAATTGTGTTATAACTCTATGTAGCCACCGGGTTGGTGTGCTGAGCCGACCATGCACATAAGATTTAAACTCTTGACTAGTTTAGCATCTTTTTTTCAATGAATTTACGAAGCCATTTACCTGGAAAATGTTCCAATTGTCAGCAGGAACCCATTTCTGTCGTAGTCAATGACCAGCTCATTGTACTCTTGTGGCACAGCATAGCTGAGAGGAGTTCCTTGTGAATCGCTAGACTTCATCGAGAAACACACGGTGAATTTCGTCAAACTTGGCATTCCCGTTACGCTGATAAAATCACTGACTCCTTTCTTTGGAAAATATAAAGCCCTATCTAAAATAAAAGGAAAAAAAAATGCGTCGAGAATCGGTTAACTGTTACATTCTAAATAGGAATATTTTTTTCGTAGGAAAAGAACTGAAAAAATGATAACTTCAATTTGTCCTGTAATTGTGATAGGGATCCCCTTCCCTCCCCCCTCCTCTAAATTCGTCCTTTACCAGGTATGGTTAGGCAGCCTGTCGTGTGATCTAAAAGTTCAGACTAGAGTAAAAGGTCATGGATATGAAAACTGTGGCCCGTGACTCCTTTCAAATTGTTGTTTATCGTGTTGCTGCTGTTACTTCTTTTTTTTTTTTTCTAAATTAAGTTTTTTCGTCTTCAACATGGACTTCGGAAAACAATGAGAAAACTGGGCCGTTATTTGATAAATTCAAAAATTCTGGCATGTTCACCTTTGTATCCTCCAAAGTCAAGCATAACTATGCGTTAATTCTCTATTAAGATCCAATCAAAGCTTCAGACTTTCTTAACTGACACCGGTTTCATTGAAGCTGACTAAGATGTAATTTAAAGATCACTGGTCCTCGAAGACTAGAGAATGGTCGAATTGTTTTTGGGAAGTTTACCGCATTTACGTTTAACCATATGTATAGCAATGGAAAAATATTAAAAGAACAGTAAGAACATGGAGATAGAAATAACTTAGGGGTAATTTAACAGAAAAGGAAATATTTGCCTGTAGTGATTCGTCTATAGTTGAAGCTGAAAAAGTGCCATGAAAGAGTGGCAACAGAAACAGGTTTTCCTTGCATCCTTACTATTCAAGAAAGTGAGTGGCCAAAAAGGAGAAGTTTTCTGATTATCTATATCTATAATCCTCTCATCTGAGCTTCTCCTAATAACTGGCGATTTCAACATCCATGTCAACGTTGTTAGGGACCCCCACAGATTGAAACTTCTTGATTTACTGGAGATAATGAGTTTACAACAGGATGTTTTAACCTAATCGTAACACGACATTTCGAACACTTGGTTAGGGAAACTCCCATATCAGACTATCACATTTCCTATCACTAGTCTGTTATACGCCGGTTAAACCTTGACAAGCCTAGGATAACAAAGCAAACAGTGAACTTTAGGAGGTTTAAAGGCGTGAATTTTGATGTGCTATCTGATGAAATTTCATCGTCGGACTTATGTACAAATACCCCGGACACAATGAATGATCTTGTGTCGTGCTATAATTCCACTCTTGCGTCTACCCTGGACCGGCATGCACCACTCATTACAAAGACCATCCCAGCTAGGCCCCTAGTACCTTGATTCAACGATGATATTAAGGAGGCTAGAAGACAGAGACGCAGGGCGAAGAGGAGATGGCGGCGCATTGGTTTGGAGGTAGATTTCCTTGCATACAAAGCTATTAATAACAACACTAACAATCCGATGAATGAAGCACGTAAATTGTTTTTCAAAGATTTTGTAAAAGAAAACAGCACTGATCAGAGGAAACTGTTCTTGGCCACTGAGAGACTGCTTAGGAGAGAGAACGTGGTGGAGTATCCTCAATTTGACGACAAGATTGCTTGATTTAGCAACTTCTTTGTTTAAAAGATTGACACCATACAGACCAAACTCGACATGCTTTCGTTCCCTCCTCTCCGCACTGCTAACGAGTGCGTTCGTGATGTACAGTCCATTGAGAAGTTTGACATACTCAGCCAATCTGACGTCCGAAAACTTATTGAGTCCATCCCCAAAAAGTCATGTTTACTAGATCATATACCTACAACACTTGCTATCGGCTGCATCGATGTTTTGTTATCATGATAACTAAGATTATAAACTTATCGCTACAGACAGGTGAATTTGCTGTTCGAAGGAAATGTGCGCTAGTCCTTCCTTTGCTTAAGAAACTTGGACTTGAAATTATTGCTGAAGAGCTATCGCCCCGTAAGTAATTTGCAGTATATTTCTAAGCTTACAGAGAAGGCCGTTTTCCAATAAACGCATAGTCACATGACTATTGATTCATTATATCCCGAGCTCCAGTCATCGTACCGCCAACACCACAGTACGGAAACAGCCTTGCTGAAAGTGATAAATGATGTTCTTCTGAACATGAACTCTCAGCAAGTCACACTTAAGTTGTTGCTTGTTCGCAGCGCAGCTTTTGACACTGTCAATCACGACATTCTGTTGGAGAGACTTGACAAGGACATTGGCATGCGCGGTGTTACGCTCGACTGGTTTCAGAGAAAGAGTTTGGGAACGATATTTGACATTTCAAATAGTCTGGATACTCATGTAAATCATGTTTGTAAGACTGCTTTTTACCATATTCACAATAGTTGTAGTTCTGTTTATTCCCTTTAGATCGAATTCTTCATTATTTTTGGACCGTCTCAAGGGGCGCATGCTATCTACATTAGGAGCTCGTTCATTTTATGCTTCTGCCTCCACACTGTGGAACAGCCTTCCAGCAAATATTCGGGAAATAACATCACTCGGCATTTTAAGAAAAAACTTAAGACACATCTTTTTAATTTAGCTTACAACGAGTAACTTTTCTTAGAGGTGGTCAATTGGGTATTTATAGTATTAGGTTTTATAGATATTTCTTATAATTCATTATAGTTACTGCATTTTTATATATATTTTTTAATTCATGTTAAGCGCTTTTGATCATTTTAATGTTAAAAGGCACTATATTAAGTTTTAAAAATTAACTAATTAATTAAGGGGGAGGGGTGCCATACGAGGAGGCGCTTGTTTGACACTATAGCCTTAGGTGATGGACTTTTACTTGTGATGCGGGGGGGTTAATCAAAGCGACGGCGCTCATTTGAGAAAATATGACGTGAGTTACCTGTAGGCGTGATTCATAACCAATGATATTCCAGGGCTCTATTCTTTTTTGTATACGTTACTTTCGACATTTAGGGCTTAACAAGAGAATATAAACTGTTATAATCTCTTGGGCTTCATCATGATGTAAGGAACATCCGTAATTGAACTGGTGAGGATGGCAGCGTCATTTGTTCTAAATAGTTTTTTAATTAATTATTAATGTAGTTCTTTGTTGCTGTGGGAGAGCGCACGAAGTTTGGCGGGAAAAAATGGAAGGATCGATAAAATTCCTCTTTAAATTGATGGAAATAATGTAAAAATTAGTGATAGTGCACAGTAAGCTGCAGATATTAACATTTTTTCAGAGCGGTAAAGGTTTCCGCGACGCCCTAGATTATTTGCATATATTGGTGATTTACAGCACGATTCATTTAATAAAACATTTTATCCCGTGCAGGTGGAAGTTGCATTCTCAATGTGGACCTGTCATCCTCAACATAAATATTTATTTTACTAAAGTTACTCTCTCTTCACGTGAACAATATGTTGAATATGTTAAACCGATTCTTTTAGCCACATAGTGTGATATATTCATTTTAACTGCACGCCTAATAATTAACATGAAATTAAAAAGACTGAAAATGTTCTTTAAAATTTGAACAGACTGAGTGTTTTTTTTATCAGTGACAGCCCGGTTTGGCTTGTAGACATAACCGATGTCAAAATTCAACCCAGAGCTGGACATGAAAATTTAGAACTCGAATCATCAACAAGGAATAGACCAGCTTTTTGTAATTATTCTTTATAACTATTCTTTACAGGATCATAAATTACATACTTAACACGTGAATTTCCAGAGCCTTCTTCAGAATTGATAGGCAAAATGGTACAGTTCCAAATAATACTCCTAAGTCTTCTGTCTACTCACCCTCAAAAGAATAACGTGATGAATATGCTGCTGTTACGTTTGATCCGTTGGCACAGGTGAAAGTGTGTAAAACCTATTTTATCCAATAGGAAAGTAATACAGCGTAATAGTGAACTTAAAAAATTAGCATCAGAGTTTCAAAATATTTTACCCCAGTAAACATGAATTCACTTACCGCACAAAAGTACAGAAGCAGTTTTTGTACCATTCTTTCTTCAGTGTTGTTTCCCTTCCGTCTGTATTGACCAATCTCCTTACAATACAAATTCTCAGAGAAGTGCTCACAATGAATTACCAGACGTATAAGATTTTGTTGTGCTTTCGGTAGGAAGTGGTTTGGAAATGCGTTGCAATTTGGTGAGGAATTGTCAATCTTGACGTTACCGCAGAAGTCCTGGCAAGCGTAACGTGTTTAACGGGAAAACACACTTTCTGGGCAAGAAAGGACGCGAAAAAAAAATTTTGCCCTCTCGCTGTTATCTTCTAGAAGGTGACAAATTTGTAAAACAAGGTGGTCACGCACAAATATTTTTCTTTCATTGTAGTCTTATGAAAATTCATTAGTAAACATAGTTCCACAATTAGCGCTTGGTCACCCGATAGTCTTCACAGAAGCATTTTTTTAATTGTTTTTTTTTTTGAATAATTATTAGAATTCGGTTGATAACATATCTTTTCTTCCATTTTTGCTGGCCTCAGCGGATAATACATCGTACTCTCTGACTTATCGGTAAAGGGTTCGAATTTGGTTCATAAAATTTCATGACCTGTTCGTGGGTTACCGATTCTTGTTTTTCATTAGCTTGTTGTCAATGTTCGAATTTTAAGGACGACTCACTGGGAACTGACAATTTGTTCTACTCGTGAAGTCAACGTCCCGTAGTGTTTGCATCAGCTTCGTGATCAAACAAAATAAATGTCAGCGGATAATACATCGTACTCTCTGACTTATCGGTAAAGGGTTCGAATTTGGTTCATAAAATTTCATGACCTGTTCGCGGGTTACCGATTCTTGTTTTTCATTAGCTTGTTGTCAATGTTCGAATTTTAAGGACGACTCACTGGGAACTGACAATTTGTTCTACTCGTGAAGTCAACGTCCCGTAGTGTTTGCATCAGCTTCGTGATCAAACAAAATAAATGAAAATTAAGGTGAAACTCTCAGGTAAAGTGCGAAGGCGTGATAGGAAATTAATTATTTTCTAGAACAATAATCATGTTGCTTAGTAACCGTTCCTCCCTACGAGCCAAATGAAAGAAAAGTTTAAGAGAAAGAATAAGTCTTTGTTTGTAGCTATCCCTACTGTTTTTAACGCAGACGCTTCGCTGCGGTGATGAAGCAAATTACAGAACGTTCCATCTGCCCTTGAAGCACAGTCTACTGTCCGCCTCAAACATAGACCTCTTATGGTCACAAATATATTGTGGCTCAGGTTTTTTCCTTTTTTCACACATTTTCGTCGGCGTTGGCGGCAACTCAACCATGAACACAATAGAGAATAGCTACTGCCAGCACAACCAAGTTTATGACTACTCACGCATCAAAATAGTTAGGAATTTAATATTTCCTTCTTCACTTAACGCTAAACACGCTTTCGTACACCCCCCTAATTCTTTTCCAACTCTCGTGCATGCGCAGTGTTTGACCACTGTGTCAGTCAGCGGATAACACCAATTGCTTGGTAACCGTTCATGCTACTTAATAACCGTTCTTCCCTGTAGAGAAGACACGTCTTTGAGTGATTCGATTCTTTTTCATCCACATTATCCTCCAGTCATCCGCTTATGTACAGGCAGACTGTTATCTTAAGAATGAAAGGTTGTTCTTACGAATAACAAAGGTCTTCGTTTCGTCAAAACTCCTTCGTATACCAAAAGTACGACGTAATAACTTCGGGACGGGTTACAGCTTTGTTTGAGAATGGTATGGGATTATACGGAAACTTCCTATGCCACACTGAGCAGTTTAAAAATTGGCCATGCAATTTTCTAACAAATGGATAAATTTTCTTGAGTTAGTATTGAGGGTTGCACATGTAAAAGTTAAGCCCAGTTGAACGATACAATGCAATATGGAAAAAATGTCAGCGTTTGATCACAAAATAGGCCTGAAATTCAACTTTTAACGTTAACAAAGCTAATGCTGGGAAGATTTCCGAAGGGTGTAGGGCTACGAAGTTGATGATTATAATTGCTTTCAGTAACGACTGTTGTGATCTGACGGAGGTCACTCATTGATGAAAGGGCTTCGTCTCGATATCAGGTCGCCACTGTAAGGCCACACTCTTTTGTAGACACCCTTCCTTTTGCTTTTATCTCCCAGCACTCTCGTCTGTTATCATGGTAGTTAAAATGCCTCCGGCGTATTCTTAACTAGCCGAGGGAGGTGAAATAATCTCTGCGCAACCTTTTTGATTCCAGGAGGAAACCTTTGATCATTTCGCCCCTCACACATTCAGTTCTCCAGGGAACTTGTTCGACTTTGAAAAAACATTTAATTATGTTAAATACAGGAAATTCATTGGTCAAATGACGACTTCTTCACAGAGAAGCGACAAACAAATACTAATCACAATTGAAAGATCCTAGAGTTACAAATACACCATACGATCATGTTTCAATAAAATTGCGGCTACCTCAACAAAGAACAGTCATGATGCTGGAATAACTTGAATGCCCTTTGCTAGGTCTTTACTAATCATGCTCTCTTTTAGGCGCCAGTTGAATGATACAATTTAGAAATGAAAATTGTATATAGCGTGTCTTGTATCTTAACCCACTTTCTTCTGAAACTTAAAAGTCGTAAACCTAACTATGTATCGATACGTCGAGAATGAATCATTAACGAACAGAATCACGGGCACTGTTTACGACACTATTGGGTGGATAATTTGAATGAAATAACCACTAATCTGCAATTCTTGCCCAAGAACAGGATTCTCAAATGTGTTTCAAGCCTCGCTTTGATTATGAGGCTCAAGAAAATTAACTTCTGAGCTGCCTACTGGACTCCATTGTTTATGAGTTTCCCGTAACTCATTCATTTTAGCGAGGTCTGAACTACAGTCACTCATATTAATTTGGATTTGAAATTTTTCATTTTAACAAGACTTGAGAGAAATCGAAATATGACACATTGAAAGAAAAAGAGAGAAAATAACTCTGATCGGAAATTGGCTTACAACTAATAATACATTTCAACCCATTCTAAAAAGAAAAATTCCTCACTGATGAGGACATTAATTTTTGCCTTCAAAAATCCATTGATCACACAATATTTTGCCATGGAAGTCGTAATTGAGGCAGGTTCCTCAGTTAATACTGAGTGAGATCGACTGAGGCAGACACCTTCAACGTTTCTTTAACATTGGTTGTTCTACCACATAATTATTAATCATTTCAAAAAGGTCTAATAAATCAACAGTTTGAAAACGAGGTAAATGAGAAGTATGATCTCCTCCCTTTCGGTGAGTAACATTTTATATTATGATTACTTGTTTTCTTTGTCTATTTTAGTTCTGTGCGAGATAATTGATTAAAAGTAATTGTCCATATTTCAAAAGTAAAGTGATTTCCTAATCCTCCAAAGAACGGAAAGCTTGTTGCATTTGTTCGTTAAGTTCTGCAAAGTCCGCCTTTATCTTGTCCTCGCCATCACTGTGAGGGTCCTACGAAGAAAGCAATGAACACGAATTTATCACCTTAAAACTATCCATGTCATTATTGCGCGCATTCGAGAGAAAATCCATTATAACATAAGAGCCATTGTGTCTGGCGAATATGGTGATAGATGTGAGCAATAGCCTCTCAAGAGAAAAGAAATAGAAACTAAACAGAATGAAACTGAAAAATCTATAAAATGAGTAATCAAAATAAAACAATCCATTTCCATACGTCAGACTGACCTTAAACTTCATACTTGACAACTGGTAAATAATCTGTCCCATATTCTCTTTAATGACTGCCCATGTGATCTTGTTATCGGACTGAGCGGTGGCCTCCACGGAGTGCCGTGCCGCATCATAAAATGCTACAATGTTGGAGAGCATACCAACAGTCTTGTAAAATGGACAGTAACGATCGTAAGCTGAGTAACCATTCTGTTGTAAAAAGTCATCTTTGATGAGCTTGGCTACTTCCAGAGTGATCTTATCTGCCTCGGCTAGTGAACCCTGAAAAACAGGGAAGCAAAAAACCAAAATATAAAAAAGTATCTAAGAATCATAGATTATTTGTGCTCAGGTTCCTTCATATGGAACAAACATCCAACTTATATTTTCCTTGTAAAGAATAAGAACGATGACAAACACTTCTTTTTATTTCCAATCAAAACAGTGAAATTATTACGAACCTTTCCTACAAGCTGTACAATCTCTGATAAGTCTTCCTCTTCTTGCAGAATTTCTTTGACCTGACGAGAAAAATAACAATCAAGCGCCAGATACTTCAACTTGTAGTTGATAGGAAACCTTACTTTTTAAGGAGAGATCTGGGAATGACTGCCTTCATTTTGGTTTGCATATGAGTCGTCTCAAGGATTTTTACGCCTTAAAAGAATACCAGACGCATTACAGTAGTTAATTCTCCAACACAACCTATCAGAGGAGACTCCAACAAAAAACAGTCAAACCTGCATTAAGCAGTCACCTTCGGGGAATGGCGCGGTGACCGCTAAATACATGTTCCACATAATAGGGACATTGCAAAGAAAGGGTAAATCTTTTAAAAAAAAACATGACCACTTATTAAACAAAAACTCGCTCAAAAATACTATCAACACTGATTTCGGAGGATGAAGATGGATTAAATTTTTCTTAAAAGATTATTTTTAATTTTGTTTGAGTGGTCCCACTTTAAGTGAACATTAAATACATGTGGAGGACGGTACAAGGCTGTTGGGACTTAGTTAAGGGGAACCACGACCGCTTAATAGAAGTGAAAGTTACTTAAAAAACTGACCGCTTAATACAGTGTGACCACTTAATAACGTGCCGCTCTAAACAGGCTCGACTGTAATTTTCAGTTACGCGCTTTAGTTCCGTTGTATGCTTCGAATTTGTCGTGAGATTTAAAATTTTAATTCCAAAAAAACTGACTGGAAATTCTCCCTTTTGGCTGACATGAATTTCCTACAAATTAGGTGTGAGAAGTTGGATTTGTATCAATACAAAATCTAGATGAATAGTATTTCTATTCTCGAAGCCTGTTAACTGAATAATGTAATGATATTCTAAGGAGAAGATATATGTCAATCTCCCCTCGTAAACAAAATTTCTCCTACGTTAAAGGTGTAATAATTACTTAGCGACTAATAGCGGAGCTTGTAGCGCGCAGCGAAGCCCCATGTTTACATTAAATGGTAATATACCATTACGACCTGATAATGGCGGAAAAAGAATACTTTACCTTTGTTCTAAGCGCCACGAACTCGGGGTAATTTTTCTCGTAGAAATCATCCAAAGCTCTCATGTATTTACTGTGACTGATCAGCCAGTTGATGGATGGAAAATGCTTCCTTTGAGCAAGCTTCTTGTCCAAACCCCAAAACACCTAAAGCAAAAACAAAATATGATATTTTCTTTAGCGTCTATACCCTACTTAATTGTGTGAGAATAAATGGCCAGAGAAATTGTTAGCACAGAATCGTCAAAAATACTCTGCAATATCCGTTCCGTTTTGGATTCCTTTCAAGCATCTGCATAAAAAAATCAATTAACTAAATCCCATAAATGTTTCATTCTCAAGGTTATTCCTTAAAAGTTATTTCAAGTGCGTCCCCAGGTTTTCTGCTCTTAGTGATTCATTCCTTCACAAATACCTGAACAATACCCAGTGTAGCAGAAGTGACAGGATCTGAGAAATCTCCACCGGGAGGAGATACTGCACCAACAATTGTGACACTACCCTCCCTCTGTGGGTTACCAAGGCATTGAACACGGCCTGCTCGCTCGTAGAACGAAGCCAGTCGGGCTCCGAGATAAGCTGGGTAGCCACTATCTGTAATAGAAAAATATACGCGTCAATTTTCGTGGTATTGAATTATCAATTTTTAAGGCCATAAATGATTGAATCGAGTTAAAGGAGAAACTGAAAAGTACTTCTGTGTTGTGTACTTCTATCAATCTTGCCGTCTGTACGCGGCTTGTGCATCTTTTAAAATCTTTGTCAAAATTTTGTCATTGGTTAGTTTTTGGTTTCCTTGCGTAATTGCTCGTCTCCATTGAGGTTTATAACTGCTTCGATCTTTTTCCTATCCTGAAATCTCATTATTTTAACGTTAACTCAATTCTGAGGTAGTCATCTACCTCGTAAAATACATATACATTATTGACTAAGCGTTAGATCAAGATGGCTGGATATTGGCCGAGTTCTTTTTTCTTTTTCAGCGTTTCTTATGGACCGAGACGATCGTGCCAATCAGAACACAGGATTCGCTTCATCTTGTTCACTGGCGCTACAATCTATATGATAAGATTTCAATAAAGCCTGATATAGGTTCACTTTTTGTAGCTACCGAGATTCAAAAAGTGTTTGGAAACAATCGTTTGTTTAATTCTAAGAGAAGCTCATAAAACAAAATCTTAGGAGACAAAGAGCCCTTTTCTTATTGACACATTGTCGTGCAGAGCCTTTCAAGGTCGCCTTGCAAGACACTCAATCAGAACAGATCCTGCTAGTATACATCATCTTATTCAGTAAACAGATCTACCGGTGAAAATACAGTCATATACCTGCAGGCATTTCAGCCAATCGACCAGATATCTCACGAAGAGCCTCAGCCCAACGAGATGTGGAGTCCGCCATCATACTCACGTTATAACCCATGTCACGGAAATATTCCGACAGCGTAATACCTGTGTGACAGGAAATACCAGTCAAACTCGTATTTGGAGAAGAAATACAGATCAAACTGGTATTTGGACCGGAAATACTAGTCAAACTAGTATTTAAAGGGGAAATACAAGTCAAACGAATATTTGGACGTGGAAAAAAGCTGAAAGATACAGACTAAATCAGCACCATGTAGGCTCACGCGAGGAACAGACGGAAATAATCAAATGCTTGCAATCCCTCAATGTACCGTTTGGAAAATGGAGCGAAATTAAAAGAGGGTAATTTAGAAATTACAGAGGTTAGTTTAGGGAGTGTCCGCTTATTGTAACAAATACCTTACCCGTGTAAATAGAAGCTTCTCTGGCAGCTACAGGCATGTTTGATGTATTGGCCACAAGGGCTGTGCGCTTCATGATGGACTCAGTTACTCCGCCGATCTCAACAGTGAGCTGCAGAAAAAAATCGATTCGTCTTCAATCTATTCAGCATGATGACAAACAAAATCTAAGAGAGGGCTTCATAATTTTGTCATTGACTGCGGTTTATACTTGGGAGTACACTGATTTTCTGCAGTTTCGTTTGTTTTGTTTTTCTCTTTCTTTTTTGTCACAAGTTGACAAAAGTACTCCACAAACGTGGCCAAACACGTACAATTCGAAAATCAATGACCACTTGATCAATTTCAGGAATACTGACAAGCCACTGAAATTGATATGTCAAAGATGCAGTTACCGTACTTCTTGATTAACTGGGTTAAAATAATAAATCCACAGACCCTCCTAAAGGAAACCTGAACAAGATGAACAACCCCTGATCAATTACAATGAAACCAAGGCAATTAACCCTTTTACTCCAATTATCTGGATGAAAATGCTCTTTACTGTGTCCTATACATTTCTCATAAAGTTTGTTCTGAGAATTTGAAGTTTGATTAAATGAAAACCCCCTAGTTTATACTTTTGCTGTTCTCATCAACTTGCCTGCATTATATTGTATTGATACTGTAAGGAGAAAAAATTTCTTCGTCACGCATGAGAGTGAAAGGGTCAGATACCAATCATTACCCACAGTGAATAAATAAACAAAAAAAAAAATAAAAAACCTATTGACTCTTTAGACCCAAACATCAGTATGCATATTCTCCTTACTGTCCTCTAGATATTTTCTAATGTACTGAAAAGGAGAATTTGTTTCACAATCAAGAGCTTCCTTAGTTGGTGATCATTTCCTTTATTCTCTTGACCCTAACCTGTTATTTTGGGGAGACATGGTAAGGAGAAGTTAGATGCTTGTCACTCTTGGGGGTCAAAGGATTCATGTGTGAATGGACAAACAAGCTTATGAAACAAAGCAAATCAATCTACCTCAGGGAAATCTCTTAGTACTTCAGACATCTCATTTCCTCTTTCTCCACATCCTACATAGATAATAACATCAGAGTTGGAAAACTTGGAGAGGGACTGGGAGATAACAGTTTTACCACAACCAAAGGCTCCTGGGATAGCTGTAGTTCCACCTTGAACACACCTGGAAAATGTTAAATTACAAGATTTAAATCATACATCACTTTCAGTTAGTAAAATCAAAACTAAGTGGCTATTTTCATCATTCACATACTGGAACAAAAGTAATGAGATTTGAGAAAAACAAACCAATAACTACGACAGGCAAGAGGCTGCCTTAAGTTCCCTTTAGGGTACTGAACTGCACTGATACAAAAACATTGTCCAGTATTTCAGTAAAATTTAAAAGAAGAGCATTAGAAATTGAGGCACTGAGGTTAAAAAGCACCTCAATACCAATTAGTTATCCAAGCTAACAATTCCATATGAAGGCCCTTGTTATAAACACATTTTAGTGCAAGCATTTCTTTCTTTGCTGGAAAGTGAGGCCTTCAGAAACACAACCCCACAAATGGTCTGTGACCAAACCTCTCCCTGACTTGTCTTAATCCTCCAGAGGGCAGAAAAAGTGCCTCTTTTGGCACTAATAATGAAGGCCTGCTAGCAGGCTAAAAATTCCATTAATGCTTGATTGTTATTGTTCAAACTAAAGTCTCCCCACTGCATGTATCCAAGTCCTCATATAACCAGTGATCAATTCTCTAACAAGTAAACAGATACACCTACATCATACTTACGGAAAAAGAGCGTCAAGAACTCTTTGCCCTGTTAACAGAGGGTAATTGGCTGCCAGCTTCTCTGAAACAGGTCTCATTTGTCTCACAGGCCAAATCTGAAAAAAAGTTCTGAAACTTTGAACTCTTTGAATTGCTTAAGGTTCTTGTGAATTAACATCACCAACCTTTACCAAAATCAAGGATCTAGCTAGATTTCATTTCTTTACTGTCACTCAGAAAGGTGTCACAAGCAGTTACATTATTTCTTACAGTACACACATCATGTGGAATTAAAGATCTGTGACAGATTTGTCCTGCAGCATCCAACTAAAAGCTAGGGAGGGCCAATTTGCCTCTCTTTTAATAATCCTGAGCATAAGCAAGTTAGTTTTCCTAAACGATTACACATAGATTATGTTACATCCTGGTCAGTAACAAACCCACCTGCAACATAGTATGCTGGGTCTTCTCTCCATCAAATTCTGTCTCCATCACAACATCCTTTGGTTAAAAGAAAAAACCTTGAGGTTATGTTTATTTTCTAATGTTGGTACCGAAGCTCTTCTCTGAAAATTAATATCTTCTCTCTCTCTCTGCATGACTGCAGTTACTAATGAAAAGTTAATGCAATGCATCTTTCAGTTCTCAAAGGTTACCTTACATTTGTCAGTTCTTTGTACTTACTGTAATATTGTAGTTTCCTGGAGGTGCAATATATGTGACTGTTCCCCTTGCCTTGGGGTGGAGAATAAGCCGATGGTTTAGTAAAGTATTTTCATGTACAATACCAAACAAATCCCCTCCTGTGATGTGGTCTCCAATCTGTGAATAACAAAAAAGTAAATGGTAATTCTTTGCAGATCGCAGTCCTCCTTCATTAAAAAGTTGTGATCAGATTCCCCTATGGGAAAGACTAACCCTCTAAAATTTGCATTGCTCCCAGTGTGTGGCTTCAGAGCTTGGGTTGTAGTGTCCAACTACATGTAGTATCTAGAAGGCATGGGTCTGAGTCCTGATGAAGCCTACATTGTATTGTTTTCAGGCTTGTTTTCTGCAATTACTTTAATTGCAGTCCACATGCAATGATCATTTCTTTGCTTGCAACAGATGAATGGATAGGAGTGACAGGCAATAGGACATACATAAAAAGATTCAAATTTCACCAAAGGCTACAGTCAACAAAATCTGGTCATAATGTTCCAATTCTGTTTTTTCTCTCTAAAGGTAGAGAAAGCATTTACGCTTATTTTGCTAAAAATAAAATTATAAAATCTTAAAAAGGTGATGAGATACAGCTGAAAGAGTCTTTTTGAAGCCAAAAACTCATGGTTTGATTTTATACTAGTTCACTCTACTTAAACAAATTATTAGACTGTGAAGATTTGTCAGATCTGATGAAACTTGACCGGAATATGCATCAGATATCAATGCACCCTTAATGTCATTGCTGTTCCCATTATCATCAGCAACCACAACATCAACAACAAAAAGATTACCTTGAATCCTTCTGGTTTGTAATCCCAGGAAACACTACGATTAAGAGCATCTGTATTGACACCACGAGGAATGTAAATGCTCTCTGTCATTTCATTAATGTCCTGAGATAAAACAGGAGGCCTTGTGGTGAGATATGCCTAACAAAACTACATTGTATTCTAATTTTTCCTCAGAATATGATACAATCATAAACAGCTGTTAAAGTGGAAGCCCTCCAAAATGGCTAAGCTCAGGGGCAGAAGCAAATTCAACAATGTTGCAGAGTGACAATTGACCATGTGCTGATAAAACCAAATTTTAAGGTGTGGAGCTGTTCACATGTACGATGTAAAACTGGAAAGAAAAGGCTTGGCTAATAATCAGGAAATATGGCTAATTAAGAGACATGGAGCTACACATGGTGGTTTCAAGAATTAATTTTTTCATTCCTCAAGTGTTGATTGGTACCTTTCTCTTCAAGCTGTGCACTACACATTTCCGAGAGACTTCCATTTGGTATTACATCAAGATTATACCATCTTTATGATAAGTTTACCCAATCTCATTACCTGTTTACTGGATAATGTAATGATATTGTTGGCACAACTTTAATATGAATCACTTCTGGGAGTTATAGAGTCAACTCATACCTTGAGTGGTCTCTGAATTCCATCAAAAATACTTCCAAGAATACCTGGTCATAATTTAAAAAAGAGAAAAATTTAAAGCAAGATCTCTTTTAACTCTTTCAACCCCAAGATCTCGCTAGTAGTTCTCCTTACTGTCTGCTATACAGTTCTTATGATGTTAGTATGGAGAATTTGGTATTGGATCAGACAATAGTTCCCTAACTGATATTTTCCCTTATTCTCATCACTTGTCTGCTTGATAATGTATTGATACTGTGAGGAGAAAGTATGTCTTGGTCACTGTCTTGGTATCAAGAAGAAGAACAAATCTTACCTGGACCCAGTTCAACTGAGAGAGGCTTTCCAGTTCTAAGCACAGGATCACCAACTGTCACACCAGCTGTTAAAATTGTTAAGGCACAACTTGGTTTGCTCTGTAAAACACTGTAGACAGAGAGGCAACACAAAGCCTCAACCCAAATCACAATGATGCAACTTATTGCACAGTAAATTTAGAGATGATTTATGGACAAATTATGCCAAGTCTTTTACCATCTCTAAGCTTCCAGTTAACAAATCACAAAAAGGACTGTTACCTAAGGCAAAGCTTCAAAATAATACCCTAGACAAATAAATCAACCAGAAATTAGCAAATGGAATAAGACATATACAAGTAACTTGGATACAGGTTTCCTCATAAACTTGAATTGTAGCCATGTCACCCTCAAGACGGATTATCTCTCCCACTAGTTCACTGTGTCCCACACGAACCTTAATGAGAAAATAAAACATTAAGAAATCCTATACTTTATTACTAATGATTTAGGATTTGAGCCAATCTGTCTCTAACATGCTGAGATCTCAGCATTTCTGTTAATTCCTTGAAAATCAACCTAGTTCTTGTACTCTCCCAAGACAATCTCACTCCTGGCATCCTAACAGTAGATACAGTATCATTACCCTGTCCAAGAAAATAACCTGGTAATTGAAATACATGTAAAAGACACACCGACTTATCTAGGAAGGGGATGGGGGGTAAATATGCTAGTTGACCCTTTGACGCATAAGAGTGGTTAGCATCTAATTTCTTCTTACAATATCATCCCTGAATCACACACTAACATCATGAGAATAATGAAATGATCAACAACTACAGAAGCTCTGGATTGTTAAGCTAATTCACATTGGGGAATATGGGGAATATGCATACTCAGTTAGGGTGTAAAGGGTTAATTTGTCTAATTTCATCATACAGAATGATCATATTGTTTGATTTTCAAAGATCATTCAAGTATGAAACCAGGTAAGAGGGGCAGTGTTGCAATTTCAAGGAATGGCCTCAGTTTCATGCTTATATCTCAATGCATATAAGGGGCTCTCAAGCGTCACAGCTCAATGTGGTGCAATAAAGAGTGTTGCTTTTGCTCTTACTGGAAGGTATATAATTCCATTGAATATTAAGCCCGTTTCTTATTTATTTATTCCCCAGGAAATCCACAGAAGCTATGGCGAAGTTTGTGGTACACCCACAAGCTGTTAGACCAAGCCTGTGTAATAAGATGGAAAAGCTGAAGGTTCTTCCAGAAAAAGCCAACAGTTCATAAAATTTTTTTCCCAGGAAACGTCTACATCAAAAAAGAATTTCAAATATGACGACGAGAAGGTGTGCATAAATTGATCTTTTTCAAATGGATATGTTGTTTATTCTTGATCGGATCACCAGAGTTATATCAATACTTAATTTGGTGTTCGATTTTGTGAGTTGGTTACATGCCAGATAGTGTTTTATACTTACGTACCAGTTCGTACATGGCAGCTCCGCTCATGTTTTCCGCCGTGACCACTACAAAAAAAATGACAGATTAATTAAGGCGAACAGAACATAACAATATACAGTAAGGAAAGGTTGAGGAATTGCGCTGCATATTTAATAAGCTGGCGAGGTTTGAGAATTTGATGGCGTCCTCACTCACCGGGTCCGGACACAGCGAATACATATCCAAACTTGCTCTCTTTCTCCTGATCTTTGATTTTGGGAAGCTTTTTCGCGAGATCCATTCCCCCGGCCTGGATAAAATCAGAGAAGAGATCCTCACAATTTGATTTAAATTACCCTCCGTCAATTAGAAACTAAAAACAAGAGGAAGTCGCAGGTTCACCCACCATCTTGGAAGTGATATAATAGTCACGTGGGTTTCTCGGGGCCAGTAGAGCTTACTCGTGCCCGGTACTTTTCGCATTCTATAAAGCAGAAAAATATGGCGGACTTCGTAATGGTTTATTTTCATCTTGTAGCTGCTTTTATAATTGATATTATTGCTCTTCAGCACAAAATTTTTGCCCAAGGAAGTATCGAGGCTACGCAAGCTATTCAAGTTACAGTTTCAAGTACACAATCAGTTCCAATTTTAATGTCAGTTTCGCCTACACAAACAGCAACTGAGAACGGTTCATCACAAATTGAGTTGCCGATTTTTGAGTGTCCTGATGGACATTATTGTCGTGATCTCGGTGCTTCTTGCATTAATTGTACTATGAACTATTCGTGTATATATGGGAAAGACACAGAAGCACAATGTGTGGTGTACAGCTCGATCAAATGCAGGGTACGTATTAGCTAGGTATGCTTGTACACATGTGAAAGTACAGCTTCCTTTCTTAATGAGAACATATTTTTATAAGTAGCAATAAGATATATTTAAGAGTAATAGCTTGATTAAATTCTATTTAATTGTTGAAGTAATCAACTGAATTATACTGAATCAGTCAATCGATCAATGAAGTAATTTATTCGATTGTAGGTAAATAAGTATTAGTCTTTACTTTCATGAGCAAATAAAACCTGAACTGATAAATGAAAAAAGGATATTTAGTTAAACAGTACCAGTGTTTCAGGTATTCATAGTGATCTAAGAGAGAAAATATAGATCAAATTGTGTTATTAGAATTAAAAAATTGAATGGATTCATTGACAGGGACCTCGAACTTTCAAGAAAATTTACACCTGCAAGTACTGTTATCAACTGCAAACTAATCAATATGAATGTGAAAAACAATCAGGCTGCAAGGTAAGAACTTCATGTTAACCTTTTAAAAGCAAATCCATAAAGTAAAATGTAGAAGTACATATCTAGTATATAAGAAGAGCAATACCCTCATCTATACACTGACTAGCAATACTCAATAATCAAGCCTAGTTTCCTGATGAGTGTTGAATAAGGATGGTCTTAGGCAAAGAAAGTTGACTTTGTCATTATATTTCTAAAACCTAACCATGCATCTTATTTATTAGCATTAAACAGATTGCCTTTGTCCATCAGTTGTAAACAATACAGGGACCTCTGCAATGTAAACCAGTGTAATGTTTCTGTGCATTGTTCTTTCACCTGTTTTGTGATTCTTTTTATTTTAAGTTTGAAGAGCTTAAAGAAATGGAATTTTGAATCTTCTTTGTCTGATATAGGTGGTTTCCAGTCCAAGAGAAAGGTACAAAACAAACTGTACTGTAAAGGACGACGTCCTCTGTCTTGGTGAGTTGTTAAAGTAACTTTGAGTTTAAATGAACTGCTCTGTTTCTGCTCTGTTAGAAATGATGAATTCAAAATGATAAATTATAGAATTTTCAAACAGTTGAGCAGACAAACAAATTTATGGATAAAAGTAAAATAACATATGTAAGAGAGCAGTTCAAGCAATCATGCAGTAGATAATATTTACCTTCTGATAATCATATAAGATATGGAAATCATTAAGGGAGTTATGTAAAAATATTTGCATAGATATATCACGAGGCAAAAGCAAATCTATTTTGCAAACAATAGTACAATATTTAAGGCTAGATTTTCCTGAGTAGACTGCAGTTTCAATCAAAGGAGGTTACATTCAAAGCTGAAATAAACAGTCAGGCCAGTGCAAATTTTAATCATAAATGAATTTGAACAAAGTTTTGTCTCTTAATTTATACACTCAAAACTAGTGTAAATAATTTAAAACAAAGGAAAAATTAGAAGCATGGCTTATGCATTCACGAAAGAAAGAGTATAGACCAAGATTGTACAGTCAACAGAATTACTTTTAATATCTTTTTTTTCTTTCATCTTGACTAGGTAATCGTACATTCTCAAAATCACTGTTGTGTAACTGGACATCAGGATACAGGTGGTCAACTGCTGTATTATTAAGGTTAGAGACTAGTGATTATCCTTTTGAGGGAATCAGGGCTAAGAATTGCTGCTATTGTGAAGAAGGGAAAAATAAGACTTATGTCAGAGAAGGTTTACAATAAGGTTTCGGAGAGACCTTGGAGTGATATGCCTTGTCTGTAGCCATGGAAAATGGAATGAAAGGGGAAAGTATGGACAGCTTAAATTAATCATCCCTGTTTCAGTTTTTGGAACTGATTTGTGAGAGGCCCCATACTCTAACCATGGGTCTTTGTATGGTAAGTAGGGCATTGATTTCACCAACATTTAATTGTATTGAGTTATTGTAAAATTAAATTGACTTTCAAATTTGTCATATTTGTGTTTGCAGCTTGACTCTAGGGGGCTTTGGTGTGGATCGCTTTTATTTGGGACATTGGAGAGAGGGTCTTGGAAAGCTGTTTAGCTTTGGGGGCCTTGGAGTATGGACCCTTGTGGACCTTATACTCATCATTATAGGATATGTTGGACCAGAGGATGGTTCACTCTACATATTTTAGTCTTGGAAGGAAAGCATTTCTGCAAGGAATGAAAAAGCTGTTCAGTCTTGAAGCCCTTGGAGTGTAGACATTTGTGGACCTTATGGATGGGTAGGACCAGAGGATGTTTCTCACCTAACATTCTTGACTGATATGGGACACACTGCTTGGGTGGTGCAAAGGCTTTGAAATGAGGGCATGATTGGGCCATCTGAGATTTGGTGCCATCTTAATAGTCTGGAACATACAAGTCCATTACATCCCCCATGGATGGTTAGTGTCTAAAGTAAATTAAGGCAGCTCTGCAAGTGGAAAGGGATCCATAAATGTGGTACCTTATTTTGCATTATGAGAACCTGCTGCAGTAACGTCTCAGGACAAAATTGCATGTTGAGCATAAGTACAATCTCTTTACTTGTGTTACATAAAACTCTACTCAGAAAACTAGAACTACTGGCCTCAGAATTGCTGTTGTATTTTTATTATGTGCTCTCATGCCACTATACAGCCATTTCATGGAAGACTTAGATGACTTGTACTACTGCCATGCTTGGTCATTTAAGAGAGCATTTTTGTCAACGCTTAGTGTGAAATGTTAGGCATCACTTTATTTGCTTTGATTTGCCATGAGAAAGAATCATATTGCCCTTTCTAAGCTGAAAAAGGTGTGGCAGAAAATGAAGACAATAGTTGATGCTTATACACTCTTTTTGTTGCCCAATGGAACCATTTTATAACTGGTTTTGAAAGTGCAATGAGTAGCTCTGTCTCTAAAGCTTAGATTTATTTGGTACCACAGACATTAAACGGTTTAGTTTTAGGTGGCAAATATACATTGAATAAAGGGAGGAGGATAATTGATGTAACCTGCTTTATAACGAACAGGCCAGAATTTTGAGTTATGTGTCAGCCTACTTGTAATTATGGAATTGCATTGACCACCAATTTCAAAGAAGGACTTCTGACAAGACTCGTTTGCTTCAATCAGATTTTGACTCCTCCAAATGAAAATTAAATGTGGATCCCAGCAGCCAAACAAAGATTAAAAGAGATCTGACTGCAACACTCTAGGAAAAATAATTACCATGGTGAATCAGACTTCCAAAGTACCCTAAAAGGCACTACACTGAAGTTATACATTAACGATATTTTGAACCAAATTTCGTGAATCCATCAGGGTCCCCCTGGACTGTCCTCGGAAAGAGCTGTCGCGATATCTAAAATCGTTTGGAACATCGGGAAAAATGCCCGTAAATAAAATGGAATTTGAAATAATCGCCTGCTTCGGTAGAAAACGCCAAAGAAGTAAGAGTAAACGAAGAAGAACGAGGATAGTTAAGATTTTAGCTTCGATAACGAACAATAGACTTAAGAAAATTTTAGCTGCCTATTTTAAATTTCCTCTAAGGCACATGTTTGATACTCAAAATTTTGCATAGGTGCAACCAGAATAAAGTGTCGAATACCAGAATATGTATTATGTTTTTTCCAGCACGAGGTTTCTTTTTAAGATATGGTACTGCTCTATAAGATAATCAAATTGGCATTTGAAGCTTCAGTACTGCTATCACGTACTACTGAGGGTAAAGAGCGGATGGTGTGGATAGAAAAATAGGTTTCCTTGTCTCGATCATACCTCAAATTGCAATCCTTTTGAATTTTAGTAACTAGGAGAATTTGTTCTCCACATGCATTGCTTTCGCTGAGCCGAGATTCTCGTACTTTCGTTTATTTCGTCGAGGAGGCGAAGCCGATGTACTGAACCAGCAGGCCGGTTTATTGGCTTCCATTTATTGCGGTATTTTCTTGGGTAAAATACTTCACTTTCCCATTACAATTCTCCACTTAATAGTATTAATAGTTACCATCAAACTTTTCGCGGTGCTTTTCTTGGGTAAAACATTTTACTTTCTCAATACAATTCTCCGCCTAAGAATATTATTAGTTACCAACAAACTTTTAGGGATACTTGACGAAATGTTAGAGGAAGTAGCATTTGCAAAACTTCCAGTCGCTTCATGCTATTGAAACCGAGAAAAGCTGAAGCAGTGTGAAGGCGCCAGAAGGTACAGTGCCTAAATTCACTTCATTTTTTTCTGGATTTTCCCTGTTAGCAAGTGCTATCATATTTTCATGTTACCTGACCCAGGCAATCCGGCAAAGCCAATAATTTAACTCCACTAGAGAGTGGAAGGATCTACAGATTCTTTCCTTAAAGACTCTCCCATTTAAGTAGAGTAAGGCTGCTATCATGAAGTGAATCATGCCCATCTTGCCACTCTTCACGTGCCGACAGCAACCACGACCAAACAGTCTTTAGATGCTGTGCATTCAGTTAATGGAAATGTTATTCACGATTTCTGAACAATTCGCCTTGTTCAAAGAAATTTGTAAAATGCAAAGTATTTGGTATTTCTTACTTTCATAATTAAAAGTTAGCGCGCTATATCAACCATGGTATAACCAACGTGCAGAAACTCGTGGAGACATCAAGAAGTTTTTATTACTGACGATCAAGAATTTTAAACAGAAGTGTTGCAAACACTACCAGTATTTAGCAAATATTAACCCTCATTATCTTTACTATTTTCCCGTCTTCTGATCTCTTGCAGTCCTTTGCAACTCTAATTTTTTAATCTCACATTGGAGGGGTACAAACCCAGGAGAAAACAAGCTATTTCGGTGATCATGTTTCCTTTGGATAATAACAGACAGCAAGGGTCTTGAGCTGTTACGTGACGCAAGCATTACAAAGTACATCTTACATGTTCTACCAAGACTGTTGTAATGGTGTCTGAATGATATACGAACAAAATAGAAATGCTTTAAAGAAAAAGTTTACAAAGATTTCAAACCCTGGACTGATGATAGTGAGAGACTGCACATATCTTCAGTGCTCTTTCATGAGCAAACAAAGAAACAATTAAATGGCGCAATGGCGACAGAATACACAAAACAAAGCTAAGAAATGTTTTTGTTTTTTCCAAAGCTGAAATCTAAGCAAAGAATACCTAAAATACTGTGATCTAGAATTTCTTTGCATTCTTGATTACTGATTAACTTTTTACAAAACGTGTTAAACTCTATTTAGGATTGGTTTATTACTTTCATTCGACTTTATGAAAAAAAAAAAAGCGATACGCTAGACTGTACAATTTCTCTTTCTAAAACGTTCTGTGATAAAAGTTATGTTTTCTTTTAACAAGGAATAAGTTAAAGCTGATGAAGTGATCGCGCGACTTGTACAAAGTGGTCCCTTGCGTTCTTGTTCTTGATCTTGTTATCACCTGTAGAATGACCAAACTTTAAGTCAGATTCGGTTTAATCCGCACCTCCCGGCTAGAGCATTAACTTTCCAATAAGCTCCCCCACCCACTCCACCCTCAAAAAAAAAAACTCTCGGACTGATGTCCGTTGATGCGGTGACTGACGCTTTGACAACCTGGACGGAAGTCATCATCAGGGTCAATTCTGGTTTGCAAAGACTGATTCATTGGTTTTGTAGCAACGTTACTGGGCATTGTGTATGTGACTAAAGGAGATGTGTTCAATTGAGATTGGTCGTTTTCGACCCGTCGGTAAAGTTTCGTCGTTCAGTTCAGCCCGTTGGTCATGTTCCTGTCATTATGTGCTGGGTTACTGCTACTGCAGGGGATACATCAGTTTACCAAATGTAATAAATTCCCTCAAAACCTTCCTAAAAATCTGGTAGCTTAGTTTAAAGATAGAGACACCACACTAAATTTTCCAAGAACAATCCCCTTGCCAATGACAATAATGTGCTAGTGTAAATGCAGCTTAAACCCAGCGGAAGAAGTATAGACTGTACGGGTACATTTTCAGGTCCAATCAACCTTGATAATTCTGTCAGATGGCAAAATACCAAACCTACAACTGACCTTTTAGACCGTTTTACATTCTCTACAATCTTTTCTACAAAGTTGTCACTAAAGCCTGGACAGGTCGTCTCTATTGATTTAAATGCATCCATAAGATGCTCTACAGATCGTCCCTGGCCACCTTGACTTTTATTTAGCTGCAGAAAGAAAATAACACGAACACTGTCACTAAGATTTCTTTACTCTCATAATGAATAACATAGGGTTATTGCATGTAATTCCATATTTAAACTCGAGCCGTGTTTAAGACAAGACCGAAGTTTTAATTTTGGGAATTTACATATAAGCAGTAAATCGCAGGCTTTTAAATGCAATTAGAAAAAATAACCACTAAGACAAAAACAAAATTCCACTTGCCCGTAGGGTGAGTGCAATCCGTAGTCTTAAACAAAATTAAGAGTTCTCATTTGTTCCAAATTGCACAAGAAAAATCAAGTAATCGCTTGTTATTTTTGATATGTTGAGATAGCTTTTCATAAGTATGCAGAAGCAAAGCACGCCAGTAACACAAAAATGATTTTGTCCATACCCAGCAAATGCAGTTGGGCGTTCGGTCAAAACGAATGTGTTCCATAAAAAAATCAATTCTCTCAACGTGTTTTTTCATTAGCTGCAAGAAAAGTTCAAAGCCCTACTAACCAGTTTGTTACCTTCTCTTCAACCGAAATACCTCCCTTGTACATTGTACTATCTGAGAACGGCAATTCACTCAGCCAATGAGAATGAATAGTTTTTCCCCAACAAAATTACCAGTATGGAATCAGTTAATTCACACCAAGATCTCTCCTACAGTTTCCCTCTCGATCTAAGGTGTTGGCGAAATAACTTGATTCCTCGAGAGAGACTGATCATCCTGTAGCAATGCTGTAGAGAATGTTGCGTAAGACAAGTAAAAAAAACCGGTTGCATATGCATACCTTTGTCAGTGTTGGTAACAAAACGGTTGATAAATATTTTGATGGAGGTTTTTCTCCTTTACTTTTGTCTTTTGGTACCTAAAAGTTGAAACACAGAAGCAAGGTTAGTACTTGTACCACAAAAAAGGAGTGCAACTTTTTCGGACTCCAACATATTTGGATCAACTTTGACTGTCCTTTCCCTTAAAATAAGTTTCACAGTAGTAACATTTGCCGAAACAAAACGAGTAAAAAAATCACTTTTTTCAGTTGAATTAAAGTTTTGAGGTTGGGGTGTTTTTTTTTTTGTTATTCAATAGTGCTGTTGTGGGCAGTATTTTCTTGCAGGGTTTGTACCCTTTTTCAGAAACAAATTTCCAGGACTTTTCCAGGACTCAGATTGATTTTTCAGGGACTCCAAATTTCGCCTTAAATCCTTTAATTTCCAAATATTTCAAAATCAATGCTCCTCATATGCTCTACATACAATTCTTATAATGTAAATTTTGAAAAAAAATTAGTGTTTGAATTAAACATATTTCGAGGACTTTTCACACCTGTAGTCTTTATCAAGAACTTTCAAGTCCTGCAAAATGTCGAAATAAAATTCCAGGACTATTCGGGTTTTCCAGGACCCGTCTGAACCCTGAGTGTCATTGTTACCTCATAAAATTGAAATGTCATGAGTATAAATACAGTAGTAAGACACAACAGAGAAGAAGGAGAAAACTTACTTCAGAAGTATTTGTGTTATTCAACTGTGCTGCTGTGGGGTCATTTTCATGACTGAGTGATGATTCACCTTCTCCTCCAACAAAAGGATTTTTCTCAGGAGGGAAAATCCACCTAGAGGTTCCCCCAGAACTGTTTCCATCTCTGTAAAAGATGACCACAGTAACAGTAAAAAAACTACTACCCCTGACTTGGCCATTTTTCTTCTCTTTTTTTCTTTTGACCATATTTAAGAGGCACTTTGGTGAAAAGAGGTTGATTATAAATTTCCAACCTAAACAACAATGTGCCATCTACCTAAAATTACTAAATTAAAAATACCACAACACACATATACATTGTATTCTGTTCAATGGCAAAGGTGAAAAGATGACAAATTAAGAATAATGACTTACTCTTCATTTTCCTCTCCTGAGCTGCTATCATCATCATCTCTACATTTCTGTTTCCAGTTTTTATACCTTTCTATTAATTCCACTAGGTATGAATTTTTCTTTGCAGTTCGAATCCATCTGTGCTTTAAAAGCTCTTTTGCTGTAGGTCTCTGTGGACAAATAAATGCTTAGGATAAATTTTCTGGTACATGGTGCACATTTTACATGTTTAAAAATGATAAAAGCTTCCTGAAAAAGAGCACACATCTCTGGCCTCCTTGTCACTGTTATTTTTTCTTTCTTTATTGTTTTGTTAGCTTTGTGATTTTATCTCGCCTTGAAGATGGAATGCTAATCCATTTTTCTTCCTTCATTTTCACTTAAGTGCTCAGTAAGAATAGTATCTCACACTACAGAGTATTCTCCCTTCCACAGTGCACTTTGTACTACATGGACTCTGTAAAACTGTCAAGAGAGTCTATGAAAAATACTGAAAGATAACCTTCAATAATTTTCATAAACATGTTGTATCCCATTGCTTTACAAAGGCAAATGTCTTTACTGATAACTCTATAGGGCCTTGTGAGTGTCAGTAGAGCATGAGAAACAGGCCTGTATAGCAAAACCCTTCTGATTAGGGAATCAAATGGTTCAAAATACACTCACATCACTGGGATCTTTATTAAGACACATAGCAACAAACTCCTTAAATGCTTTGCTGAAGTTTCCAGTCAGTTCTGGAGGGTTATTCTTTGGTATTAAAAATAAAACTCTCATGGGATGAAGATCTGAATTAGGAGGTTCTCCTTTCGCAAGTTCAATTGCAGTAATTCCCAAAGACCAGATGTCAGCCTACAAAAAAATATATTTTTTTAACATTAACCTTTTAACTCCCATAAGTGATAAACATGTAACTTCTTCCTATCATATCCAAACATTACCCAGCAAATAGTAATGAGAACATTCAATATTATCAGGTAGAAGTTCTTCACTTGATCTTACTCCAAATTCTGAATACTTCACAAGGACATGTGTAACAGCTAAAGGGGAGAATTAACAATCAGATCTTAGGAGTTGTAGAGTTAATTCACTGAATTATTAGGCAATTGTTTAAAATGCACATGCAAATTCAAGAGTTAAATACAGTTAATTTTTTTACATCAGATGCTTTAAAAAATTGTGGAGAAAAGCTAGTCTATTTTGGAAAACGTACATCAAACTATGGAATTGGCATGTGTGTACAGCTGCGCATTAGTCCAACTTTAGACAAATCTTACAGTGTAAGCATACTACAGTTGAGATAAAGACAAGCAAAGCAATTATACCTTTGAGTCATAAGCAGATTGTTTGATCACCTCTGGAGCCATCCAGAATGGTGTTCCAACAAAAGTATTTCTTTTGTTTAATGTGTCTGTGAGCTGTCCAGCCACACCAAAGTCAGCTAACTTAACATCACCATTTTCTGACATCAGCACATTAGCCGCTAAGTAAACAAGAAATGAACAACCTTTCAGACAACTATCAAAAAATGGATCAAAACAGCTGCATAACACCTACTAATGCATTGATTAGAAAAGGAAAAGGTACACTTTATATACAAGTACTGTACATGAAACTTTATTCATGGATAATCCTGACATACCTTTAATATCTCTATGCAACTTCTTTTCACAATGGAGATAATCAAGGCCCTTTAGAACCTCACGAATGATAGTTGCAATGTAAAATTCTTCAAATGTGCCAGCTTTCATCTAATGATAAACAAATCAGAGCAAGGAATTTTTTGTACAGCTGAACAGACAAAATGGGAAAGTGCACCATACAATTCCAGTAAAATATCTCAACATATTTCTGAGAAGAGCAAGGTCTTAACAGACGGAAAGAGAGTTAACTGAGAAGGATTGCATGGTACCTGAACAACCTAATCTAACAAATTTGGGAATTCTGGGATGTGTGTAAAAAAAGATCAATAAACAGACAGTTGAACGAGCAAGATACCTATGTATTACATTAAAGACTTCACACATACTATGATTAAAAGCTTACTGTATTGTATGTTGTCTACTAAACTATAACAAATGGTATTGAGAGCTGATTGCAATTTTGAGATGTGAATACTGCATAATGATGTGATGTTGACCTCATTAGTGTTGTTGGATACGTACATTAAAAACATTATGATGCATTTATGCCACAAGAAATTTGTTTACATGTATGAAATATAGAAGTATAGAATGAACTCTTAAAGTACATCTGCCTTACCAAATCTAAAGCTGATCCTCCTCCAAGATATTCCATAATAATCCATAGCTTTGTTCCCTGGTAACAAAAAGACATGCTAAATAAACTATACTGGTGTTGGCAAACCACCTACACTCCTTGCCATCCAGGACAGATAGTTTGAATTAAGGAATCAAAGTGTCTATTTCTTCAGAAGAAGAACCATGCTGTGGCTCAAACATGAATAAAAAGCCTTATTTCACTATTGTCTAATGACAATCAATATCAAAATGGAAGTCTTCTATCATTCTAAACAATGTTTCAGTGTTTTCTTCTTGGCACAAAGGCCTGATTAGCATGGGAAAAAGCTACCAGTACAATTTTCTGTTTTGAGTCAGCTTTCTACTGAGCCTTGTTTCCCTTTCAAAGTTATAGTGCACATAAAGCCAATTGTCTGGAGGTCAATTTGTGAAAATATTAGCTACAGAAGGTACAAGTTCTTCTGAAAACTATTATGAGATTTTTTTCAACTTGAAACAAAATTTGCTCCTCAAGTACTGGTTTAAAACATGTGATGATAAAAACCAGTCAACTTCTAGCCACTAGCCATTTTCAACTAGTTGCATAGAAAACTAGCAGGTCACAGTTTCAGACAGCTGAGTGGTTGGCCATGTGCCATGGGTATGGAGTAATACTGCATTCTTTCTACAATTTTTATTTTTGTGCCAACTCTTTCTCATTTTTTTTTTCAGCCATCTTCCCTAACATAGACTACCCCTTGTTACTAGTTTGGAACTATTAAAACAAAGAATTGCACATCAAACAGAGCTATATGTGACCTCTAACAAGAAAGAAATATACCTTAAGATATGAACCATGGTATTTTGTGACAAATGCACTGTCACACTGAGACAGCACTGTAATTTCTTGTTGGATGTCTTCAATTTCATCTTCTGCTTCTTCTAAATCAATAATTTTTATGGCAACAACTGCATTTGTCCTATTGTCTATGCTGTCAAAACAAAACAAAGCAAAGAATTAAGTACACAGACAGGTGGAGAGAATGAAGTTACATATTGAAATCTGCATTTAATGTAGAATTTTCAAACCAAGTTGAAAAAGTTCAGATTGTGATAAAGAGTATGGGAAAATGAGCATAATAAGATTGAAAAGAAACCCAGATACAAGCAGTTTCTAAAATGAATGCAGTGCTCCCTTTTAAGGGGGATATCCTATAAAAATTTACCACCAGCAGTACCTCTAATTACTGCCTAAACCCACTTGGAATTCTTGAAAATTCAACAAGTAAAGGATTGCTCAAGCAGTTTGAAAATTTCTCTCACTTGTCATGCTTAAACTAAGGGAAACCATTATTACTGCTGTAGCTATATTCAGCATTCACATTTACACAAGTAACTGGCATAGGCAGAATGCTCTGTGCAGTTAGAGGTTATGCTCAGATCACTCCCTTCAACGGACAGAGTATTAGACTGCCACCGACAAATTTACAAGTTTGTCTTAATAAGAAAGTGTTTCACTTAAGATTTGGTGTTTGTTTGGTTTCATTGTGCTCTTATTTGGAATGATTAGCATGCACTTTGAGTGGCCATTAATCATGAACTGACTTGTCACACTCTCGTGATTCAGTAGTTACGGAAATTTACGAGATACAACAATAGTTCTATGTAACTTGAACAATTTAGGCAAAAGGTTGATCAAAGTTTACATGAAAACATTACTTCAAATGGGTGAACCTCACAGGCACTGAAACAACTTATCAATCCAGTTATCAATATACCAGTATACATCTTTGAGAAGGGAAAACTTAAAAAAAAAAACCTGGTAATTTACTAGTGAGGCACCATAAACAGTGACTCAAAATTCTAACAAGTGCAAGGTAAGCAATGGAGACCATTATTAAATTCAAATTCCATGACAGTGATTTCCTCCTTTTGCCAGCAAATGTTGCGTCATTATTTTAAATCATAATGCAGATTAAAACTGCTAACGGTGGATATCAGCTTCACAGAACCAAATACGTTCATGTACACATAGTATTACTCTGATATTTCACTTAGTTAAAAGCAAGCATTTGTTTCTAATTTTTCCGCTGACGAGGATTTCGACGAAAGTGAAAATGTAGGAAAGTTAGATATGGAACATTATCATGCAAAAAATGAATCATTATTTACATTCTGGTTAACACGTTGAAAAGATACGTTATCTTCAGACCACAATCGACTGACCTTCTGTGCAAATATACTTTTTTGTGCTACAGAAGTATAAAACCTTGCAGCACATGGTTGATATCATTTACACAGTGCTATAAGATCTCGCCAAAATAAATTATCCACAAGGAAGGAAACTTCGCTCGGAGCTACACATGTAAATTAACCGAAATTTCGACTTACCCTTTATACACTTCACCGAACGAGCCTTTGCCAATTCTTTCAAGTTTTGAAAAGAGTAGTTCTGGGTCTGCCTTCATGCCCTAAAATTTCAATGAATTAAATGTTTAATCACACAATAACGCTATTCAAGGCGTGAGAAAGGTGTGTGTAGCAACTTTCTAATTGACAAATTAAAATTTGTATGTATACCGGGAATTCCCTTCCAATGTTAATACGAGCTTACGAAGTTAAGGCGCAGTTGCTACTGAATGAACATACCATGACAGTTACTAAGAAGCACTGTCCATGGAAATAAAGAAGTACGATTCTTACCACGTTATTATGTGCTGCCATGAAGAAAGCGATTGCCGTTACCGGAACAATTCATGTAAAATGTCCTTCAGATCGTGTTGACTTTCTTGGCCCTGAACTAATGCCGCCTTCGTGGCTAAATTCGAGTATGTAGGAAGAGCCAAACCATCACAATGCATTCAACGATAACTATATGATATGTTTCTAAATAAAAATTTGCGTTTTCCGCAGGCATTTCCCCAAGAAAGCCCCGAGTAGAGTTTCACTTCCCTCCAAAACGAAGACCGCCATTCTACTATAGTGTCGCGCTCGGCTGAGAACCAGTATACAAATAAGGACATATCACGTGACGGAAGTAATTCGTAAATAGCCCCACCTCAAATGGCCCCATATGAAAAGGTACTTCATTCGCACACCTTTGCCTAGTGCCGATTCTACAGGCAAAGAAAGCATCTTAGGAAATGAAGCATCAATCATTTTCCTTGGACGCCCTTCGAGCTTGCGTTCCAGTTTAAAGAAGTGGTAATTAGAATCAAACCCAGAAAAGAATTTTGATTTTTTTTTTCACAATCAACGAGCGAGAAAATACTAGGCCGCGAAGCAAAAACCGTCTCATCTAATAATTTTTAACGAAACAACTAAAACCTTAAACAAGAAAAGTAACAGTAAGACCATTGCAGAGTCAAAAATTTATTGTTTTAAGATCGTTGCAAATATATTTGAAGTATTTTATGAACTTAAAAAAAACTTTTACCCAGTAATAATTTCTTTTTTAAACATTGTTTACTTACATGTCATAGAAGACAGCTCGTAACAATTCGCCTCAAAGGCTGACATCAAATATTTACAAAGCATTTCATTTTCCCCACCGTAACAAATCCGTGTCATTTATTAATAACTGGCTGTCAACTGTTCGCTGTCTACTTATTTCAGCAGCTGGGAGGCGCTTTAAGCGGCCGTTGCGGTGGTATTGTTGGAAGATGGCCACTGTCAAGATGTTGCGAGGAGAGTGAATGCTTGGACTGTCTATGAGGAAAAGTCCACGTGGCTGTCGCGGGGAGATGACCACCACAGTATTTAAAGGCGTTCGTCAGATAAGAGGGTGTATAATTTATCTGTAAAATCACGCCTGTCTGAAATTTGTTAAAAACTAAAAATTGAATTTCCTCTGTTATAACACTACCGCCCTGCCTGGCTGAAACTTTGAGATCACAAATTAAAAGGGTGCTTTCTTCGCTACTGGGGACAATTTTTTTTCTCTGTACATTTTGTGGTTTTAATTTTCAGCCGAAATTTTGTGGAATGTTTTCTTACTCATTATATATAAATCATTTCGCAGTTATTTCTATAATGTATGTTTATTCAAAAACCTCAGAGGTATGTATAATTAACTTTTCCTCGAATTACACTTTCTAATTTCTGAACAGTAACTTACATACGCATTTTCTTGTGTCAATATGATACGATTTTCTTTTACTTGCAAAGCTTACATAATTTAAACTGGATTAAGGTGGCTAGAAACAGTTTTCTGAGTCCCCAGAAATCTTACGGGACTTCCCCATAACACTAGCATAATAATAGTGATTACCATGCCACACCTACTATTTCAAACTTTAATACTATGGTCAAAACACGTGTTAAATTGGTTCAATTGTGAAGAGGGCGAGTTGGTATTTGAGCGCTTTAAATATAGTCGGTAGTTGACTCGAAAAACTGTTTCCAGCCACCTTAAAATCAACGCCTCTATTTTTTTATGTCGATGGTCAAATCTGTCTTCGAATAACGTTGAATTGCGTCCTATGATCTCGATGATGCGTTTTATACAAGAGCCTCTGGCTCGGATGGTGTAAGGACAACCCTAACCTACGTCCTGACGTTAATAAACTGATTGATTGATTGATTGACTGACTGACTATGTTTTGGTGCGTGTGTCCTGTTTTGCAGATCAGAAAACAAGGAAGTCATATAAAAACGCATATACAGTAGAACCCCGCTAACTCTAAGTTGGCAAGGTTCTACTATTCTTTGTTAATTGACCTTTAAGGAAAGGGGACTACATTTTTCATTTACGACTTTAACAGAACTGAGAAAATAAACGTTGACAGCATTGAATGCCTTTTTTTCTCTTGGAGGTGTGTACAGATTTTCCCATTACCTATACTTTCTTTTTTGTTATGTTTAAAAACCATTAAAGAATGGAATACCTTGTGAATTGTAAATAAATGTGGTTTCGTACCACACCGTCAGTGAATGCTACAGACACAACATGGCTAGGTTTTCGTTTGTAAATTGCTTTCTTGGCGAATGCATTGAAACGTTAATTCCTTGTACCATATTTACAATTTTGAGGGTTAGAGGGATGAGAAAGTCACCCGTTCAAGCTGATCTACAGAAGAACTTACGGTGCAAATAACGCGGTTTAACCGGAAAACAAATGTATAACCAACGTACCGTTTTTGTCCGAAAATACTAAAACAATATTAGAGAAAAATAGAAATAATTTGTATTCATTTCCTTTCCGAAAAGATAATTTGTTTTGGGGATTGCCAAAATATTAACGGCTAAGTGGAGAAGACTATTTTTTTGACTCAGCAAAGCCTTCTTGAAACTCTTCCACGCACAGTTCCGCCAATCGATGTGTCTCGTACCAGACCCTTCCTCTTTTACAGCAAACCTTTCGTCTCTGACATAAGTAAAATGCTGCGTACTCTTCACTAGGGTCTTGCGGGAGAAGTAGTATGCTCTCTGTCTAGATCTTCCTTTAGAGTGTCCAGTGATTGTTGGACCTACGAAGAAAAAAAACCTTGAATATTAGTGGAGATTTTTCGACTTATATCGTTCGGACAAGCTTATTGAGCATCAACGTCCACCCACCCTATAGGACTGACGGAAGGGGCTCAGGGAAGGGAGGGGGAGGGGTGTCGAAAACTTCTGCGCCTAAGTTACGTAATCTTTTGTTCACGAGTGCCTAAACTGCCAATTGGTTATAGAAGAATACAGATAAAAATCGATATCTCTTCCGCAATTTAGGAGGATTTTTCCATCAGCGCATGCTGCCCAATATCATAACTTTAGTCTCTCTTCATTGGGATTACTCTTACGACAGGACATGAAACAATACCTGGTTCACAAGTTGAATTGATGAGGCAAGGACTTCTCGCCACCTTAAGGAAAAAAAAGAAAGCAAACTTAACGAGAAGGAAATTATAGAATAGGTTAACCAAAAAGTTACCACTTTGTTAGCACTAAAACAGTACCTTCCATAGAAGATTAACAATTGAAAACAGTCCCACTAGGATTCGCTACTAACAACAGATTTAACACCTCACGTCATTCTAAATCTGAGTCACACCAAGGAATAGTATAACTAGGCTACTAACAGCTAGTCATGGACTAAATCACCTTTTCATTTCTATCTCTTGGATATGTTTCTGTTGTTGGAGAAGTTCTGCCCACTTCTTGGCATCTGCAGGGAAATCCCTAACAAAAGCAAACAGTATTATAGTGACAATAATATTATATTTCCTGACAATTAACAGAACCCAACAAAAATCTTCTGGGATTTTCAATCGACTTACTGACGTTACGCTGTTCTTAACAGTAAACTAGAGGTTAAAACCCCAGGCTCAGAGAAGAGTATTAGATCAGAATGCACCTCAAACTTCAATCGCGCTACTTGGCAAATTCTGACCCTAACTAAGCCTAAACTACAATGAAATGAATTAGTTGCAAGGAAAGTTACACTCAGCGTCAAAGTTCATGAAGACATTGTGGTAAGTAAATCACAAACATCCAGATAAAACAGTTAAATAGTGGAAAAAGGTTATACTTCTAAATCTAAACAGCAGAGTTTGCAGCGAGAAAATGGAGCGGTTGGATGAATTCTAACAAACTCACTTGATGCTACCATCCCAGTAAATTCCTGTTTGAGTCGCACGTTCAAGTAAAAACAATCTGTACACGAGAACCAAGTTCAAAAAAAGCAATGCCCCAAGCCTGAGAAGGAAAAACATCAGTGATTAACTTCGACTATTTCCCGAAAAAACTAACATATTAAATAAATCAGTTATGACATGCTTCGAACTTACAGTGTGGTTTGTCGATATTGTGTAATTCAAGTGTACTAAATTATTCCAATTTGGAATTTGCAACCTGTGTCAGTCTTCTTAATCATCCTTTAGCATGTTACCGCCATTTCGGTGCTTTTCTACATGGACAAACGTGTACCGAGGTGTCACTCCAGCTGAAGGTAAATTACTCAAATCATCGATATGTAGGTCCGTTTATGATGTACACCCCACGTAATACAAAATGACGACGCGGTTTACAAGGGGTTTACACGTTATTTGTTAAAGGATGACTGCAGTCGTTCTGTAGATTGATCAACTGCAGTGGCACGGATTACAAGGGGTTTACACGTTATTTGTTAAAGGATGACTGCAGTCGTTCTGTAGAGTGACCAGCTACAGCGGCACGGATTACAAGGGGTTTACACGTCATTTGTTAAAGGATGAATGCAGTCGTTCTTGTGAAAACAAGTCGGCCACATCCAAATTGGTATAACAACTATTACGCTGGTGTTAAATTTGATGACAGTCGTTTATCGTTCGTATTCTTATAAGCCAGGGATTAACAAACCTACGTCAAAGTCTGTTCATCTTGAAAAGTTATGCCTAAATTTTTCAAGTTATTCATTTGAAATCCGTGTCAGTTCTCATCACCCACAAAATTCTCGTTCCTTTTTCTTTTTCTTTTTTTAGGATCCCTTATACCAAATTAAAAGAGTATATTTAGTGGTTATCTCGCACAACAGCAAATCGTTTGTCCTACGAGTGGATATAAACAACAGTCGGCGCTCCGCGTTTGCTACTGCTTCAAGGCACCGAGTCAGATGTTTGCGGTAATAATAGACTTCTGTACCTTCGTGCTTTCAAAATTCAAGCGCATTACCGAAATAAAGACAAGATGTACATAACAAAAAGCGCTGTAGGTTTCAACGCCATTTTTAAAACTGAATACATAACTCCAAAAGGCGTCCTTGTCAAAATACTTGACAAATGACCATTCATTAGCTTCTAGCGCCCATCTATTTCAAAGCTAATTAAATTTTTCCAAGAAGATCGTGGCCTGTCCGAAATATTACCCCTTGCTAGATCTTTATGATGGACTAAACTTCTAAAAATTAAAAACAGAAGCTACTAAGCTTACGTTAGCTTGTTTCTAGAGCTATGCCAGTTAAACATCACACATTCATTTCGGTCACGGCCCGTCTGCGAGTTTCGCTTTAATTTGTCGAAACAATGCAAAATTGAAATGTTAACTTCGCTAATTTCAAAACATTTTAACTGTAAAGAGTAGAGCTAGTTATCCAAGATATTAAAAGCAAGGCTGAAGCGGAAATTGTCAAACAATCCACGACTGCCCGGTGAGCAAAGAAAAATTGGTGGATTCTGAAAAAAGTAAACGAAGCTGCCTTAACTACCGCATACACAAGGAATTGTCTTTCTCGTTTTTCAGTGATGCAACGATAACGGTTTCGAATTTGCGATCGAAGTAACAACAATTACTATCACTGATTGAAGTAGAAATAATCAGCTGTGCATGCAAAGCGGAAGACAAGGAATGACGAGAACCAAGAAATTATTCGAGTATCTTGTAAACTGGAAAAATGCCTCCTGACGGACGACTTAACGACGAACAAGAAAATTAAACTTATACTAACTACTACACGCGTCCTTCTACACAAAGAAATGCGGAACTTTTAGAACCAGGTGATATCTAAATGTTCCTTTGTTTGATAATCGACAAAATAATATTTCTTCGAAGTTTCGTCCATATTTGAATACCAGGTTGTAAACCGCCGTTTGAGTAGCAAATTAATATTAAGCATATCGTTATTCAGGAGTATAATCAAAATAAACAAGATGAACTTGTTAAGAACTCACAGTGCCTTGTTACGAAAACACCACACTTCGTGAATGGAACAAGCGCTTTCAAAAGAATCTTCGGACATGATTCGCGAACTCCCTCTTAAGAATAGCGTATATAAATGGAATAACTTTTCTCGCTACTTTATGAATTGTTGCTGTTTGACAAAATCTTCATTGTTTCGATAAGAAACGGCACTCAATGAAATGACATTGTTTTCATTCCCAGAGCCACGAGATGGTAATACATTTGCATATGAGAGACGTCGATCATTCGAAACGGTAGCGGTCAAATAATTGCCCCCTAAAAGAACTCCTATTGAAAGAAGTGTCGTGACCTGAACAAACCGAATGGTTTAACAAGCCGGTCTCCCACAGCCTCAGGGCTTCATTGTTGAGAGAAGAACCTCCTTAAAGGCCATAATATTTGACTGTTTCATTTTTTTCTCTTTATTATTATTATTTTTTTTTTTTGGTTCCTTTTCTCTTTCCCACTTTTAAGCTGCAAGATGAAAATGTTTGCAACTTACAGTAATGTCACAAGCAAGGCAAGGGGGTTTTTCACTGCAACTTCCGGCACATAGGATCTATGGGAAAAAAAAAAAAACAATATTCTACCGTTTCCCATTGGTAAGTGTGAAATAAAGAGTAAGCAAGTTACAATGATAAAACCAAATAAAAAAGCCGGTCAAGGGAAGCACGTAACACCTCGTTAGACCTAAATACAAAAAAGCTTTTTTCTTTCTATTGTAGGATCTTTACTCTTAAACCGTTACGTCATAGATCGTTTCCAGAGAACAGCGCTACGCTCACAATAAAACTGTATAATTCTGCTCTTATATCGTACCATTTCTGGTACATCACAATAACTTGACGTTTTTACTTTTTCTGTACCGAAATATTTTTTCGAGGAAAATGCCGAGTATTCTACCACGTTCCTTCTCCTTACATTTTCATTATATTGTGCAACAAACAGGTGTAAAAAGCTTTTTCATTTGACACAAAATTCTCTCAACTAATTTTCAAGGAAGCGTGTGGCACCTTTAAGGCGAAGAACAGACCTCTGCACTCAAAGGATTAAAACGACTTAATGAAAAGGAAAAACAAATGAAAGCTTAAGAATAAAAAGTGAGATAATGGACAACCAGAGCCAGAGAGGGATGCCTTTGGACCAAGACTTATTTGAGAGGGGGGGGTTCCCGTGTATTAACATTATCTTCTCTTGTCACGCGTAATGAGTCTATACTACAATGAGCTGCGTTGCTGGCCCAGTAACCAGCAACCAGCCAACCGCAGATTATGCAAATGTAAATAATGAGTTTCTTAAATCACCCACCTTAACCCTAGCAAGCCAGATATTGCTGTCTTCGGCCATAATCTTTGCAGCAGGCCTGTTTGGACCTCTGAAACAGCAACAAATTAGAAATAAACCTAGGTGTCATCTACGAGAGACCTTCTTGTCACAAGCTACCTTATTTCACACAATCATGTTGATCAACCGAATTTGAATTTCCAAACTGATTAAAACAAACACATTACTAAAACTGTTTCAGTCTGCTGATCAGATTAAGTGAAAGACAAGATTCATATTCAGTATGACTAGATTCACGTGGGTTTCGAGAACAAGATGTCACAGGAGGAGTCTGATATATTTCCGGTTTAATCACTTCCGACAACCTGACTAAATCACTCTTGCTTCCGGCGGAACTTACGCTCAGTCTTCTCCGTGGCTGTTTCCATTGATTCCTTGCTCTTAATACTACGGTTCCTCTTATGTCTCCTGGTTGGCGATGTCTTCCTTTTCTTAGGCCAGTGTCCTTCTGTAGTTTCTCTTCTCAGACTCTCCACTGCCCAAATGAGAAAAAAAACCGACATCACGTGAGGTATGTTGTACGAGTTTATTGAGAAAAGGGGAAGAGAAGTGCCAGGGAAGGAAGAATGGTGATATCAATAGCACTTCACCACCCCCCCCTCGCTACTCGATAATAACTTCATTGTTTCGATAAAAAAAAACGGCACTCAATGAAATAACATTGTTTTCATTCCCAGAGATGGTAAGATATTTGCATACGAGAGATGTCGATCAGTCGAAACAGTAGCGGTCAAATAATTGTCCTCTAAAGAACTCCTATTGAAAGAAGTGTCGTGACCAGAACAAACCGAATGGTTAAACAAGCCAGTCTTCCACAACCTCTAGGCTTTATTGCTGTGAGAAGAACCTCCCTAAAGGCCATAATGTTTGACCCCCCCAATGTGGTCAAGAAAGATTTCAAGGCCTATAGCTTGTAACAAATCACGAGTTCGATTTATTATCATTGATCATTCTTGCTCCGAGTTATCTAATTTGTCTCGTCCACTCAGCTATGACGATAAAACGCCATAACTACTCATTACATCGTTTAGAAACGTAGCAAGCCATCATACAATCGCATTTTTCAAGACTTCCTATGAAGAGAAGAAATTTTTATATGCAAAAGATAGCAGCTTACCTAAAAATTTGAAGTAACCTTCAAGACCTTCCAATGCATTCTTCTCTATCATATCTATAACGCAAAACGCAAAACTGTTTATGGTTAGTTCCTGTACAGCGGTAGCTCCCATGAGAACAGGGAAGGACATATGATCAACCAACAAGTGCTAGTGTTTGAGGCCTGAGCCCGCAATTATTGTCCTCGCGTTACAAGATGACCTCCCTACCAACTTGACAACACTCGACAAACGGTTCAGCATCCGAACTGTTATCTAATTGGATGACTGGAGTCTGAAATACACGAGAGCGTCGACGAAGATTTGAGAAAAATATTCGAATTCCCGAGATTAGAACTCGTACAAAACCAATTTTCTTTTCAATGTAGAAATTTCACGTCATCCCAGTAACCTCAAGTACAGAATACGTCACAGGTTTTAGCTAAATCATCGGAACTAACATCAAAATTAACAACACGGCGTTAAAATTTGATTTTTAAGAAATCCGCTGTAAACAAAATTTTATCCAAGTTAAAGGACAATCCAAATAAAACAGCTTAAGTTTGGGTTGGTCGTTTTATAGAATATTACAAGAACTGTGATTTGAGGATGAAAATTCAAGGAAAAATTGCTCTAACATGTTTAGTTTTGATATTATTTTTTTACGCCAGCTTGACACCATCTTACTAGAATCCAAACTATATTGATGGTATTGCAAGGATTTGATGTTGCAGCATTACTCTATGGAAATCAGCTTAATCTTGGAATTAATGAACTTGCCTTGAAACATTATTTCGTACTATTGGCTTTTTACACTCGCCAGTGCAGAGCGGGAATACATCCTTCCCTGTAAAAAGCCAATCTCTCAAAACTAATAGATTTGCACGCTAGTCAATACATGTTGGGAGAATCTACTTTCAAAACAGTGTGACCTTGGAAATTACCAAAACCTCAGTGAGCTGAGTTACATAATGAATGTTGTCTACCTAATCCTATCGGTGAAGGGTTACGAACGAAATTTACGAAGAATTTAAAAGCACACATTCAAACTACTTTGGAAAAAAATAACATGTATCCAAACCCTTAATCCACAACCTCGGATTGGAATGGCTGATTGTTGCAACTGGTTCATGGGGCTGAATTTACAAGAATCTTTTCTAAACACGGGGACCAATTTACAAGCACGACACACAATCATACAACACAGACATAATCTCACTAAGAAAATAACCATCTACCAATTAAAACCCTCCGTGCGACCCATACAATAAATATTTCATGAACACAACAATAAAAGTACTGCGACTGTTTTGCTGGGTGTCATAAATTATACATTATTTCGACTCCACAACAGAATTCGTGTATGCATTCACAGCGAGAACCGGACAGATGGCGAATAAAGCCGAAGAGATTCTACCACATATGCAGTTCGATACTCCAGCGGTTTGAAGATCTTCATGTCAGTTTCCCATTTCGAATACATCTCCTTTATATCCCTTTATTGATTTTTTTCTCTTCGAAAGTTTAAAAATGCACTACCACGATCAGGTTTTTCAAGACTTTCAAAATTTGAATGAGCTTGTCGGACAACAATACAATTACTAAAGCAGTCATCTAATTGATCATGATCAGAGGTTGTACTCCAAATAAGTAATCATGCAAAGAGAAAGAACTGAGATTTACGAATGATTTCCAAGTAAGTAATTATACAAAAAGACGGAATTTTGATACTCAAATAATTTCTTTTTGTACCCTTTAGACGAAGTAAATCAAGCACTATTTGATTATGAAAATTTTGCGCGATACTTGAACAAAAACGAACTGCTGACCACAAATACTAAGTCTCGTGGGCAAAACCGGTCGAGGCAAACCATTTTCCTGATGTAACCCAAGTTCTTCTAATAACGCGAGGTGAAATGTTAACTGCCTCAGCGAGAAGAATGGCTTTGTTTGGCTTTATAAGTCTACAATAATTGATGAAAGTCGTGCAAACACTCACGGCTCTTTTAATCCAACGATGAAGATAGATAGCTAATTTGAAGCCAAGAGGGCAACATGTCCACGAAAAAACAAAGGAACAGAATGCCAATGTTGGTCGTAGTTCTTTTTCTCGTTAAGTTTTGGAACCAAATGGGACGAGAAACATACGGTTAACGACAAAGTAACCTTAATTAGCCTAGCTGAGTCCAATATTACGTACTGTAAATTAGTTCACTCAAATACAACCACAAGATACAAACATGTCTAACGATTAAAGAATTTCACGCATACTCACTTCTAACAAATCCCCATACTGACTTCTGGTAGTTGACTTCGGCTGATATTCTGTGGTAAATTCAAAAAATAGAACATCAACAAAACAAACAGGACATGAAACATGGAGTCCTATCAGTCGTCAAATGTGGCATCATTTCATACAAAGTGTACCAGACCTGTTTAAACATCACAACTTTTGAGAATCATCATGAATTTTATTTTTTTCAATGCCTCCAAAGCTTTTCCTTTAGTTCACCAAAGTGGACAACAAATAGAAATGATTGCGGTAAAGTTGAAGCAGGTTTGCTAACCGGAAAAAATTCCATCAAGCCGTTTGGGAACGTGTCGTGTATGTGGTAACACCGAAATGAGGCCATACCGCTACATATCGGCTGATCATTTTACGTCACACACTTGAGCAAATTTCATGCACACACTCGAGCAATTTTCACTCATAAATCAGTGTTTCTTGCGCTTTTCCTCCAATGCAGAGCAGTAGGTTAAAGATAAATTAATTAGACTACTACTGAAACAGGTATACGTTTGAGCAGCTGCTAACCGGAACGAAACTTTAATATGCGTAGGATGTGTTCATGGCATCACGCCACCTATCATTCGATCACTCCGCGTCACACAATCAATATTGTTGAGCAAGATTCACAAACTAGTCATGCATAAACAAACACAAGATTCTATAAATTCCATGTAACAATGATTATTATTAATCAAATTAAAGCATCACTTTACCAGCGATCTGATAATAAAGATACGGGATACAAAATGCGATGCTATGGAATTGTACCTTAATCTGCTGGCCATAGATGAAGTGCGAGTGATACAATATCTGTAATGAACACTAAAACTATCGCCGTAAGGAATACCATCGTTTTTTACCTGAAAATCAAACGAGACATTCAAAAATACGAAGTTTTGGCTAAAATACCTGATCCAATCAACTGCTGTCAAAAAAACAACAACAACAAAAACAAAAATAAAAAATTGTCACAGCTACGATAAAAAAATAAAGGAAAATATCAAACAGAGACAACGGACAACACAAATTGTGCTATTTTGGTTTGTTTTTTTTTTATATTCCTTTTTGCAGGCGATTGGTTGAAAAGGTTGTGCAAAATCAATCAGTGATTACTTTTGGAACTTTATTTTGTCGTGAAGATCAAAAAGTACCTAGTAACTTTCTCACATATTCGGAAAATAATACATCTTTTGTAAGCTCTTTAATAAAACTGTTTACAATCGCTCGTTTCAGTCAGAAGTTAACGAAAAATTTATTATAACCATCACCAACCGTTCTACCCATGCGCTAAAAGGAAAAAAAAAACATATACAAGAACCTAACATGGCTTCGGTGAAAGATGTTATCAACCCTTAATACCCTAACGTCAGTATCATAGTGCATATTCTCCATACTGTTCTCTATACATCTCCTAAGTTGTCGACAAGGAGAACTTGTTTAAAAATCAAGAGAATTTTTAGTAGGTGATCATTTCGCTCATTCTTGAGACCTTAGTATGTGATTCAGGGGTGAAATGAGATGCTAATCAAAGGGTTACTACAGTTTCTGGTCAAACAGTAGAGGAGCACAAACCTCAGCTTGTACAACGTACAGCTTTCCCGGACTACTTCCTGGTAAGCAATGCTGAGGATCACAATACAAGTTAACATTAATGAAGACGACGACATGGAGAGTGATTCCTTCAAACTTTCATAGCGTCCCTGATTCATCGGACAGAGCTTAACTCTGTCCATCAATATCGCCATCATTTACTCCGCAATTTGTCGTCTAAACATTTCTAGAAGATTAAGTAGAAACTTAGTCCCCTTCGCATCCATTTTGTAACGTCATACGCGTTGTATGACATACGACACAATGAGTGCGCAGAAGACTACCAATGGAAGCCAAGCTTGAATCTATTTATTTCTCCCTTTTAAAATGTAACTACAATCAAATTCGTCATGCAAATGAGTTCTAATAGTATTCTTGGAAAATGAAAACTTGTGAAAACAACCCCTGGTAAGTGACATATAATCATCTCCAAGCTCACCTGATATTCCGTTGTTGGCGAAAATTTGGGTCCAATTGCGTGGTTTAGTGACACTGTATAAGTGAGTGTTCTTCTCTGACCATCGTCTGTTACCTCCCATGGGTTAAACACCAGATCTACAGAGTGTACAAGAAATCATACAGAATTCAAGGAGATAAAAAAAACATAACAAAAAGAGACAACTACCCGTGGAATTTGCACGCAGCACGTGTGTAATTTCCAAGAATTACACACACTTGACACACGTGTAGATGTTGTAAGACACGTAAGCAGCACTGCGTTTTGTTTGTAATTCATAGCTCATTTTTGTGCCTCATTTCCGCGGGAACCGTGAAGTATACAAAGTAACATCGGCGTCCCTTATGCAAGCTTTGACAAATCAATTTTCGAGCCCGGAAGACAGATTTGTATATTTCAAAGACATAAAGTTGAACACTAATCTTCTCCGATTGCGGCGAAGTAACTTATTACTTGTCGCAAATCTACTTCAGAACAACCGACAACCAGTTTTCATTATCCAGCCTTGTTGTTTCTTTATTTACAGCTGCGTGCGTTCAGTTTTCTATTCTGTCCACCTCAGTGATATTATCTGGTCAATCAAGTTGAAGCTAGTTGAGTTTCTCGTAACTAAATAAATGACTCGAAAAATCGTTATGAAACTCCCTAAATGGACTTGCGTAACTTTCAAAGAAAAGAGTGGGCGTCAACTTGCTTATTTTTTTCTTCGGTAAGGAAAGTGTTACTTCAAATAAATGAACTACGATGAAAACAACAGGTAAAGAGTGACCCTTAAAAGTGACCGGTTTTTAATTTCTCCCTACAATATCAACCCTGAATTACACATTAAGGTCTTGAGAAGAAAGGAAATGATCATCGACCAGAAGTTCGTGATTGTTACACAAATTCTCCTCGTCAGCACATTTGGAAATTTATAGAGAACAGTTGGGAGAATAAACGCATATTGATGTTAGGGTGTAAAGAGTTCATCTATACACACCTTTTGTTCGTCTTTCCTTTTGTACTCTTTTGTAGAAGTCAGACTCTGTGAACAGGAATTCAAACAGCGTATCTACGCTAACAGGAAACTCCTGCAAACAAAGACAAAGAAACAAGAAAATCTGAAAATATGATTCTTGAACCACTGGTTTGAGTCCATAAATCCTTTACATGCAAGACTATTCCTTAGATTATGACTATGTTGTACTTATAACACATGTTAGGTTAAATAATTTCCAAATCAGCTGGTTTACAGATTGTAGTGCTTAAAAAAACTTGTTAACATCAATGTGCCCTGAAGTTTGTACTACATACCTCGTTAAAAAACTCTTTGCTGAGATGAGCCTCACACATACAACTCACTGGGACTAGTGGAAAAATACATTTAATTTAATTTTAAAAAAACCATCTCACAACTTAAAGCAACTTAACTCTTTATTTTCTAGCTCGGAATTCATTCTCCCATCTAGCAACTTTAAAATAATTTTCTGAAAATTTGAAGTCTTGGCAAGAAGATTATTTCATGATTGAGACCAATCCAAGCATAGTTTGATGCTAATCAAAATCTCAGATTTGCTGTCAATCAAATCCTGAAGAGAGACACTCCATGCATGTCAGTCTGACATGTTATTTGTGTCCTGCCATAAAACTAAACACTCACTTTGACTATTTTTACCTAATTTTTCTAAATAGAGAATATACCACAAATATATAAGAATTAGATACTTCTCCTGCATAACCAATGTTTGAACTCAAGATGGGCTGATGTACTTTAGTGGAAAGTGACATTTTGTGATAATATTTTAAAAAAGAAAAAAAAAGGAAAAGCCATGCAAAATAGCTGGTGCACATCATAAAGAAGGGTTAATTTTTAACAGCAGCTGAATGATTACTTTTAACAAAGTTGCATTGCAAATTTGCAAACTTCTTGCTATCAAATAAATAATAATTAGAATTAAAATTACTGGGAATGTTATTTGTTATCGTCAGTATAATTATTGTGATTATTAGTATCACAAGTGCTGTATTTCCTACGTTCTTCCAGTTCATCTTCATGGTTATCAGATGCTGTACCCTCTTCTTCCAGATCACTGCTCAGGTCTTTCTTTTCCTTTGTCTCGGCAGAATCTTCCACATCCACCTTTCTTTTTTTAACACCAGGAGACCTCATCCAATTTTTAAGTTGTAGATGAGGAGATAATATTCTGGACTGGGGATGACTACCTGTTATGGCCTCATTGGAGCTCTTCCTATCTTCAGAGGCTGGAAACTGGCCTGAGTCCTGTCCTGGTGATGATGATGCCCCTGGAGAAGGTGGGGTGATAGCCACTTTTGGTGCTCTTTCACCTTCCTTGCTGGGTATAGTCTAATGGGGAAGAGTTGCATGTGTTAACTTCTTGACACACATGACTTGATCAAAAAAAAATTGTGATTGTTGGACAAGCATTGCATGATGCATTGTCTGATGCAATGGGAAGACACTAACTTTGTGTCAAGGTGTTTTAAAGATACTAAAAATCAAAAGGCATCTTTACTGTTTCCATGTATGCACTCTGTACAATTTCAACAGTTGGGATCACACATACACTTTAAACATGTATGTGTATATAGATTGTTATACAAATTGCACATAATGTATGTAAGTATCCCTTACTCTAAGATAAACTCTTCCAGGAGACTCGGTAAGTAGATAACTAACTGAGTGGTCAAGGCATCTAGTTATTATCCTCACCAAGTTTTTTGTAAATTGGGTAGAGTAACTGTAAGGGATACTTTCACTGACAAGTAACTGGGTAACAACAAATCAGCTTCAATACTTGTAGACCACTAGATTTATAAGGAATAATGACCATTTTGTTCTGTCAAAATAGTTTGGTAAGCACTAGGGTTTTCTTCTTCCATTTTTCTTTACAGACATATTGCTTTGTGCAAATGCCACAGATTTTACTCAACAGTTTTAAGCAACATATCTTAGGACAGCATCAGATGGGTTTACATCATACTGCAAAATAAAGACATTATGGGGGCCACACACTGTCACCCACTAAATCTATGACTTAGCAAATTAGCTGTAACTGTATTTTCAACAATCAGTAAGTAGAACACCCAAGTACCACCATTCTGCCCCCCTCCCCCCTCCTTTCCCTCAGACACACACAAACACTCTTCTGTCAGGGCTTTTACATCATACCCACAACATACCTGATTTCCTGGTCCATTTTCAGTTCCTAGAGAGCTCTGGCTTTGACTATGAGAAGATAAACTGTCTGAGGGTATTTCACCTTCAACATCATCCTCACTTACAGAGTCTTCAAACACCCCACGTTTTTCATTATCATCATCTGAATCATCATTCTCAGAACTGTCTTCTCTTCCTTCTGAGTACTTTCCAACTAGCTGGATAAGTTCTGATGGGGTCATGGGCTGAAATGATCCACCAAGATACATACATAAGTAATGGAGCAAGTCCATTGGATAAAGGTAAAATATGTGCTAAGTAATATAAAGGTCACAAACCTGATCTAAAAGTGCATTTTGCCAAATCCTAAATAACACAGTGTAAGTTGTATCTCTTGATATCAGTGAAGCAAAAAAATACTATGAATTGAAAACACAAAAACAGGTCATTAACAAATACTGTTTTTATTTCAAAACTACCTACGAACCTTGTTCAAAATATTCTGAATGGAAAACACCACACCAGGACCATGTGAGTAATAAGTAATTATCTACTAGACAACTGAGATGAAGTAAGTTACCATTCATGGTGACAAATTTGGAATGGAGTGATTTCCAGCTACTAGTAAAATTATGCTCTGACTCAAAAAATCATGACAGGGAAAGAAAACGGTTTCAATCTGGTAGATTGAGTTCATAATAAAACTATTTTAAACTAAGTGTTTCCTTTGCTTTACCTTTTCAGACTCTGTAAAAACTTGAACTGCATTGGGGATAACCAGCGCAGTTTTTTCCTTCTTTATACTAGTTATATCCTTACACTGAATGGTCACCTACATTGGGATACACAGAAAGTATTCAGACACATTTAAAACTCATCACTCAGAGAGGCCACAAGTCAAGCTCTGGGAAATTGATCCAAACAAATTGAAGTACCAGCCCAAAAACAAACATCCAATTCCAACTTGACCAAAGTTGATCAATTAATATAGCAATCACTCCAAATACACTCAAATTGGTTGTTAGAGTCTGAAGTCTTTGTTGATTTTTTCAAAAGGTTCCATCTTGGAAGGTTTCTTATTCCTTACAGGTAACATCATTGAGCATTTGAATGAGTGGTAGTTTTCAAGTGTTTCTTCACCACTCCTCCTCCTTTTTTAACTTGTTGACACCCGAAGTGTAGAAACAAGCTTTTATGGTGACTCTGAATGCAAATGAGTCACTCACTCAGTGAATAATTCTGTGCTTTTCTAACCAAAAGAAAACTTGTTTGATTCAGTGCCACATATCTTTAATTTCAACCAGTGAAAAAATAACTTGTCACATAAAAATGCATTCTGAGGTACATCATTTCTGTGGCAGAAAAAATTTAGAGGTTTGTCATCAGATACAAGTGGGGAAAATCTTTGTAAACAAAGATCATCATGCTACAAAGCCCATGTTCATTGAGAAATTGTGAGGCAATCAATAGGAACACTGAGTCAAATTGCATATAACTTAAACTTAATGAAACAAAGCACTTACAAATGTTTCCCAACCAAAGATATTGGCATAGAAACAGAGCCAGTTTTGTGAGATATAGAGGCGGCCATGAACTAAAATATCTCTCTGCAATGCACAAGAATAATCTGTGAAAAACAAAACAAAAAAAAAAGATTAATACTAACTATTGAAAAAGAAAGCTATGTTTTTCTGTCTTTACATGACACAAGTGGAAAAAGTAACCACTCTTATTTGTAATGTATAATGAACATTTGAGCAGGTTTAAATGTTAAAATAAATGGACAAAGCTACCAAGAACAAGGACAAAATAACACTTTGTAGGAATACCAGAGTCCAAAGTCCTTTTATTAGAAATATTATTTCAAAGTTCTACACTACTACATGTACATATAGGTGTAGTCCTAACTAATAGGATACAAAGACTGAATGCATGTAAGCGAACTACAAGTCAAAGTTTTATCCAGTTCAGCTGTCAGTGCTGAAGGTTAACACCTAGAAAATGTTGGCTGTAACTAACAAGGACACCCAGGTACAGACATAATTACTCTGACAGAGAAAAGTTATCAATCATACTCAATTTTGGGACAATTCAAATTCAAGTAATATTTTGCAAAACAGATTGCATCATTCAAAAGGATCTTTTCCTATGTGAGGCATTTAAATCTCTTTTTATATCTTTATTGTTGCTCTTGTTTACAAATAACATTTTCCAAATTTTCATGTAAAAGTAAAGTGTTCAATCTCTCACCAGGTCTTTCAATCTTTACCTTTATTAACAAAAACTATGGTCCTGCAACATGGGGGCCATCTTGCAAGAAGTTTATCCTGTACATCAAACTCTAGTGACTATATGATTTAATTCTCTGTCACAGAAATTAGATGAGGTTCAACTTCACCCAATGTGCGTCAAATTGTATGCTTTAAACACTGTGATGACAATGACTTACCTACAATCAATTGCTCACTTTCAGGAAGTTCTTTAAATAATCTTTTGAAGTCTCCACATTTTGTCTTATAACTAGAAAAAATCTACAAAGGTAAAGTGATGTGATACAGCAATAATAGGACAGTTATAGAAAAACAATAATATAATACAGTCTGTAATAATAATAAAACGTGCCATCTGGGCTTGAGCACTCCCAAAAATCATTTGAACTCAGATACAATCATGACCCCCTTCCCCATAAAAAAAAAATAATATTACAAATTTCAAGTTCAGTTCAATGAGAACTCACTGAGTGACAAACCCCTCTATCTAATTTGACCAAACTTCCATCAAATAACAATCAACACATCTCTACCTGATTGAATGAAGCAGGAAGCCAATTACCAGGTGACTTCTGGAAGAAAAATTTAACTTGATTAAGCACTATGAGAGTTACCGTACATAATAATTATAACAAAATAAAACAGGTGAGATAGCACAGTACAAGAAAGCAAGTACTTACCGGTGATTTTCTGACTTTATCCCCAGCTTTGCTTCCTTTTCTCTCTGGTTTAGCATTAGGTAGTGTTGCTCTCCTTGATGGACTCAAATCCCTTATTTTTGATTTCAGACTATGTGTTATACTCTTACTGAAATAGGAAGAATATTGGTGATTACAATTCATAACACAAAAATTGACCACATTTACAACCATTTTATGACATTGGGCCACAAAACAAAGGCTTTTAAAAAATGTTCAGCTTGGAGCCCCATCAATGTACTATCATCTGTTGAGAAAGCTATCAACAATAATTATAACCATCTACACCTGCCTCTTGACAGGAAAGTAATAATAAAATTCTGAGGCAAGAGGAAGGGTTGTTAATGTACATTTAACTTATTAGACATTCAGGTGTGTACTCTCATTACGTATTTTTGCAAGTTGTGCCCTACAAATGACCATATTTAACAATTATTCCCTGAAAAGTAGGTGAAAAGTAGTGGATATTTACCAAGCCACAAAGTGGCAAGGTACAGGCTGGAAATATCCACCACTATCAATGACACTGAAAAGAATAATAATTTTAGTACGTACTACACAGAAACCAAAAAATTAGTTAATTTCTTGTCAGTGTAATAAAAATGATCAGAAATTAAATTGTTGATGCACAATTTTGTCTCTCCATCTGCTTGTAGGTGAATAGTATTTGCTAATCACTTCTGAACCAACCAATCAATGTGCACAAAAAGCACCATTCACCAATGTGGTACATCCTAAAGCAGGATATTTGTACTCAATTTGAGTATTATTGAACTCTGCTTAGTGCAGTTGGATAACAAAAATGCCTCTAGACCACATGCAGTGTGTATTTGTTTAAAAGATATCAAGAGAAGCATAGCTACTACTTTCAGAAAGTAATTACAAAGCCTTTTCCATGGTTGTTTAGTGTATTTATTTCTAGAGCAGTCATCCACATTGTGTACCTTCTAGGCGAAGTTCTTTGGCCACTTTCATCGCCATCATCAAGACTGTAAAGGTATTGAAAAATCTCCTGTGATTCTCAAATTAGGTCTACTCATCTTCAAACACTCACTGGTCACTGCTTTTGGTTAAAGAGCATATAACTCAAATACCCATCACAGTTCATGAAAGGAAAAACTATTCACTTTTTATTTTTAATGTGCAAACCAAAGTGAATTCTAGTAAAAGTTGTTCCAAAAAATAAAAGAATTTATCAACCCCTTGCCTTTTACCTGAGAGGTAAAAAAAAAAAATCTTCTAACTTGAATATTTTCCTGATAAAACTTTAATATATCCAATGGTCAAACCCAGACCCTAACCTTAACCTAATAATTTCCACTAAAAAAAAATACCAGGGTTTTTTCACCTGAGATATAACAAAATTCATATCAAATGAGTTATTAAACCCTTTCATCCTAACAACAGTATCCATATTCTTGATACTATTTTCTATATATTTCCTTTAGAACTAATAAGGAGAATTTATTTTGCAATCAAAGCTTCTTTGCTTTGTGACCATTTTCTTTATTCTCACAATCTTAATGATGTTTTAGTATTACTGTAAGGAGAAATTAGATGCCAGTCACTTGTAAGGTATAAAGGGTCATGCAACTGCAAAATTCAAGATTGCATGCAATACAACTTATTGAAACTGCAACTGAGGCAAAACCAGACATATCCCAGTTACAACATCAAGCTTATTATTCACTAGTGCAGTTGTCATAAATGTTTTACTGTATAATTAATGTTTGGAATTACATTAAAAAAACCCTCTTATTCTGTCAAGGGAGTTTAAAAGGAAATAAAACATCAACATTTGGAGCCACGGCACTGGAAACTACTCCTGTTACTGTGCATAATTTACTTCCATAAAAATTATGCTTTTTTTTTACTGTGAGAAGAAGCCATAAAGCTCTCCCCTTTAAATAAAGCTTAGTCTACACTAAGCCAATACTAATTCACTGATTGATGATTATGCAAATGCTGTGGGGAAAAACACTCAGCTGAACATTAATAGTGAAAGTGTAACTGATGCAAATCCTGAAGTCTTTGGGCCAGGAAAAGGAGTTCAAAGCTTCATTTTTCTGTTTTTTCGATTTCCATGCCATGTTTTAAATGAGGACTTAATCTGCAACGGTTTTAAGCAGCCAAAAACGGATAATAATAAGATCTGACAACCTGAAACATCTGTTTTTAAAACAGCAATTTGTAATTATAATTTTCCTCTCAGAAATCCTCTCACCGTAAATGCACTAAGAAGATTGGTACATGCGTTCTCACCCGTACGTATTGATGTTATCAAACCAAAGCAGCATTTGTGTGAAATTTAAATATAAACATTCATAAGATTTCAATCTTAAACTGCATTGTAATTTGGATTTCGAATATCAATCAAATTAAATAAGGGTCTGAGATATTCAAAAATTGTAGCAATTAGACGGAACTGCAGTGTCAGAGAACAAGCTCCCGTTTTGCATTGAATGATTTCATGAAAATTGCAAAAAATAGTTAAATCATACATACGATATATTTAGAAACGCAAAAATCAAGAAATATGTTCATAAATGTTGTTATGAAGAGCTAGACGTTTCTATTATTCTCACTGTTAATTAACCCCACACTGAAAATTTACTAACCTTTCCAGCAAATCCTCTTGGGAGGAGGAGAACTCTTTCGGTTTTCTAATTTAAATAAGAAAATATACAGCACAAATTAAAAGGCGGCGAAAGAGGTCTCTGTACTAATCCTGTTTGACCCAAAGAGCGCTAACACTTGATTTTAGATCTGTGCAGGTAACCTTGTGGTAGATGATTTCTTGCCGTCTTGAATTTTAACCTCCTCGTCATTGCCTGCGTCGCATTTATCTAAGTCGAGGCTTGTGGGTCGCTCTTTCTTCGTTTCGTTTTCTTTAACTTCCCCTGCATCTGCCACATTAGAGGAGATACTTTCATCCATGCTATCACCTGAATTTATTCCTCTGTTATTACATGATGGCGAGAAGTTCAATTTTCCAATCGCCCCCAGATGACCACATTGGTACTTAGGCTTCCTCTGTCGCTTACGCCCGTCGTCGCACTTCGGGGAAGCGAAAGACTGAGCAGTAACCTGTGTTCTTGCCCAAGCTACACTAAGCAATCAGTTAATAAACGAGTCGTGATAGTAGCGTACAAATATAATGAGAAAGTATGGGTCAAGCCGCGTTCTTTACGTGGCCTCTTCCAAGTCTCCATCTTCCTCTGGTTACTGGGGCGCAGACAATTTGAGCATTGCGATAGCTCCAACGATCACGATACGACTATGATATTCTGTTCTTTTAAATTTGAGCCCGAGTAGCTACAGTTTACTTGGAGGCTCTTTAAAAAAAAAGGCGATTGACCGGCACAAACGAGTGGCTTGTAACTCTCGCGGCTTGGCCGCTTGTCTCGCCTAAGCTTCACCTCTCAACGTCTCAAGGCGCGCACAAAATCCCTAACTCTACAGCTGTGTGTATAACCTTCTGTAAGATCAAGTACCACTGTCTGACTGTACTAACAACCAGATCTGCCTTTATCGTGAGCTGGCTGCTTGATTTTTCACACGAAAGTGTTTGCTGCACAAAACTGTGAGCCAGTGTAGCCGTTAGTTCTAATTCTAAAGAAATATGAGATATTTTCTGGGTTTAATATTCCCCTATCCGCATGAAACCACTCCTGAAATAAATGTTTCTCTGTTGCGCACACTCTACATCCAGAAGATTAGTCAATGCTAATTAGCTAGAGTTAGCTCAGTTTGGGCTGTAATAATGAGGAAGTAACCGCAAAAGGTCGACGATTACTAGAAAAAAAAAGCTCAAGAAGCTACGAACTACCTAATAAATGAGCTGAATGCCTCCTTAAAGCCGATCGAAAGGTAGGTCATTCACCTCAGGACTTTATTGACCAGAGTCAATGTGCCCATTCGATGTGTTCTTGCCACAGTCTTCTTAGGGCCACACGATGACCAAGTTGCCGGCTCGGGAAAAGTTCGGGTTTTTGTTCGGGTTAGCTCGAGATCGTGCGCGGTCAACATCGGCAAATACTGAAAACCAGGAACACAGGAATAATTTTGCGCGAAGGTGTTGACGGGTAAATTGCAAGCGGGCTCGAGAGCGGCAACGACAAGGGTTTTGCCGACTGATAACATGGCGTCAGGAGACGGAGATGATTCACTTTACCCGATCGCTGTACTGATAGATGAGCTTCGAAACGAGGATGTTCAAGTAAGGAAAGAAACCATATTATTTCTTCTATTTTTTCTCCTTTTTTTAACGGTTTCGGGTTACATTTTATGATTCTGTTTGTGTCTGACTTCGAGCCTTCTGCGACGTCGACCTGAATTGTTTTGTAATTTGACTTAAAATGGTTCTGTAGTTGCGGCTGAACTCCATCAAGAAACTTTCGACCATCGCCTTGGCTTTGGGAGTAGAAAGAACGAGAAGTGAACTCATACCTTTTCTAACCGGTAAGTTAAAATACTACACCTTCCTCGTCTGTTATTGTAAAAATTGTGTAAGAAATTCTTCCATCCATGCAGTACGGTGCTTAGGTCTATTCTACGATCGGGGTTTGACGTAAGTCTTATACGAAGGTTTTTGTAGCATATCTAAGGGAAAAAGCACTTCCTTTGTTGTGTGATACATACTTTTCCGTTGTATCTTAACCCATTGCAGTGATTTTGGTGTCTATTTGGAAAAGATGCAATTTTGACTTGAAAGGAAGAATTATGTGTAAATTTGATGGTGATCGTTGTGGAGGGTTCGCAATCGATGTCTTGGAAACTAACATTTGCTTTCGATGAGAGCGTGATGTGATTTATTAAAAAGAAAAGCAGAACTATTTAACCGAAAGACAAGAAATCTGTAAGGACTTAATTAAATCAAGTTTAGATGGTAAAAGCTATCTTTGAACTGTCTTCATAGAATACAAAGTAGGAGTATTTCAAACTGTACACTCATATGAGTGGGCCAAGATCCATGAGTACGAAATTTTTAGCTGCATGTTGTAGGAGAATGTATTATTGTGACTAACGGAATGTTTTGAAATGATAGCCATGTAAATCTGTCGGGTACACATGAAGAAGTTACCGTTAATTACCTGATACAGATAGCATTGCAGATTCGTTACAGTATTTGTTAAAATCTTACAGTAAAGTACATGTACCATATGAGTATTGTAATGTGAACCTCTTGGCTTCCTAGTCTGATGTGAATCATAAGCTGACTGCAACTCTTATTGTTTACATTAGCAGCAACTATTTTTGAAGCTAAGAACAGCTTTGTGTTCCTTATACTTGTGTGACTCTAATTTTTGTTGGTCTTAAATTTTTCTTACCAATCTTGATAATTGTATTTCTTTTTCTTGAATTCGTTGTCATAATCTGAAACAAAGAAACTGACTTGAATGGTTTTATAACATGTAGTACTTAACAGGTTTTTTTTCTTCCTATGGTACACTGATCCACCAAACAAGATCATTCCATCCAAGAAATGTTGAAAGAGAATAAAACTATTGTCCACTCTGAAGGTTCTGTGCAAAAGTTTTTCCCACACCTGCTTGCAGTAGTGTCTGCCCTACCCTCTTTACCCACTGTACAATAAGAAGAAAAATCAAGGCCATTGCACAATTGGATAAGGACTTGTGAAATCAGATGGGCATTCTTTTATTCAGTACTCCAAGAACATGTTCTAATGAGTGTAAATTCAATGGAGGAATGAGGCCTCAGATCAAATTTTCTCCTCCTTCTTTTGACACTTTAGACACAATTTATGATGAAGATGAGGTCCTTTTAGCACTTGCAGAACAGGTACTTTTTTATATAAATTATCGGATTATTTTTATTTATAAAACTTAAAATATTAATTTAAAAAATATAGTGAAAAGCATACATTCGCTGTAAATGTTGTGACATTTGTTGCTTGTCATAATTTCTTTTTACTTTTACTATAAGCACCCTCAGTTTCTTAGCCTCCCTCCCTCCCTCCCTCCAGATTCTAGCACCCCACCCCCTCCCCCCACTCTTCCCACATTCATACGGCAACCTTAAACTTTTACTTTAAGGTAGAGGCCAAGGGCTTTTAAGCAGCAGTTAACCTTATAATTTCATTGGTACAATTGCAACTATCCAACACTTATGTCAACTTCTTTGGCTATTCCCAAAGGTCAATTTGGGCTGCTTAGCATTCTTGTAAGACCCAATTTGGCTAACTCGCTGTTACATGAATTTTGTACTCTGCAAGGTCATATTTTATAATTTGTTTACTGAAGTTTTTTTTGTTGTTATGTTTTGTTTTTAGCTTGGTTCTTTTACCCCTTTAGTTGGAGGTCCAGACTTTGTACATTGTTTACTGGTATGTATTTCCTGTCGTGTACCCTTAAAGGAGCATTGAAAATCGTATGAAGAAATACTAGTACTTTTTGTAAAGGAAACCTCCAATGGTAAAACAAATTAGCAGTTAACCCTTTCACTCTTGGAGGTCTCACAGTCTAACTGCCTCTTATTCCTGGAGCTAATTAGAGCAGTTGCACAAAATATTAAACCAACATCAAAACATGCATGCTCAGTAGAATTTGGGGCCATTATAGACCCAACTGATCAATAGAAATTAATTTTGAAACATTTTTCTTTCTCATTGAAATCTGAAAATACACAATTAAACAAAGCTGTTGAAGATAGGTCACATCAAACTTCATGTTCGTAACGAAATTTGAATTTGCTGCCATTACGGAAGTCTGAGTTCCAAGCTCCTGGTGGGTCAAAAGACCAAAATTCAAGTTTAAAACTTCAAAATGTACAATTAAATGAATAAGTGAATGACACTTTTAGTTTCTGTTGCATATTTATATGATCTGCTCATTGAAAAAACTGGAAATTAAGACTTATAGAATCAATTTTTATGTTCAAGTGTCTTCACTATGATAATCGGCAAAGCACTGCACTTTGCATAACCCAACACCACACTGTTGGCACTTATTTCTTGTTTCGACTGGATAGCCTTTCGGTGTTTTTCTACCAGCAGATTTGCACTGCACACATTCTTTCTTTTGGCCTTTTTCATGAATCGCTTTGTGGTTTCTTCTGGGTTCTTGGGCCAGTACTTGATTCACAGCTCACTTTTGATACAAGTAGCCATTTGTCAGGCACTTACCCAACTCTAACCAAATAGGGGCTTTTGGTCGTTTTTGCTGATTTCTTATCCTTCAGTACTCATATTCCAGAATATACCATTGTAAGCAGCAATGTTAAAAAGGAACCAAAATATGTACCTGTACCACATTTGATAAATAAACATAGAAATTGACGACATAACCATTTGAAGAATCAGCTGCCATCCACACTTTAATTCCATATTTTGTCGGTTTAGCCTTTAAAACGCTATCATCCCCTCATCAACCGATAGGTTTTTTGTGGGCAAAGAACAGCATTGAATATTTCTTAAAACGGTATTCAAAGCAGGACAGCATTTGTACAGACATTTGAAATTTACATCTCCTTGCGCGGGTTCCCGACTCAAGTCATTTAGATGTGAAAATTTCTTTGAATTGGATTTTAGGCATAACTCTCTTTATTCCTTCATTGCCCTGAAAAATGTCTGTTGATCAGTAGTCGGCAACCTTGGGAAGAATATGCATCCCCATGATAACCCACAAAGTAACCTTTCACTTCGGGTTTTCAAACATCATGCAAGCATAGTGGTGTGTCTCCTCCTTGATTTTCTCAAAAAGATCCTCATCAAGCATCAAACCAAAAAAATCATCAGCTTTGGGGTTGACTCCCATGTTGACAACAATTCCAGATTGTGCTGAAAATTTGTCAACAACAATGTTACTGAGGTCAGTTGTCCATCGTTCTTCACTGTCACTGTCCGAGGCTCCTTCATTGCCACTTTCACTGTTCAAAATCAATATCTTTGGTGCCTTCCTCATCTGAATCACCAAAAATCACCCTGTATTTGCTGAAACTAATTTGTAAAGGATCTACCCACCTCATCATTATTCCACTTAGGTTATTATCAATTTGGAGCTGATAAAGCAAATAGCCACCAGGTAGAAGTTTCTTTGCTTTATCAACTCCAAGTTGATAATGAACTAAGTGGTTTTATACACTCACGGACGACATTGCTCAATCATTTCTTTCCAAGAAATTGATCTTCACTGTTGCCATGTAACAATAAGCAAATAATTACTAAGCTTATATTCTTTGATGGGGGAGGGGAGAGAAGGGGAAAACAATGGCTCTTTTTGACTGGTTTTGGCTGGTTTGGGAATGACAACAAGTTTCCAGTTGGCCGGTTTTGGCCAGGCCAGGAGTGAAAGGGTTAATTATCAAAAGTGAGCCTGGAGAAGGATCATTACCTCTTGTGGCTTCATGCATAATTGAATACCAGTATCACTTAAAGAAGTGATAATATATACCACTAGGTTGTTTGATGTAGCTCTTAATTTCAATGTATTGTTTTGTTATCTAGCCTCCACTTGAGAGTTTAGCAACTGTGGAAGAAACAGTGGTTAGGGATAAGGTAAAGCTGTATATTAAGATGTTGCTCTCCTCTTTTTTTCTTAACTATACTTTCATAGAGCCTTCAGTTGCAACATGCAGTCCTTGGTAAATTGACAAAGATTTAATATGTCTTCAAATTTCCCCCACAGGCAGTTGAATCCTTAAGAACTATTGCAGCTGATCATTCAACGCAAGACCTAGAAAATCATTTTGTTCCTCTAGTTAAGAGGTTATCACAAGGTATGCATGGTTTGTTATACATAGAGAATGGTTCATTGCTGTTTTTTTATGGCTCAAGAGTAACCTTCAGATTGTACCTTCACATTTGAAAACCTCTGTTAATACAAAGAACTCACAGACACCTTGTTTTGAAAACAATGTAGTGATGATCACAGCTGAACAGGAAAATGAAAGCTGTTTTGTGTTTATTTAATTGATTGTCAATTAAAACTTTTACTCCATTTTCAGGAGATTGGTTTACCTCCAGAACTTCAGCTTGTGGGCTGTTTGCAGTAGCATATGCTCGCATTAATGCAAGCCTAAAAGCAGAACTGAGAAGGTAAAGAAGTGTCTCCTATAGCTCAGTAGTAGAGCTTTTGAAGTAATAATCAGAAGGTCATAGTTTAAAGTTCTATTGGGAGCACTCGAAGATCTTTTTTGTGGGTGCACCTGCATTGTCACTCACTTGAATAACATCATCTTCCACAAAAAACATTGCTAGGATATTTTAAGACTGATGAGATGTACATGTACTGAGCTGCACAGATACAAATGGACCTCATTGTGATGTTCCTTTACAGCATCCCAAGTTTATTCTTTATATAAAGACAGAGACTGACCTGGAATTGTTTGCATCTTTGACATAGCTCAACGGTTTATTTTTAAGATTAGTCTTTGCTTATCTTTATTGACATGTATTGCTAGCTTATGTAATGATATGTTTGACTTCTTTGCAGCCATTTTAAAAGTTTGTGTGCAGATGATACACCCATGGTTAGAAGAGCAGCTTCTGGAAAACTTGGTGTAAGTTGAATTATATTAAACAATAAAACTGTACAGTAGTTAGCTTCAATATGTGCGGTAACAGGGCATGAGCTAAAGAGCAAAGATCATTTTTACACTACATTCTACCCAAAGTTTTAGTGTGCACAATATTATCCTTTTTATAACAATTTTCTGAGAAAGACTTAATTTTCCATCATACATGTCACAAATGTGATGCTTGTTTTTTTTATTATTATTCTCAGTTATACTTCTCAACCTCTCAACCTCTATAAAGTGGATGTCTAAATTATAAGAATGAAATATAGATTCATTTAAAGTATTTAATACTGAAGTACACAATAAGGCACCATATACGCAACTGTTGTGGACCCCATCTCCATAAATGTCCCAGCATCTTCCAAATCAAATCTTTTGACACTCAAATTGTAGTTAGGTGATCTATGTGGAAATCAGATACTGGCTTTTTAAAAACACTTTTGCTTCTGTCACAAGTAGTACCTAAATTTTGATGCTTTTTTTAATTGCCAGAAGTCTTTGTTCACTGATAATCTTGGTTTGTTCTGATTTAAGGAATTTGCAAAATGTGTGGAGCTGGAGTTTGTCAAATCAGATCTTGTTCCATTGTTCAATAACTTAGCCAGTGATGAACAAGACTCTGTTAGGTTGCTAGCTGTTGAGGGTTGTTCAAATATTGCTTCAATCCTGCCTGATGAGGATAAAGAGACTTTGCTTATGCCTACAGTGAGATCTGCCGCACAGGTAATGTACATGACTAATAATTTGATAGTGCTTCAAAGAAGAAAATTACTTGAAAAGATCTGGTTAGAATTTGAATGAATGAATAGACTTACACAAAAGATAACAATATATATATATATATATGAAAAAAAACTAATTTAGAAGTTCTGTCTATTGTTAAAAAATGGTGTTGAACAATTTCAAAAAGACTACTCCCTTAATGACCTTGCTTTTCATTGTTTTCAAGGACAAATCATGGAGAGTACGTTACATGGTTGCAGACAAATTCACTGAGGTTAGCATGTATACTGTATGACTTTGTATATGTTTAGTGTGCTATAACACTGGACAAAATAGGTACAAACATTGATAATAACTTAAATTGAAGTTCCCAAAGTTAAGCACAGAGTAGATGTCTACATGTACATTTGTATCATTAATCTGTTATTAAAGCACTAGGTTCATGTCGTTTTGCTTCGTAAAAGGTGTAAGCAACATACATGGTTCATCAGATTTGTTCTTCTGAAAAGTGAGATACCTGTGAATGTAATCATAAAACTCAAGATTTTACATCAGAACCAAGTACTTCATCTTATTTTGCTCTTGGTTTAGTTGCAAAATGCTGTGGGATCTGAGATCACCAAGACTGACCTGGTACCAGCCTTTCAAGGTTTACTTAAAGACTGTGAGGCAGAAGTCAGAGCTGCTGCTGCAGGAAAAGTCAAAGGTAGAATTGAAGTTTTTCTAAATTTGGTACTTCTTTTCTTCTTATTATTTACTGCTGATATGTAGTACAACTCTGCTAACACTGAAGCTGATGCAAAACAGGGTTCAAGATACCAAGGAGTTAGTGTTACCTAATAACAGATTACAAAATAATGCAGCTCAAGAGATAGCTTACATGCAGTTTGTCTTTTGATTGATTTCTCCATCATTATTAGTAGAATTCACATTACCTCTGAAGTGAAATTTGTTATTCATGGGAAGCTTATACTGTACTGATGAAGAAGGAATGTGAAATTTCTTAGTTCATCATACTATACATGCACATTTAGAAAAATTTATTTATCTTAATATTTTTTTCTTTCTTTCTTTCTTTTTTGTATTCCTTTTTGGGGAGTAGGCAGCAGTCTGGAATAATAAAACATCAATACCTTGGGATAAAAGACAATGTCATTTGCAAGTTCATTTGTAGGCAGTATTCTAATGTTGTTCTGTGTGTTTCACCAACTCCCTCTTTCTGCAGATTTTGCTGAAAAAGTTCCTGAAGATGTCCGTGAACAAGTCTTGATGACAAATTTACTTCCTTGTGTCAAGGTATGATGCATTTGAAACAAAAATTTCAGTTCTAATGATGATAATTAATTTTAAAATTAAGTGCTTTCGGGTCGGGTATAGTTATATTTAATCAGTGTTATAGACATTTATGTCATAGCTGATGCAGGTAAAATCTAATTGGCAAAAGAAGCTTATGAGTGATGTGAAGCTGTACAACATTTTTGTCCAGAAATAGCATTGCAATATCATTTTTTTTATCATGTCAGAACTTGACTTTTCCATAAGCATTGCCAGTGAAGCATGGTTTGATTTCTTTAAGAAGATCTCTTAACCTACAGATTCTAAATTTTCAGTAAAAAATTTCAAGAGCACTGCTGTTGTTTTATTTTGGCTGATTTTGAGAACCATTACCTTCCACTAATAAAATGCTAGAGTCATCCATTGATCAGATAATAATGCAGCCTTTGCCTATCAAAACATCCTTGAATATAACTATTTTTAGTTTTTGACAGTGTTGTGAAATTTAGGTGATAAATGATACATTTTGTGTTGTCAAGAGTGTACTGTAGTTTTACATGAAACATTGTTTAATATTGCTCTTGTTTTAAGGACTTGGTCATGGATCCAAATCAACATGTTAAATCTGCTTTAGCGTCTGTTATTATGGGACTCTCACCAATGTTGGGAAAGGATAAGTATGTATGGTTAATGTTTTTGTTTAGTTTTACAGTAGTTTTTCACACTAGTGAACAAATTAATGTGTTCTGGTATTATTATTTTCTTTTTTAATGTTATGTGGTTCATCTATTCATGTAGTTGTTGTGTTAGTTTTCTGCTAATTAATGCCAACATTTTGGTTATCTTTTCAGCACCATTGAACATCTTCTTCCTCTGTTCCTCACTATGTTAAAAGATGAGGTAATGTGTTTGTTCTTTAAACATTCTCCTGTTCACATTTAAAAATAGGGACTTAGCTGAAGCTGATTCCTCAATTTGTGCTTAAAACTATTACATCATATTTTCAAGACTTGCAAAATGGATGTCTGTGTTACAGTTACAGAATGTATGGTATGATAAACCAGGGTAAAAGATTGAAGGGACAAAAGATAACTTTTTCATTTTTCTTTTAACATCCTTTGTGGGTTATTTTCTTTTGAGCTATGAAAGTATATAAATTTAAACTATATCTACAGTCAAACCTGTATCAAGTGGTCACCCTGTATTAACCGGTTGGTTTAATGTCCTAAATTTTTTGCCCTTGAAGTACTGAAATTTTTACCTCTATTAAGCTGTTGTGGTCACCTTTGACTGAGTCCCAACACCCCGTTTTTATTGTCTTCCATGTGTATTGGATGGTCACTTACATGTAAAGCAGAAGCACTCAAATGAAACTAAGAATAATCTTTCAATGTCATCTCCCTAGATCAATGCTAATAGTTTGAGTATGAAATATAATGGCTTAAATGCACTGCAGATCATCTTTCTTTTTTGGACTGTTAGGACAAATATGGAGCAAATATATTAAGAAATCAAGCTGTATTGAGAGGTCACCTTGCCATTCCCATAGTTGACTGCTTAATACAGGCTTGACTGTATGTAATTATGCTACTTAACAGTACCAAGTTCAGAATAATACATCCCAATAAACCCTTTCCTCCAGATTCCTGAAGTCCGTCTCAATATAATATCAAATCTGGACTGTGTGAATCAAGGTAAGGTGGAAATTAAAGAATTTATACTATCTTTATTTGCTTTTAAAAGACAATATAGTACATGAATATATGTTCAATTTGTGGCTTACTTATGAATTATTTGAATGTTTTTCTCCAGTCATTGGTGTCAACCAACTGTCACAGTCCTTACTTCCTGCCATCTTTGAGCTTGCCGGAGACACCAAGTGGCGTGTGCGACTGGCAATCATTGAGTATATGCCATTGTTAGCCAGTCAGTTGGTATGTTTCCTAACTTTACTCTCTTAACTGTCAAGGGTTAAAATCATGTTAAATTCATGTGTCTTTCCGACCTCTAGTTTTTTTTTTACCAATCCTTAATCTGGGGAAGAATGATGGTGTTTGACAAAAGAGGAAGTTGTTCTCCTCAAGAATTTGCTAGTGGTCTTGTGAGTTGGTTGGCAAAAAAACATACTTTATCATCAGCAATACTTAACTGTCTAACTCCTAAGATCTGATTGTTAATTCTCCCCTCTATCTCCAACACATTTTCTTGTAAATTAGTTACAAGGATTTGGGATTTAAAAAGATGGCAACTTCTACCTGATAAGTTTGAGTATTCTCATTATCTGTTTGCTGGACAATGCATGGATACTATAGGGAAGAGTTACATTTTAATCACCTCTGGGAGTTGAGTAAGATCCAGTGTTGAGAGCTGGTTGATATAAATGTCAGTGTCAGCAGTGCGTTGGGAAACAGAAAGGATGGTGCTGCTTTAAACATGTCAAGCTTGGTTGTCAAACAGTGGGATATTTTCAGCTCCTTTGTCAAAAGAATGGAAAATAGCAACATGTTATCTGACTCCCTGAGAGGCACTGAAGTAGTGACATCCTGAAAGTGTCTGTATCTGATACCATGAAGGTGTAGCTTACCTAATTTAGTATGAATTCACATCAAATTCAATTCAGCCATGAAATTGGGAATTAGCATTGAAAATAAGTAATGTTCAGTGGAAATAGAACATTTATGTTGTGAAATCAGAGAATCATAATCGCATTGTGAACAACTGTCTTTTCTCTTACAGGGAGTGGAGTTCTTTGATGAGAAGCTCAACAGCTTGTGCATGACATGGCTTGTAGATCATGGTGAGTTGCTTGATGGTTAAGGTAAATTAATATCTTCTTGCAATGTTGCAATGTGCTCTTCAATCAAGACAGGACATCATCCTGAATACTGATAATAAAGGACAATGAAAAAATTAATGTAAATCATGTTTTTTTTTCGATGTGTTGATATTTATGTTACTGTTTTGCTCAGGAGGGAGCTCTTAAATTCCTTTAAAAATGTAGTAAATGGAATTTAAATTGTTTAATTGGTATTCACAAATCACAGCTGACTGAGTAGTAAAACTCTTACAAACAAATCAGTGTGAAAGGTTTTAACCTGGGATCTTTTACAGATTTCTATTATTGCCCTGCCTTTCTCTGCTCAAGAGTATACTAGTGTCAAAGTGCCTGGATTCCTATCAAAATGAGTGGTGAGGAGTAGGGTGGGTAACCCTCCCATCCATGAGTGTGGTAGCACTGCTGAGGCCTTACGCCTCTGAAACCCGGGTAAACTCCAACAACAATGACTATCTGGCCTGGAAACTGACTTAAGCCTTAAATGGAAATGGGATGTGAATGATTAGTGAGCCCTTGGGTATAAGGAAGCATGGTAGTGACACTTGGGGATATTGTTTTGTAATATGAGATTGTCAACAAACATCGCTTTCAATTACTTTATTTTACAATCAGTGTATGCCATACGAGAAGCTGCTGCTAAAAACCTCAAAAAGTTAGTTGAAAAGTTTGGAGCTGAATGGGCGCAGGTGAGGAGCGTAATTTGATAATCGAAGTAACGAGTTGAATTTGGTCTGGTGCAAAGGTTATAATGAACCTTGAATGTTACATGACCTTTTATCTTTATTTTCTATTTATCCTAGAATCAAGTTATTCCCAAGGTTTTAGCCATGGCTACAACTACAAACTATCTTCATCGTTTGACTACTCTATACTCTGTGAATGTAAGTTGGTCTTGTAGTAGTACTTACAGTTCACTGCGGATGTGGATGGAAATTGTATGTTGATTATGAGTAATTTTCTGCAAGTACATGTAAAGATACCTTCAGCAAAGTACTTCGGCAAGGGTAAAGGGAACGAGATGAAGCCTACAATTTAGTGAGCTTACCAATGGCCCTTCACATGCGTTTGGAAACTTTGTTCATTTCCCATCCGTTCCGTTTATAGCAACAACGCCAAATCACCTGATTTTGCGTAGTGGGAGACCGGGAACACGAAGGGCAGATTACTCTTTTTGTGAACTAACGCTACTCTCTGACACTTCAACCTCTCGAGAAATTCTTTGGACAAGTTTAAGTTAATATTTATGTCGATGCCCTCCAAGATATCTCTATAGGGACTGCTTTGGCTCCCCAATGTCGTATTGGTGTCAAATAGGTACATTTTAAGTTAGGTGGGGTTACTCAGTCCTATGATTGTGATACCTGTTGATATGTTTATGTTTTTCTCTACAGGTTTTAGCAGAAGTTATGGGACCCGAAAGTGTAGTCAAACTCATGCTTCCTGTTGTAATCGGTTTAGCAGATGATTCCGTCGCTAATGTTCGCTTTAATGTTGCAAAAACTTTACAAAAAATCGCACCCGCTCTGGATGAGAGGTGAGTAGTTTTGTTAATAACTAAAACTTCAGGCTGGCTAATTGCCGTGATGAAGCCTTTGGTAGGCGCTCCAAATGGGTAGGAGGTCGATTCTTCCGTGGGAACTCAGATAGTTTTATTTGTCCCTTGCTTGTGGCAAACACAATGAAACCTTCCTTCATACAACGGGAAGTATCTCTAGTGTGTTATCTTGTTTTTACAGTACCATCAAATCACAGATCAAACCAGTCCTTGATAAACTGAATGGCGATGCTGATGCAGATGTGAAGTATTTTGCTCAGGAAGCTTTGACAGGTACTGTCTCTACCTCCAACAGCATCTTTGGCTGTTTCTCTGTGAAATCGAAGGATTATTGCAAATGTTTAAATACCATCACGTTAAGCGTAGCAGGTTGTAGATCTCCGAAAGAAGTATACAGAACTGGGCCTGCTTTATTCAGTGCTAACGATGTCGCTCCAATTTATGATTCGCAAATTTTAAATAAAAATAATACCGGCTTTATTTATATACCGCTATTTCTATCGCTATCCACCAGCGCCTTACAAATGACTGAAGTAAGCATAAAGTGCTTGAAAATCCTAATTGGCAGGAGGTAAACTAGTTGGCTATTTACACAGCGCAGCCGAAGAGTTGAAAGCAGGGCAACCGAGAACAAATCCAGTGAATGGCAGGGAGGAGGGATTGAACCCGGGATCACCAGATAACAACTCCAGCACCCTTAACTCGGCCACGCCGCCTCACAAATGTTGTCACCCAGATTTTGTTTTCCACTAAAGCTTTACCTTTTCTAGCATCGGTGTTACCACTATCCTTAGTATTACTAAAATCATTGTCGTAACTAATCGTTGTTATTAATCGTCGTTCTTATTACTGTCGTTATCCAGTAAGGGAATTACAGTGGCTAGGGTGCGCAAACGTTGACATCATAGTTGACGATAAGCTTAATGCCACTTGATAAAGCTTGGGAGCTACATGCTAACTATCTAGGTAATAGAGTTTTATCCAGTGGATAGCGCTATCCAACCTTCGAACAACCGGGGCCTGCTTGTTTGTATGATGACAAATATTTCAACTTTACCTTTGGAGCAGTCCTAGACGTCTTTAAAGTAACGGGTTTAAATCAACTTAGGTACTTCTCGTGAGAGTTTTCGAACAACAGAATTTCCATTAACAATTGAATAGGTCATCCTTCTGTTCATTTTATAGGTAGTGGCGTTTAAGAGTAACCTTTTTCTCTCTCTCTCTCTCTGTCTCTCTGCAGTTTTCTAGTACCATCTTCAAGTCGTCTAGTTCAAGATTTGTCGTTATCCTGTCCGCAGCCGAACCATCCTATCTCTTGAAATAACACTACGTTGATAACAAAGCTTAGGCCTGACCAGACGACCGTTCAAACTTATCCAGCCCATGCATGTGTGATCCAAGGATTTGGCCGACTCAGTGATCTTATAGAATGATTTCAAGTAGACATTAGGTGGCATCTTAATCAACTGACCATTGTTAAACTAATATGAGACGCAACAAAAGAGAAAAGCCCTAATCGAGCGCACTTTCAGATATGTTATTTCGTGAACAGGTACAACTAACTCGAATGTTGCCAAGGAAAATACTTTTTTATATAATTGCCTTTATTTGTAAGGAGACGGGAGTGCTGGAAATAAGACTTTGACTTTTGGTGTTGTTTATGAGATAAATCTATGGGACTAAATTAATTTGCCTGTGTTTGTGATTTAGTTGGATGGAAAGTACCGTCACGAGCATGAAATAATTAGATGTTTGGAGAGGTATTTAGTTACGTTTCAGACAGAAGTTTAACTGTGTTGGAAATTGCGTATGAGTGGAAGATTTTATAATTGCTATTGTTATTATTTTGGTAATCATTAAACCTGTATAGCTGACGTTTTGACTGTACGTGTATACGGAATAACATCAATTATTGTATTAAAAGTCTTATAGTTTGCTGTCTTCAATTTCTACTCTTGTTACTTGTTTTCTCTTTGTTTGTTTGTTTTTTTTAATTTTGTTTTGTTTTGTTTTTTGTCTATTACTTTGTGTGTGGTGTTGTTTTCGCCTTTTTTTTTCCGAAAACTGGCACTTAGGTCGCAGAACCATCTCAAAATAAGTTGTTTGGGCACTGTAACTAGACTGCTTATAGGAAAGGAAAGCAAACGCTCTCCGTTATTAACTGTTTGACTCGGTAAAGAAATGGATAAAGATGTTTTTCGTCTTCTCATGAGCGTGGGACTAAGAAAAAACTTCTGAGTCCCCATGAGGAATCGAACCTTGGACCTTCGGATGCCGCGCTTCGATGCTCGAGACTATGGTGAGCGAGGTCTATTACGAAGTTCATATGACACGCGTCCTGCATACTGCTAGGATCGGCAATGTCGATAGCGTCATATTTGTTAATACAATAAAAGAGATGGTAAGTTTTGAGCTCGGCAAAGAAATAGATAAAGATGTTTTTCGTCTTGTCATGGGCGTGTCACAAAGAAAAAATTCTGAGTCCCTATGAGTCATGTGAACTTCATAATAGATCTCGCCCGCTGTAGATTCTCTGGGGCTCAGTGGTAGAGCATCGTAGAGCGGAATCCGAAGGTCTGAGGTTCGATTCCTCGTGGGGACGCAGACTTTTTTCTTTGTCCCAAGCTTTTCTTTATCTATTTCTTTGCCGAGCTCAAAACTTACTATCTCTCTTTCTATTTACATACTAAATAGTTTCACGTCCTCGAGACTTTCTACCAATCAAGTTGTCTCTCAAGTGATACTTTTGAAATCCTTGCTCCAAGACCAATGACACGCGTGATTGGTGCCAGAGCAAGCATTAATGGGTTCAGTTTGGCCCATTCATGATATCTCTTAAACAGGCACGGTGACCTATCCCTTTTAATGTATTTTTCGAAACAGACATTGGTAAGGATCAAGGCAAGTTGAAAATATTGTTCGATAACTTTTTTTCTGGGGATTCACCTTAAGCAAGAGGTATGGGCAAGAAGAGACAAACAAGTGGCAAGGGGTGTTATGCTCGGGAGAGAAAAAACGCCTTGCCAGTTAATAACGGAGAGCGTTTGCTTTCCTATAAGCAGTCTAGTTACGCGAATAAGCGCTTTTGTTCGCCTGATTAAGTGATTTTTATGCTCAGTACAGGATGCGCAGTGTAATACTGAGGAATTACCTTAATATTCAGAGAGAGTTGGGCTACTAGCAATCTGCATACGGTTTACTACTTACCTAATATGGAAGTAATGACCTTCTAGACAGGTTGAGTTGCTGAGAAAGTTTACTCAACTTTTGTGGAACTGTATCAAGTTTAGTTAGCAGTTAATTTGAATTACGTCGCGCTCCTAACAAAGTCTTGTAATGAACACGGATGATTGCACTCAGTTTTTGATGATTGCGTTTTTCTTGCCATCATCAATCCGCGAGAGAGTATAACCAAGGACTTATCAAAATGTCCGCCTCGTAATTGTTGTGACGGCAGATCAATAACGACATTAAATTTAAAATGTATGCAGTTTCTTTGATGAATACATCAGGCATTAAACTGAACGATTCTTCTGCCCGAGGTCAGAGAATACTATTGAGCAATCTCGATCAAGAGGGTTATTTTTATTCGTTTTTAAGCTACTTAGATGTTAGTACTAAAGTTGCGAGTTTGGATGACAGCGGATAGGATCAGGGATGGAGATTACAGTAATAACAATCGAAAAAAAAGACGCAATGTTAAAAGTCTGCGCAGAGAGGGAAGAGGGAAGCTTAAACAATAAGGCCCTGTTCACACTAGCTGCCTGTTCCGCGGCACTGCGCCTGGGCATATGCATTGAATATTGTTCAGACACCCCGGATGCCCAGAAACGAGTATGTTCACATTTACGTGGTTGGTCCACTTGGCGCCTCCCGCTCAGATTTTAGTGACAGCATCGCATCGAAACATGGGATAGAGTGCAGGAACCGGCGAAAACGCCGTGTTTATAACCAAGCATGTAGCGCCGGTTCCTCGGCCTGTGGCATGTGCAAAGGGTCTTCATGCGCACACTCTTCCTCTCGATTACGATATCGAAGATTCAGATGGGTGAAGTACATGTATACATGTATACACGTGTGTAGCAAGTACAGAGAAAACGAAAAAGTGAGAAAGACAGACAAGAATTACCAATCCGGTACGCTAAAAAGCCATTTCTTTCGTTAAAAATAACTCTTCAAGATTAATTCTCGATGAAACACGCGAAATAAACGGTTTTCCGCTTGCATTTTTGTTTCTTAAGTTGTAGCACAGGACGAGTAAAAAGTTGGTGCTATTGCGTGGTATTCGCCAACAGAGATCTTTAGAGACTTTAGTATGATAAAATATCTGTTAATTGCACTAATTATTTACTGATGACAAAGCTTCTGTTGCAATAAGTTCGAGGGTTAATGATAACATGCCAGGGCTAAGGCAAAACAAATAAATCAATAAATCAAATTGTCTACAAAAGTACAAACTATCCTATTTCATTCGAATGGTTTTGAGGAGGCCTGATGAAACATTGCTCACTGTCCAATTTGCACCGATGGTTTGCAAAGGACGTTTACATTTTAGGCTAACAAGTAAATTTCCCGCTTAGCGCATTGAAACCATAAAGTCAAAAGTTTTTTTGACAGTAATTTCCAAGTCTTGGTGTGCTCACGTTCAGCTCAGATCAACGTGTCTTTAGAGTTCGAAAAAAAGTAAAGCGACTGTAAGTCTAGAGGGCATCCAAGAAGACTCCGTCGGTGTCAACAATAGTTTGATTTAGGCCTTAAACTAAAACTTTAGAAATTAGAGACATGTCATGAATGTCTTCACTTTAAATAGAACTATATTGACCTTTGTTTACAAAAGCCTGAATCAGACTGCATCACGGAATTAATATTTCAATTTTGAGCGTGTTCCGCAAACGTCTTGTAAATTATATTCCACCATACAATATTTTATATTTTACATTTTATAGTCGTTAGGTCTGGATACGAACTGTTTAGTCCGCTGGTCATGTACTCCACAACGCTTCATGCCAGGCGATGCTCCTTACTCAGTTAATACTGACAGAACCTCATTGTGTTTGATGTTCACTTTGGCTCGCAAGTATAGCTACTGATTGTACTAATGGAATTTACGATGGGGGTAGCTCGTACGTCTAATCAAAGCCTTTCTGGCACATCTTTTCGATGTCCTCTCTCTGAGGACGACATTCTTCCTTTAAGACGTGACGGGCATCCTCTGGTTGACAGATGGTTAGATCAGGCCACTCCTCTCTATTATGATTTTGTATCCACAGTTTTATCAACCAAGATTGCCTTGGCACCCTAAAATTGGTAATAATATTAGAGGTTGTTTGCTGGCAATGAAGACAACGACTGAAGTAATGTAGGCTATGTTCTAGCATTATTTGTTCATCCCAAATTATCTCGCAGATCTTTTATGACGGAATTAGATATGTTCACGCCCCCAACCATTCTTCATTATTCCTTTTTTTTATATCGCAGCAATTTCATTTTTCGTAGATCAGTTGCTTCAGAATTTACTACCTATCTTACTATTTATTCTATTTCTTTTTATCGTCATTATAATCATCATTATTACTCATGCTATCGTTATTATTATAATTATCATTATCATTACTGCTTTAAATATCACTGATGGTAATACTACCGAATGTAATAAATCTGTTGCCAAACGAGTGACTATTAAGACTAGACAGGAAAGGAAGCAAAGGTTTGATGTGTGAATTATGAGCTGATGATTACGGACAGAATTTGACGACACAAACCAATAATTCAAAACTGCAACGGAAGTCTAGAAACAAGACATCCACTCGGTGAACGTAGTCATCATAACGTAAAAGATTACTTTTTCCAACAGAAAACTGAACACAGTCGTCTGCATAACAAGTAGTACTACACTAGAATTGAACTTTATGACTGTGGTGCAAATGACAGTTACTATACATTTCAAACGGCATGACGCTTAAACTGACCTATTACAATGTTCAAAAACTTGATCACGCGGACGGCAGCTAGAAACTTTTAGTGCTAACCACAAGTTAAAATGCCAACTATCTTAAGATTTTGAATGCAATATTTCAATTTAAAAGTACTTCAAAACACAACTTCATGAGCATAACTTGTAGTTGCGTTCTCGGGCAATATGTAGCTTTTCTAAAATGAAATTGAACGTTTATTCGTGCCTGTTTTATTCTTAATATTACACAGGAAAAAATTACTCAGTTCTGATTGATTGAGATAAATTCAGTTTTCAGGTAATTCGTTGCAGAAGAGAGGTAATTCAGTGCAAAGAAGTAACAAACCAGGCATTCTGATTGGTCAATAGTCAAAGAAACTCATGGATAGCCAATCAAATGCGAGCCTTGGATGTCGCAACATTTGGATACGCTGAAAATTTGCGAGCGAAACAATGGACGGCGTTAAAAGTAGATTTTCTTTCGCCACCGCCACAACAATACAGCAACTGAAAAACAGCTCTGACAACGAAAACACTGTAAAAAGCACTGCTTTTTGGTTGTCGGTTTGGAAAAAGTGGTGTTTAGAGAAGGGAATTGCCAAGGAAATCGAAATTACGAGCTGACCCAGCTTAACACTTTGCTAAAGATGTGAAGATATCATTGCATAATTTATTATTGTTTTGATCGTACGCGGTTGTTTTGACCGAACACGCGGTTTGAATAAATTATTTTTGCACTTGATGCGCGCTTTGCTTATGTTTAATTATGATAAGCCATCTCGTATTTTTCCATGTATATTATTAACACGTAATCACATGATTTTTCTCGTGCAATTTGGAATAAACAAGCACTTGTTAATTGTTAGTCTTTAAAAAAATTTACTCGTGCTTATTTATTCCAAATTGCACTCGAAATCATGTGATTACCTATACAAATAAATTATTTTTGCACTTGATGCGGGCGCTTTGCTTCTCAGCATAATTATGATAAGCTATCTCGTATTTTTTCATGTACATTATTAACACATAATCATACGATTTTTCACGTGCAATTTGGAATAAATAAGCAATTGTTAATTTTTTCAAAGACCACAAATTGCACTCGCCCAAGGGGCTGATGAAATTTTGTTAAACTTTACTTGTGCCTATTGGTTCCAAATTGCACTCTAAATCATGTGATTACCTATAAAAAATCTGCAATGAAACGCTTGAGCTACGGTCACACATTCAGGATATAATATGAATTACCTGCATGTCAGACAATCATAGAGCGCAATGGCCGGTGGTCTCTCCTCGGCTTGATATTTCAAACATTCACGAATTATGATATCTATCCAATCTGGACAGGAACGTGGTTTTTGAAGGAGATTGTTGCTTACAAAGCTCACCCCAACCTGCAAAGAAAGTTTAAAAAGTCGCACTAGATTACATTGACCAAACGAATATTTTACATGTTTATGAGGGGATAACTCACCTTAGGCTTTTTTGCAACTGAGTGTATCACACTCTTTCACGAATGTCATTGACTAATTAATAAAGGGGGTACGTTTCTAAAGAAACTGTGGTGCTGCGTCGGTGGGAGAGTATAGCAGGCAATTTAGTGTTTACAACTGAGTTGAAAACGTAAATTAGCCACCGTAATAGGTAAAAAAGGTGACGTTTCGAGCGTTAGCCCTTCGTCAATCGCTCTGACGAAGGGCTAACGCTCGAAACGTCAGCTTTTTTACCCTTTACGATGGCTAATTTACGTTTTAAACTCACTTTTTATCACTAAATTACTCACTGAATAAGTGCTGAACTTGTTGTCAAGGAGTTCTTATTATCAAGTGGTATATACAAAAACAGAGTAAGACGTTTTACCACGTGGTCCAAAAGATCATGATAGGGGAACGTTCGTTCTGGTAAGTTTTCACCAGATGAAAACGCTGCAAACAGTTCCCATGCCAAGACACCAAATGACCACACATCGCTAGCGTGACTGTACCGCCCCTTGAAATTCACTTCTGGCGCGCTCCTGTAAAGACAATCGATATTTTCACTCTCGCATAGCAATCAGTACTCCCTCGTATAGTAGTTCCAGTGAAATTCTCTGAACGAAATTTTTTACCAGCTTTTCTAACAATTTATAGCTCTAGTTTCTAACTTTCATGCATTAAACAAATAAATAAAACGTGGCATTTATTATGTACTATATAAGTTCCTGAATGGTCGAAGGTCTCGGTTGATGGATCGATGCACGAGATTACAATCTCTTGCTCGATGTTGATCTCACAAGAAATATAAATAACAGTCCATTAGCAGCAAAAGTCCATTAGGAATTGCTTAAACATTCTTCAGGAGGTTTTTTCGCAGGAGCTAAGTCAATCCTTTTTTTTATTCTGGTAATTTTTTTCACCCACAAGTCCAATGCATTGATTTTATTTGGATGGAGGAAAACAAGCCATCTACGCTAATTATTTTCTCAAAAGAGCTTTGGGGAATCGTCGCACAGAGCCATGTCTTCAAGATGGGTAACTCTAAAAGATAAAAACGTCTGATGAACGATGAAAATATCGCTGAATGTGGCTAATTAAACTACCGAACGTTTTCTCCACGGGAAAAAAAGTGACCTTAAACCGTAACTTTTAAGTGGAATGTTTTAACAGATTTCATCGAACTCCGCTATTGCAACTACTCCTGAAAAATATTTTCATATATGGTTCTAAATCAATTCTAACGAATACGTTGTAGACATACTTTTAAGGAAGAAATCAATCACAAAACTTAAAGGGTTGCTAACCAGCGAGCACAGTCAAGTGGCATATCCTCTTGCAAAACGCTAGCCTTGCTGGTGTCTTCACCTGCTCCCACGGTCAGAAGCTTGTGTTGACCAAGACAGACGACCTGAACCTGTATATCAATCAACACTGCCAGCTAAGAAATGCGGAATGGTTAAGATCTTTTTCGTGGGTTCACTCTCTTATTTGTTTACCACAGTCATTCTGTCATTACTGCATCGATACCTATTTAAATTATAAGTGAATATTGTTGAATAGTTCCTTAGACTTTGTCTCGGGGATTATTCAACAATGTTCGCTTCGCCTGCAGCGAATAATTGTGAAATATTATTTCAAAACACCATTTGTTTCCTTATTCATTCATCTATGCTTTTATTTATGATTTTATTTTAACATTCATTGAGTCCACCACAGCTTAGCCAAGATACAACTCCGCCGCATAAGAGGCAAGAACTCCGAGGAAATGGCGCCTCTTTAAAATCCTTGCATTTTACGCGTTTTTGTTGGCTCTCTTGACCCTGATTATAAGCTCATATACCGAGGTCTGACTTTGTATGGAAGATATATGCGTCAATTGTCACTTCACTAAAATTTCTTTTTGTTTTTTTAATTCACCGCAAAGAGTAACCCAACCGCACTCGAATGTTTGTAAGCGCATACACGTAATAAGTTGTAAAGCCAGATCAGCCTCTCTTGCTCGTTAACCCTGGTGGAGTCCCGCGTTGGCCAGGCCAAAAGATCCAATTCTTAATTCGCAACTCTGTTGCCGCTTTGATAATTTTTTCCATAGAGCGTCGAAAAACTCTGGCGGGTTTGCAAGCGCAAAGGTGCGTTTGCTAGAACATAGTTGAATGCTTGTTTCAAAAATATTACATCACGTGCCCTTGAACGTTTCTTGGCTGTAAGATTTCTGTACTTTGTGTAAATATTCTATTAGATAGAAGAGTTAGGGGTAAATGAGCATTGGTGAGATTTTGTCACGTCATAACATAAGAGCTGAAAAGGAACTACCGTCTTTCGTCAAAAAACTAAAATCTTTCTTTTATCCAAAACTTAGCAAAGTTTTCAGGACGATATCCTTTCTTTTAGAATAGATTGTGTAAAACGTCGTCGTTTCAATGCTCATAATTCTTGTACATGTTAGTCAACTAGTTTTTTTCTCCTTTTTTCTTTAGTTAATGATTATATTTTTTGTTATTTCTCGACATGGGGGCTTGTAAGTGGGTTGGGTTTCAATTTTGTCTGTTTGCAAGGGATGGGGAAAGGTAATTTACCTAGTAGGGGACAACCTTTTCCTCTTCTAAATTTACCTGCCTTTGGCAATTGTTAAACAAACAAACAAACAAACAAACATCTGCAACTCATCACATCCCCTGCGCTAAGTATGTCTGCCTTACATCCTTGCATATATCAGACACCGTAGACGCAATGTAATTAACTGAGTGAATCATTATTAATTTAGCTCTAAGAATATTGCGAGTCATAAGCGGTGACTTTCTGTTCAATCAACTAATTTTTTCTGAGGAGGAAGGGTTGCAAAAGAACGCTGGACCCTTAAAGCCCTACAGCTGAATTTGCTAAAGACGTAATAGTTTTTCTGCAGCTTAGGACGCCCCTCCAGACATCTACGAATTTTGTGTTCCATGAAAATAATCTTGGCTCGATTTTCAAATTTATCGCCGTTTGATTTTTACGCAAATCTGTGCATCAACGAAGTACAGGTCGTGTGGTTATTTCAATTTATTGTTTTGGCGGTCGCAAACAAATTTAAATTTTGGTCTTTTCAATGGAAATGACACTCAGTGCAAATAAATATACTTAGCTTACCAAGCAATATCTTAACGTGCGGAATTTAATAAAACGATTCTTCTGTTTGAGATTGATTATAGCCAACTTGGAGTCAAGCACTCTTTTGGCTGTTTCCTGCCTTATGATGTTTGTTAAATATCCTACAATTCAATCTCAAATAGAGCTGTTAGTTTAAGAGTGACGTGAGCGAACCTTACTAAAGATGTTACCTTGTAGGAGTCCACAACTGTGACATTTTCGGCGCAGAGATTTCCATGAACAATGTGCTGTGTATGAAGATAATGTAGCGCAGATGCTACTTGAGACAAGAACACATGTATGGTCCCTTGATCACATTGTCCACTGCGAATATAGATCTTCAGGTTCATAGGATCATCTCTGAAACACTGAACCGAAATCATACGTTTCTTTAGCTAAACCATTTTTTTAAGCATAGGGAGAAAACTGTGAATGTAAAGGTGATGTCAATTACCGAGCTTGGCGGCTCGGAGCGCATGTCAATTGAGTGTCGTAAAACCAAAACCAAAGAAATCACAACAGCCAATCAGACGAAAGGAATACACCCCCGAGAGCCAATGAGAACTCAAAGTTAAAAAAAAAAAAAAAACCAAACTGCCTAAAGCGCGGTAAAACGCAAATGACCAGGTCATAATCTGATTGGTCGAGAGAGTGCTGCAAGTTTTCTGAACCAATTGCAGAGCGAAGTTAGGCAAAGCCAATGCAATCGCGGATTACTTTTAACACTCAATTAAAAATTGCTCCATCTGGCCGGAAGCTAGCCAAATTTATATAGGACGAAATGATTCGGAGTATTGCTGTTACCCCTGGATATGATGATTGTCCGTTACAGGTTACGCCCAGCATTGGGCCAATTTTATAGCATAGTGTTTACATCATCACAAGTTTTCACTCGTTTCACATGTAATGCACACTTAAGATTATCAACCCTATATTAGTATATATAAAATTACACTGGCTTGTCTCGTACTCTATAAAACCAGCTTTACAAGGTACTTAAATTCTTGAAGGTGGTATGCTTCTGGTTAAAAAGGATAACAGTGTCGATTCCGTTTTTTTCTTCAACGTCGTTGCCGACGCAGCTTCCGTCATTTCGCAAGATTCATTACCCTACGTCATTCAGTCAATTGACTTAAACATCATGATCTTACCTTCCCAGCAACTAGAGACGGTGATTCTGGCCCCTCATAACAACAACGGACGTAGAGATGGTTTAACTGAATCAAAGGTTCCTCTGATGTGATCGTAGATGGAGGAGGTGAAGGTCGATGCTGAACAATAAATAATAAATAACGGTGTCATGCCCCTCGAATGATAAATAACAATTAATTTTGTCTCAAAACTACCAGAGACATTAAAGACGAAAATTCCAAGTACTGTCTGAAGTTAGGTAGTTCTCTGGGAGAATGTCACTCCTGCAAGATGCCTCACCACAGTTATGTTCCTGACGGTACCCTCCCTTTTCAATACTTATAATGAGCATTAAGGGGTTTCTCTTTAACAAAGCCTGACAGCTTGGTTGATATTACGAAAAGAAATCTGTGTGTGGAATGGTCTCTCTGATCAGCAATGTACTCAACCATTGAACAAACTTTTGGCTACTTCAAATGTTACCCTGAACACATTTGTGTCTAAGAATATAATTTTGTTTCTGTCAATTCAGTCCGCTTAAATTATTGGTTCACTTGTCTGTAATTCCGTATTCCCACATTAAGAGATCACCTTGTCAATGATCTCTTTCACGCCAACAATCGTTTGTTTGCTGAGTCTGAGTTTTTCTATTGTCTTATAGCAAGACAGAGTAAAGAGGCACAATTTCCTCATAGGGTTTTTTTTCACTCACATCAATTGTTTTTTTTCAATTAACACTTTAAATAGCAGATCTAGAGTTATGCAAGACGTTGATAACGGCAGATTACTCATTTGATACAGTATTGTTACTTTATGACTAGATGTGTTAAACGTAAGCTATTGTCACAGTGTTTTCTCCTTGAAATCATGGTCTTCATCTTTTAAAAGCAATTTTAATAAAACATTCCATTTACAATTCCTGTCAGGCTTCGACATTTTTCTGGCCTACTATCAACTTGGGAGACTGACCCATTGTCCTACCTCTTCAGATGTGCGTATGTCTCCGTTAGCGAACGAACCTGCTGGGGAATGAAAATGAACCCAATCGGCAGAGGTCAGTATAGAATGAATAAGCAACAAATAACTTGTAGACAAGTAGACAGACGCCTAATATTAGATGAAGATTACGTTAAAAAAAAAAAGGATTTTAATTGCGAGGTTACACTCTACGTAGTGACGAGAAGCTGCTTATGGCAGCCACAAAGGGACAATGGGAACCCCAATTTCTAGAGACAACAAAGGAATTTAAAGAAGGAATGAGAGCTGAGCTTAGGGAAGAATGAATAGGACGGACTTGCGCGGCCAAAGGAGAATGAGAGCCCTGAGAAGACCTAGTCTTAGTTGAGGTCAGGAGAGATGGAGTCCTACACCATTGATCTATAGAACCGGGCAACAAGAATAAACCACATCTTACTGTGAGTAGTTTGGAGAATGAGAGCCCTGAGAAGACCTAGTCTTAGTTGAGGTCAGGAGAGACGGAGTCCTACACCATTGATCTATAGAACCGGGCAACAAGAATAAACCACATCTTACTGGGAGTAGTTTCCCAGAATTTGTTCCAATTGTTAATGAGGGGTGGCATGACGACACAGCGAGGGCGATGCACTGGAACATGGCAGGAAAAGAGGTTTTCAAATGGGTGAAATGGGTTTGAATATGTCCCGGAGAGTATCATTGAAAATAAAAATTTAAAACTACAACCTTTTTCTTGAAAGTGGCTTATGTCTTCATATCCTTCTTCCTCACTGTAAATGCTTTGGGTTGCATACTTTGTGAAGTAACCCTCTGAGCACATCTTCTCAATGTCCTCTTTTCGAGGACGATCTTCCTCCTTTAACAAGTGACAGGCATCCTCTGGTTGACATACATCGTGCAACTTCCTTTTCGTGGGGCTGTTTGAACAAACCTCCATCAACCAAGATTTCATCGGCATTCTTAAAGCATCAATGTACGAGTATTATGAGTTCAAATTTGAGAAGCACATCAGCACACCCACAACGCATACTAATGCACACAGCCTGGATTGCAAACATATTACAAAAACTTTACCCCTTTCATGCATAGCAATGTACTAGCAACGGTTCCGTAATTTCGTAGCTTTCGATATAGAACGGGATATTCTTTGTCGAAAAGTTCATTAAACGAGGTGATGTATTTTGAGTGTACGAAAGCTTTAAATTATCAGAAACTTCTAAAATTCCACGACGGATTATTAAAATCCGTCTCCTTCGTGTAAGCTGACCAGTATGTTGGACGGGCGGGAAATAAAAAAACAAACAAACAAAGGAAAAAAACGCTCCACTCAGTTGCTAAGCAAGGAAAAATCGAAGCAATCCCTATTTGAACCGTACCCACGAGACAAAAACAAGAATATTCCATCAGACATGGCGCCGTGAAAGGCGCGCTCGATATCCGGAGGCTTTGAGCCGTCGTGAAAACCTTTCGCTTCTGGCTATGGCGAAACGGTTTGAAAACATTGCCAGAGGAAGGCAGAGGAATCAGAAATCTTTCTTAGATACCTTTCTAACTACCTATGAAGTTTTCAGGAAAAGATTCACAATAAATAGCATGTCGTTTCAGTGGGGGAATGTTTTGCGTTGAAATCGTCTCAAGTGACCTTGGACGATTGCTTTCGGATCATAATCAAAAAAAGACCAAGTCAAAGTAAAAGCAAATTCAAAACAAGTAGGTCTATCGTTTATAGCATAAAGATATAAAAAGTTCGTTTCATGCAAGTCCTACTACTGTCGTATTGCTAATAAAACGAAAGCGTTTTCATGGATAATTATTCTATGAGCGCGTTAGATTTCAGATCGAGGGCCGAGTTGGCTAGATCATTCTCATCCAATGAGTGCGAGTAAAAAGACCTTTTCTGAAACCTTCCCCGTGAACTCTCTCAAAGTACATTGCCAAAACGGTGCCACAAAACTCAGAGAACGAAAAAAAAGGCTCTGTTGAACTCGTGAAAAAGGCCGGATGTGCAGGGTCGAATTACATGGCACAGATGGTCTAATTGATCTTAAAACCGATCAAACTGAGGAGCGGCAAAGTATATGAGTATGATTCAGATGCTATATGATCATTATTATTACTGTCATTAGTTGTCCATTGAAATTTAATTCTTGCCAGATTTTGAGTTCCCAAAGAGGAAACGAACAGTTGAAACTAAAATTTTTGGGCGCAAAACCAAAACGCGCAGTTTACGAAGAGCTGGTGCATTAATCATCCTAAAAATAATCATAACAGTGTATTTGAGTGAAAAACGTCTCTGATGTAGTTTGATAGGAGACAGAAAAAAGAAGGTTGAGATGTTATGGTCCATGTGCCGAGATGTAAAAGGCTGTATTGTTGGTCAAATTCTAAGCAACACTCAAAAAAATCTTCGAATGGTTAGATTGCCTCTTGAAATTTTTTCAATTTCAAATATATTACCTATAAATGGCGGAGACAAAACTTTCATGGTTTCTGAAGCATACTTTCTTTGAGAAGATCATAGCTAACCTGCATGTCAGACAGTCAAAGAGAGCAATAGCAGGTGGCCTCTCCTTTGCTTCATAGGAGCAGCATTCTTGAATCACAAAATGTATCCAGTCTGGACAGGAGAGTGGTTTTTGTAGTTGCTGGTTTTTTTTGATACTTTGCAAAATCTGGAAAAAAGTCGTACAAATGACACGTTATTGAGTATGAGAAGTTTCAAGTTCTCGTTACCTTCGGAAATTGAAGTGAGGTAACTATTAGATAATTTTTCCTTCTACCATGCAGTCTGGTGTGAGAGTAAAAAAAAAACTCAATTTCGTCTTCAGTGTTGTTCTGTAACAACCAGCCGTCACGTTGGTTTCTTTATCTTGATGTTTCGTTGATTCTTTAACATGCATATACCCTGTGGGATCGATATTTTAAACTTAAGTATTTTACAAGGAGTTACCTCGTCATTTGTGTGGTTGTAGTACGGTATCGTTTGTCGTGGCATGATATTACTATCATAAAACGCTGCAAACAGTTCCCATGCCAAGACACCAAATGACCACACATCGCTAGCGTGACTGTACCGCCCTTGAGAAATCACTTCTGGCGCGCTCCTGAAAAGACAATTGATATTTTCTTCATTTTTGACACTTAGATTTCTCGCTCTGATGAATAGACACTCAAACAAAAGGTATCACAAAAACACCATTTTTGTAATCACATTGTTGAAGTTTCACTAATAAAACAAATCAACACTGTTCTTGTGGTTAGGAAAATGATGGAGTCAGGCACCACTGCATGCGATGGTGTCAGTAGTCCATAGTGCCAGAAGTTGCTGATAAAGATCATTCTTGGAGAGCTTTCGAAGTACAGCACAAAGAAAGGATGGTTCTCTTCAAGAACATTTCATAATTAAGTCGACGCTTAGAACTTAGTGGTTACTCAGATATAAATCTGGGCTTTCTCGTTGCACGTGAAAAAAAAGCTTGTCTTCCCTAACCAGCGAGTAGCATCAGGCGGCATATCAGCCGATTCCTCGCAATCCTTGCTGGTTTCCTCATTTGGTCTCGTTGACAAACGCCTGGAGCGGCCAAGACGGGTAACTTTAACCTGTATAAAATCAAAGTGGCAGCTGAGAAATTTGAGCGTCATTGGCAAGACGGTCAAAGAGAACGTAAGAAAAGATGAAAAAACTCGCACTTTTCAATTTTAAGTTCGCTACATATTAAATATTTTGTGAATATACATCTTTATATGATGTTTATCAGTCCGGGCCATGGACGGTATGTCTATACCTTGAGGTCATTTAACATGGCATCACGGTCCAATTTTTAAAAACATAGGCTAGTCCCACATTTTAGTCCCGCATGTTTGTCTCTGATATTTATAGCTCTTGAGACCCAATCAAAACATTTTCTTTCGATCCGTTATCCGATCCGTCATCCGGTCCGTCATCCGATCCGGTCGATCCAAGTTTTGTCGACGCCGCAGCCCTTGTTGTTGTGACTTGTTGTCCTGGCTTCTGCCAGCTATCGATTTTCCCAGTATTCCTAAAGGTCCTTTTTTTTTGTGTCGGCTAATGGATGAACATATCTCGTTCTTAAGAACAGTCTTTCAACCTTTATGACAAATAACTGTCAAGTAAGACAGTCTTACAAAAGTCAAAAATGAGCCAACGGTTCAATTTATAATATTATTGACCAGGACCAGGACTCTAAGGAAATTCATCCCAAATAGGTCTACTAGGTATACAATTGAATACTCGATTGAGTTCGGGAAAACTCAGATCAACCAAAATTATTTCGACCTCAAACGATCTTTTTTTGTGGACATATCGTGAGACAAGACTGCCGTTGTGTGATAAAAGTAAGAGGGGGGTCCTTCAAATCAAGCAGCCAAAGAACCGGCAGTTAAACCTGGTCGAGGTGTGTTCCCTGAAATTCTCGCAAAATCATTTCTAATACGAGACATTTCCTTACATATTGATGCGGAAATTGCAGAGGAGATTGAAGTAACTATGTTATTCCATCGATCGCTACCTCCCACGAGGTGTCTTTCGGATAGAATTTGATATTATAATACTGCAAACAAAATACGTGTGCAAGCAACACGTTGCGGGGTGCAAGAATAGCGATGAAATGTTTGTCGAAAATTAGATTTGCAATACAGTTGTACAAAAACAAATAATTCAAAGATTTCTCGCCTGAAATTTTGAATTCTGTTCTGCCGTCCCCTTCGCATTACAACATGGACGCCACGAAAAAGCTAACGAGAAAAAGTATCGTCTCAATCTTCTCTCGGCCACATCAGTGTGTTTTGGTTTTGCCTAGACCAATCATATCACAGGAAATGGTATAGACAAAACTGGCTATGGCCTGGCCTTTTTTATCTCATTCAGAAATGATATTAAAATTTGTTCGCTCATTTGTTTTTAAATTTTTTTCTCGAAGTTTGCTGTTAAAATTAATGCTGATTGTTTCACACACATTTGAATTTAGACATTGTTTAAGGATAAGGGGAGCAAGAACTTCCAGGCCTTCTGCGTCATAAATATCAGTCACTTGATAGCAATAGTGATGATAATAATGATAACAATCCTGATAATAATGATGATAATAATAATAATAATAACGATATTAATAATTATCATTATTACTGAGTAATAATGATAACAATGATAATAACAATAATAAGGATAATCAAGAGTAACTATCAGTATATTTATGATGTAGCTCTCCATCTGAGGAAGAGCTACCTTCGGATAAATAGGCCCATAGCCCACCCATCCTTAAATTAGGTTATTGGGTCACTTTTGTTTTTGGGATCGACTTTCTTTCTAAGTGCATAGGATCTTTTTAATTGTGCTATATGCACTGTCTGCTTTCTGTAACTTTCAGTGTAAAACGGCTTTAACGAAAAGCGATGAACGTACCTGGTTAGAACTTTCAACAATCACATGCTCAGCGCGGAGGTTTCCATGAACAATATGCATAGTGTGAAGATAATCGAGCGCAGATGCTACCTGGGATAGGAATGTAACTAAGGCGCCTTTCTCGCAAGAGCCTCCTTTTCTTCCGCTGAGAACGTAATCTTTAAGGTTCCCAAATTTACCTTCCATAGAAATCTGATAAAAGGAAACAAAAAAGAACACAAAGAATCGCTTTTCCAAGTGCAATCCATCGCACAAGATATTAAAAATCGGCGATAGAAACACCCTCGCACTACTTGAACTCTGGGAAGCGAGGCGCGAAGATAAATTCAACGCGGTGGTGTTTAAGTCATTACATTTTACATTTTTGCCTATTTCAATTGTCTCACGCGAAGGAATACCCTAAGAAAGATAGACTAAACTTTGGAGAAATCTCGAAACATGTCTTAGTTAACAAATCGAAAGATCGACTTGTTAACTCAGGCGTGACGAAACCAAACATCATCTGCAAAGGTGGTTAGGTCCTTTGTTGACGTATGGAATTCAGACCGAAACAAATTTTCGAGCTTTCGAGGCTCGGCTGAGTATGGTGGAGAAATGTCGTCGATGGCTTGAGCTCTACGTGGAGCAAAGGGCCCTGTAAGAAAGTTATTCTAGTTGACTTTTGGATGAACGTAGCGGTGAAGTATTTTGCTTGTTTCCCCTGTTTTACTGAAAAGATTTAGAAGCAGGTACAGTTTTCAGTTTTCATCGACGTGCGTCCAAGAATAGCGAAAGTAGTCGATTGATGCAAAGTGCTGGTGCGAAATGTCAACATCACAGAGCGGAATCCTCAACAGCTGAGGCCTCTCGCGCGTAATGTGAAAATTTCTCAATAATTGTCCTCTTTAATTAACACGTACTATTTGAATTTCTGGAGAGCACCTCTTCAAAAGTATGGAAATGGAGATGTTTTGATGGCTGAGCTTTTTCAACGTTTCATGATAAAGTTCATCTTCAGACCTGATCTTCTCTACAACACGTGAACTTTCCTGAAACAATAAAATCAACCAAAGTCAGAAGCAAATTACCTCGAAGCATCTAACGTCCCGTTATATTCTTTGTCATCAAGCTGGGATTTATAAGCTCACCAAAAAAAGGTCTGAGACACAAGGAATTCCCCACAATTCAATCCTTGTTCATTCATAACAACAAGAAGGAAAGAAATGAAGACGAAGTACTCGTAATTAACTTGGAGTTTTTGCGGAGATTTGAAAGTGAGTCAGCTAAGCTGAGGTAAATTACATTTTCCAAAGCTGATTAATTCTCTAACTTTGATTGATAGAAGAATCGAGGGTCTTTCAAATTATTATCGTAACTGTTGCTTGAGGCGTAATTTCGGGAAACTTCAGTTCATAAAGTTCACCCTCAAACTTCCCAAATGCCTCTTAGTTAGATAGCTATTCATTTGTTTCATGAATATTTTTCTACACAGTAAATCGGATGTCTTTTTGACAGGTTACAATGCGTACACACACGTTATTAGCGGGCACAACGAGGATATGAAGCCCACTGTTATTATTATAAACCACAAGGATATTTAAGCTTTGTTATTACTAAGTTTCCCTTTAGGCTTAGGCTTAGCTTAAAAAGAAGACTGTGCTCGTTTATTTGTTGCGAAATTTTAGTTAGTAATGTCTTGGTGTATTCCGATTAACTCATTTTCTTGTTGATTATTGTTTACGATTTCACCATAGAAGGAAGTAAATTGTCTAGTCTCACGCTTTATAAACCCCAACTTGGCAAATTACCTAAATGATTCGAAGCTGTATGCTACTGACCGGCTTTAAAATTAAGCTACAATATAGAGGGAATTCGTTAAAAGTCAAAATCTTCTTGACCATCCAGCGCCACTGCTCAAAAAGCCCCAAATATTTCAGTGAAATTAGTTTTTGCTTGGTCCTGACATCTGGAACAGCAGCCTTCACATTTTCTATCTTTCTAAGAACGCATGACGTTGTTTACTCTATATGGTGTCTTACCTTTATCATTGTATATGAGCCATCATCTATGAAAGTGTGTGAAAAACAAGCATTAGGAAGTGTCTGAGGGTACAAATTTTACAAAGCTTGGTACTGAAGCAAACCAAAAACTTGTTTAAAGGTAAGTAAGCTTTCTTAACATGTATAAAAGCCAAGTTGTGTGATTTCTACTTCAAAGCCAAGAAATATATATTTAATGTATACAAGTAGAGATAACCGGACAACGCGAAAGAAACGGTTATCTTCGACAAAAACCTTAAGTTGAAGTCCCAAATAAAGTTCGAAGTTCATTTAATCTTCGCTGTTAGTTAAACAATAAACAGGAATTGTTCCTCTCCTTCCACATTGTGTTTCATCAATCTCTAAATCGTTCGTTTCCATGCCTCCTAATACTTCCACAAACTTTTAAAACTAGAATTCTCTCACCTTCTCTTTTCGCAGCTACTTTTACATGTGCAAAGAGTGGATGTGGATAAGGTCTTGATTTCATTCTTGCAACACCTTTGATAGAAAAACGTATATAAGCAGACTACATTAGGCCGGCGAACATACATAATCGTGTAACTCAGGCTAAAGGCTGGGGCACATTTAAATCTTTTACTTGAAATACTCCTGATATTACTATTGATGACTTTCGAAGTTTATTTTCGGATCTATGGTGTACAAGCTAGATGACGCATCCCACCGTAGTATAGATGGAGCTTACCCCCCTCCCCCCTGTCTTTTACGCGTCTGAAATTTCTGAAAATCACCAGTAGATGACGTTATTTCAAATCACGTAGTCTCATCTCAGGATCTTAATCTTGACTTTGTTTATTTTAAGAGACACTTTTCAACAATTCTCTTGTCCTTTTCATTTTTTAATAAAGACAAAGTATAAACGTTTCACTGATTCGGTATGCTAGACTAGGCCCTCGAGTGATTACTACCATTTATTTTTCGTTGTGCCAAATTTGAGGTAAAAAAAATTAGTATAAGCAGAAAGAAAAAAAAAACAAGTGTCTGCGAGAAAAATTCAAGCTGTGTGTGACAAAACAGCTTGAACTCTTTAAGCCCTAAGAGTGACTAACATCTAATTTCTCCTTAGCCTATCACCCTCAAATCAAATATAAAGGTCACAAGAATAGTGGAAATGATCACTAATTTAGGAAGCTCCTAATTGTCGAACAAATTTTCCTTGTCATTACCACAGGAATGTACAGAGATCAGTTTGGAGAATATGAATACCAATGTTAGGGAGTAAAGGGTTAAAACGTGTTTAGCTTTGGTGTGAATGGGGCGCAGCTGTAACTCAATCTAACTCCTAGATATGAACAATTAGCACCTGCTGTTTTCAGGTCTGCATTCATCTTGCTGAGTCTGCTGGAGAGCTTTGGAAAGCTGATTCTCTCGCTTCTTTTCCATTCCCAGCACTGCTTCATGAGACTGTTTTCACTATCTTCGAAACACGCTTCAAGAAGCAGTGTTCCTCCCCTCGTAACCTGCAAAGAAATACGTAAATAAATATAGTGTACGTCTCATTTAAAAGGACTATTCTTGAGCCTCAAAACAAACAATTTATGGAAAAAACCTAACAACCGGTATACCGCTGTCCTTCAAATTTTCAAACAGAGTCTTTTATTTGACCCAAAAAAATACCAGTCCATGACACATTAACTTTGGGCAATAACAATTTAAAACTTTTTAGAGATAAAATGTGTTTGCGTCCCTATTTTTAAAAATTATATTAAAATAGAACTGATAATGAATAAGGAAGCCACTGACATTGGACGCATAAAGTATCAGAGACCCCACGAGGAATCAAACCTCAGAATTTCGGACTCCGCGCTCCGACGCTTTGCCGCGAAGCCACAGAGACTCTGTGGTGGGTAGGCCATCATTACTTTCATATGTGACACTCATTCCGCATACTGCTTGGATTTGCGAAGTCGAAAGTCTCGTTTAAATTAACAGAATAAGAAAGATGGTGAATTCGAAGCTTGATTAATGAAATAAAGGAATAAATTTTCTCGTCATGTCATAAGCTTGGAACACACACACAAAAAATTCAGTCTCCGTAAGGAATCGGTTATTCCAAATTTTTATATGGTATTATATTATTATCTGTCGTCCCAGCTTTAAAAGCATACATTTTAGTTTTAAAATGACCCACAGAAAACAAAAAACGTTTCATTCATTGATTATTTCATAAGTCAATATGAAAGTGTTGAAAAATCCTACCCTCGGTCAACAATACTCTTCCCACGTTCCCTTCACAGCCGCTGTTTCATTACTTACATGATTATAGACATCTTCGTCGCTTAAGTTTCCAAATGGGGGACAACCAAGGGTTAATACTTCGTACATAACGACCCCAAACGCCCAGACATCAGACTCTGTTGAGTAATGATATTCCATTAAGCACTCAGGAGCTTTCCACTTCAATGGGAGGTCATCGTTGACATCTTCAGCTGAAAATGAGGTGAAAAAGGACGTATTTCAAATAAGGTATCGAGTCCAAGAGTGCGATAAACGTCGAAGTATAAAACTCCCCGACCCATTTAGTAGGGCTGTCCAGGTCTTTGTATTTCATTCATGGGTTTGCCTTTTTCTTTGTATCTGAGGAACGATTCGGCTATTTCGTAAAAATGCATTTTACATCAATTAAAATGATAAGTATCCTGCTATTTCCGCAGTGGGTGGCCTTATGTTATAGAGATTGGAATCCAAGCCTCCTCAGTCAAATATGTAAATGTCAAATGATACAAAAGTTAATGATATACTGTCAATTTACTTTTATGGCTCACCTTCAGCTAATGGACCCCAGTCTATTGGTCGTAAGGAATGGAGGCCACTAAGTTTGCAAACATTGTCATCTCCTACGAGAACATTTTTCGCCATAACAGAACGGTGCACCAAGTGCAGTCTTGCCAAGTATTGAAGTGCATCAGCTATGTTGATGAGCATTTGCAGAAGCAAAGTTTCTTCCAACCGGGATTGCTGATCATGCGTCCTTTGAAGTAGCTGCAAGAGGTTACCTTGACTTTCGTATTCAGTGATGAGATGATACGGCAACGTCTCTGTGTTGTAACTGAGAAGAATAGGGAAATTCGGATGCTTTTGTATTCGACTAAGAAAATGGGCCTCTCGGATGAAGCGCCGATTTGCTTGTTGACAATCTGACGGCATCCTCCCCCTAACGTTCTGGTTTGTGACGTACATTACCTTCACGACAGCTTCTCTTCCCCTGAATACAGCTTTTTTTATGAAACACCGATCATCTTGACTGATGATTTTTTTGTTTACCTCAAGGGCTGGGAATCTCGTCACAAGGTGGTCGATGAGATGCTCCTCAGTTATAGCGCAGCACGAATTATCTTTCAAGCACAGTGCATCTGCCATTAACGAACGAACATAGCTGTCCGGGCTAAGCAACACCTGTCGCGACAAAGGTTCAAGGATTTCTCGGCAAACTTCTTCTTTTACCAAGTTAAACAAACAGATACAAGCATCTATTCTGTTTTCTGTAAAAAGAAAAAAAGACCTAGGTAAAGTGAATGAAAAGCTAATGTCCTACAATAAACAAACAATAATCTTTCTACAACGGCGCTTTCAGTTGCATATTCATGCTCCTCATTCTTGTCACTACAACGTTGTTATCTGGCAAGGTTGCCCTCTCTCTCATCTTCTTTTAGTTATTACAATCCAACAGACACATTTTTGATTCACAAGAAATCTCTTATGTGCGTGACTTGATGAATTCGTGTGGTAGTTTCTTAACGCTTTCAGATTTTGAATCAAAGTTCCACAAAAATGTACCTTTTACTACCTAACATTGGATAATGAGAACTATTCTATGCGAATAGAAAACTTCCATATATAAAATGGTCTGACTAAGGTAAAAAATGTGACACATAACAAAGACTTATCTTATTCTAAAGTTCTATTCTACAGAATCGAAGACAGTGACCTCTGCTCTTTGTGCAAAACTAAAAGCAAATCCTAGACCGCTTGTTAGTTCAATCTGACATCACATTTACCTTTTGGGTGCAATTTGAAGATTTGTGGCAACAAATAACGCAAAAAAATGTCACCAAATGACAGTAAATTCTCGTATGGTTGGCACGGAAAAAGGATTTTTGGTGGCAGGCTTAAACTTCTCCATTCTTATCGCCTAGCATTAACGTGGTGCTTTACTAGACATAATTGTATTTAAATGATAGCTTACAAATACATAACTATTTTGTCGCATTTCGCCGATTTAGCTGTTGCTTTTTTTTTTATATAAAAACGTATAACTGATTTCTAGTTTCTTTCTCAAATTTTGTCATAGTTTTGATTAACTGGTAAGAGGACTTTGTGTCGTCCAATTCGATATGTAATCATACTCGTAATTTACAAATCGGACTCCCGCTTCGCGGTCGTCCGATTTTCTTTATCACTCGTATGATTACAGACCGAATTTGACTCCACTTGGTCCCATTACCATTATTAATTTAAAAAATTCTAAAAAGAAAAAGAAAAAGGGAAATGTTTATTTGTAGCATAGAGCGCCATAACTAATAAGAGAGCAGCATTCGTGCCATGTGACGAGCGAGAATAACGGGCTATTACTATATAATAGTAATAACACTACATTTTTTTTTTAAATTTTATTTTTTTATTCTTTTTTTAGTTTTTAGTATCTATGTAGGGGTGGAATTTTTAACTTTTAGTTGTAATGCGCAATTGAAAATTCTTATATTGATAATTGCGCAATAAAAGTCTATAAATTATTATTAAATTATTATTATTATGTCATCAAGTTGGCGTTTTGATTTGTAGCGCAATCTTCAGGGTCACAATGATCACGCATGCTTTTCCTTTTTCCATTTGGTACCGGACGGGGATTTGGTTCTTCGCATTTTGTATGTCATGTATTCAAATGAGTGACAGAACTTGTTGATCTCTCTAATATTCAAAAGTCTCATCTGGTCAACTAGTATTAAAAGTTATTTGAAAACCAAAGAGATGCCAAAAGAAGTACAACGTTCTTAGGTGCAAAAAGTTCGAATCAAATCACTTGAACAGTTTTTTGTAATATTTTGTCTTCACTGCATCGTGCCGGCCTAAGTAATTTATGACTCTCTGCGAGACAAGTAAGCATGACTATTGCGGGACCATTACGTGACCCTGGAGATTACTCTACAAATCAATTCGCCATCGTGGTGACCATATTTGGTAATACCCCTTTCTTCTCCCGTATACGTAGTACGAATACTGCTCTCTCGTTGATAAAAGTGGCACTCTATACTACTTTCATTCACTAAAAGAATATGTCCCACCACACAAGAGGTTGTGTTGATGAAACGGATCCCTTTGAAGATCATTTTGAAAGACGATTTTATTTTATTTTATTTTACTTTCTTACCTTTGCTTATGTTATTCATCGAGATGTCCGATAAAACTGAGCCTGCCAGCAAACAAAACTTCCAGTCATTTCCACCATCTACGCTGTAACCTTCAATCACACTTCGTAATAGACGCACTGATTGCCTGTCTGTCTCCAATCGATGAATAGTGTCCTCTCTGTAAGTCTGAAATCAATTGAGATAAAGTAGGATAGAAATAGATACCCCACGTGATGCAAATGAGAACGCTAATCATACTTTAGTTAGTTTGTTTTCACGTTATATTCTGGTTTCTCAAGCGACAAACTGCATTTAGAGTTGATTCAGTCAATAAAACCGAACTGACATAGGCTCTTTGCCAAAGGAACGGCCATTAAGACGCAACTTGAGCATCTCTGGGCTTCATTAAAAACTACTTGTTGGGAAAGAGAACACCAATCATGTCAGAATAGAAAAATAGCTAGGATGGTCTAACGAGTGACAACATCAAAAAAAATCTTGCATGAATTTTGAATAGGACATTTATCATTTATTTATTAATCATTTATGAAATAGCTACCTGGCAGTTTCTTCTCATTTTTATTTCTCCCAGAAAACTTTAATATCTACCAACCGTGGCAAAGCCTTTTCAACATTTGACTTACCTTAAAATGAAGATACAATATGACGCAATGCAAAGCAAACCAACTTTTCTTTTGCCTTCCTGGGGTTCTTTAATGTCTTTATGAATGTTAACTCTCTGTTCCCTTCATAACGCGGATCACTTTTCTCTGTGCACTCTTTAAGGTAAGCCATTACTCTTGAATTCTCAAATTTTTTCCACTTTTTGCCAAAAACCCAATGGCTTGCTTGATGAATTCCATTGAGTAGTGAAAAAGATCCTTCGCCTTGTTGTAAGATTTTCCCAGATATCCTCGTAACTGTAACAACTCGCGTTCAATATTATCAGAAGAGAGCCATTTCTGAGTCTTCTGAATAATCAACAGCACAAGAGTCTGACTGTACACAGACAGTCGGAGTAATCTTTCTTGATGTCCTTCCTCCTTAAAAACTGCATCAGGGGAGCTTATCGACAATCTTATAATTCTTTCTAGACCAAGCAAGTTGTCTTCTCCACTTTCCAGGTTGTCAAACAGCATCAAACGAAGTAATTGTCGGAGACTGTGCCTCACAATATTAGAACTGGTTTTGCTGCAGCCAATCTGTACCAAATCAAATGTAAATTTTCATTCTATTTTTGCATGATCTTTTCCATTTCTCTTCCAGATTTGGTAAGACAAGTTGAAGAATAGATTGCTCCCTGTCATCCTTCGTAGTCCCATTCATGTTGTCAAACTCCCTGATGGCCTGTTCAACATTCTCAAGGAATGAGCTTACGCTACCTGAGTCTCCTGAGAATCGAAGAAAATCAAAACCTGTACGTTACAGGGGAATGTTAAGTAACACAATCTATTGGTCGAGAATTGCGTCACATCTCGTTATAATTACGTCGCACGAGGTGATTAAAGCAAGAGGACAAAATTTAAAATGGCTGCCTCGCCACCAGTTAATTCATTCAGTTTCCTGAATAAAAGACGCCATTCTGGTCCTCCTCGGGTAATTTTCATGAGCCGAACTCGCACACGGCCTAAAAAATCAGTTTCCAGGTTATTTAAAACACAATTTCGTTTTCCCTCTCCCATCCCAACTACTCATTCAATTTTGTAGCTTTTGTTTGCGAACTGTAGCTTGTAGAAGAATAAACAACCAGAGAAATGTAAACACCCAGAAAAGTAGATTAAGACGGGGATTAATGAAACAAAGTTAAGTATTTTACAAGCCTGAAACTGAAATTGAGAACTCCGATGAACGTGACAACCAATACTCCAAAACTCAGAGGGAGAGCCATTGCAATAGTACTTCACTTACTGAAATGCTTTTAAGATCTCTTATGGGTTTTCATATGTGCGGAAAAGCGACTATATGGCGTTTCCTTCTCGAAAGGGAAGTCAAACCTCGAAACAAGGGTGCATCCTAATTATGCATTTGATTTTAAAATGCTTAGCGACGGTGATAATTTTGTTCAAGTAAACAAATGACCTTGGCATTTGCGCTGTGTAGGGGGCACCCCACCCCCACTTAGTCACTTGGTCACGTGATCTGCGACCACGAGGTCGAGAGAAGAGAAGATATTAAAAGCTGTTTCATCGTGTTC